AGATACACACGGTTTTTGACATTGGTAAATAGCTTTTTTTGCAACTAAATTAACGTATTGGATTCCCGCTAATAAAGAGTTTTTGAAATCTGTCAGATAAATATGAAATAATTTTTAAAATATTGCAACAAAAAAAATTTATAAAACAACACGGTAACACAATAAGAACAAACAATTTACATCGAACATGAAGTGGTAAGCATGTCTTCCTCTACGCTATAATAACATTTGTCTAGTAGATATTTCTTTAGTGAGCCTTTGAATTTATCGAGCGACAATTGTTTCAGGGTATTACTTAGATTGTTATATAACAAGACATTTAAAGAATTTTTTCCTGATACACATAGCCTTAACTTAAAGGGCAGTAACAAATTATGATGTCTAGTATTATATTGATGACTACTCCTGTCTGACACTTTACTGTTAGCATTTTTTCGGCGATGTATTTCAATTAGAGTATAGTATAGATATAGGCAGGGTACTGGCATAATTTTATAGGATTTAAAGTAACCTCTACAATGATCTCTCGAACCAATATTGACTAGGATTCTATAAGCGCTTTCTTTTGAAGTCTAAAAACTCTTATAGCCATACAGTGATTCCATAGCTGATTTTCGAATGAAAAAAGGCAAAATAACAATTTAAGAGAACAGATTTGTCAACAGATGTTCTGAGCTTAACTAATAAATAAATACCTACTTGAAGCTAACGTGTTACAAAGTAAATCAAAATGCGGTTCCCAATTCAATTCATTGTCAATGACTATACCGAGCAATTTGGCATGGTTTCTGTTGTGTACCGACTTTTGACTAGTAAATGTTATGATTTGAGTTTTATTAGGATTGTGTTTTAGTTGATTGGAGTCAAGCCAGTTCTGCACTTCTGTAGCGGCTATATCAATGGACTTACTCAGATTGCATGGGTTTGTAGATTTGCAAATTATGGTTGTATCATCCGCAAATTGGACGCATTTCCCTGTATTAACCGCATTCGCTAGGTCGTTAACGTAAACCAGGAACAGAAGTGGACCAAGGGCTGATCCTTGGGGTACGCCAAACAGCGATTGTAGAAGGCAAAGTGCCCATAACACTAGCAGCATTGCTGAATGGCCAGACTGTTCTACCAAGCATTGCATTCAGACTGAATTTCTACTAGGGCAGTTTGAATAGCAAGACAAAAGAGCACGGATCCTTCAGGATCTCCCTGCTGAACTCCCACTTAACGGACAGAATCTTCCCATTACCGAAGGGACAAGTAGGATGCAGTCTGATAATGATTGAGATAAGAATGACATTATAGAGGGTGTGTGTTTTTGAGCTTCTTGAAAAAGAAAACCACGTTCCACTGAGAAATAATGTTATCAGTCGAGTTGTTTTGCTCAATAAAACTGCGAGTTGCATGAACTACAGCTTCGCATCCTCCTTTGCTACCAAGCTGAAAGGACTTAAATAGGTACCAACTGAAACACATATACCATTTTGCAAGCAATTTTTGCACCTAATCTTCTTAAAGTAGTGCCTACAGTTATGGGAAGAATTCCACCATCTTGTTTGTTGAGAGCACAAAGGGAGGCTCCATAGAGGATACACGTTATTTGTTGGTTGACTTGGTCGGACAGTAAATGAAATAAAGGTGTAAAATAATAAAAAATAAAAAATTTTGCAATTAGGTTCATTAATGATCGAGATGCGAAAAGGGCACTGTTACTGTTGAATCAATTCGGCTGAACTTTTGGAATTGGGTATTGTATGACTGGAGCTATGCCTATATTGAATTTCATGCAATTTGGTTCATAAATAGCAGAGATGTGAAAAGGGCCTTCCTTATTTTTGACGTACATTACCAATTCACGAACTCCGATCAACAAATTCAATAAAGAATTCACCTACAAAATTTCATCGTAATCTTTCCATTCGTTATTAAGATATCGTGCTAACGGACGGACGGACAGACACCGCAAAATTATAAACTTGCCAGGAGCTCGTTAATAAATGAAATTAAAACATCTTTATTATTTCTTTCTTCTGTATTTTTACCGCAATAAAAGCATCTCGAATTCTTTTGCTTCCTCAACAATTTGTTTTTGTTCACTATCTCTTCTTTGTGCCTGTTTTACACCTGATGCGATTGCGCTGGGTCTGTTTATCGTTAATTTACAGGAATTATTTATTTATTTATTTATTATCCCTCTCTTGTTCTGGGCCCTCAACAGGCTTGCGCCCAATTCTAGAGTGATCCGCATAATGCTTTTTAGAGGTGCCTCATGAAGTTTATTCCAAGTTATATTTCTCAAATCATTTATTGCTTTGGGCGGTAAAACTAACGTTCCTATTGGGGATTCAACAGGCCCGGCGCAATTACATCAGCTGTAAAACAGGCAGGAAGAAGAGTCAGTGAACAAAAACAAATTATTGAGCAGAAAAAAGAAATAATAAGGATGTTTTAACTATAGAACAGTTGAGCATAAGGAAACAAAAGAGAATATTTTAGCACAAGAGAAGTAAGAAGACAGATTTCGAAAAAATCTTTATTAACATCCTGTTTTTCCAGGTTTTGACGATTTTCTCGGTTTTTCTATAGGAATATTTTTTTAATTTTTGTTTATTAAAATATAAGCCTTCCCAAACATTTTGCTACCCCCCGCGCACCTCTGTACGATGAATAAAAATAGATTTTTCATCTCCTCGAAAAAAAAGGTGTTTTTTTTTCAGAAACCGTGAGATCTCGGGAACGGTTCAACTTTACGGTCCCAAAAAAATTTTCTCCTTTTTTATCATAAAACAAGCTATGTTTCCTCCACATTTTTAACCCCTACGACTTTTTTTCGCAAAAATATGAAAAAAAAGTCAGTTTTTCCGGTTTTTCTAGGAAAATTGGAGGTTATGCGAAAATAGTGCAGATACAAAAGTCGTTCATTTTTTAATTCTCTATAACTTTTATATCGAACATTTTCGCCTAAAATTAATAGTTATGCCACAAATTGCCAAATACCACTTTTCACCCCCGGGATTTCTCCAGCGGAAAAATTGTGCTGATTTAATTATTTTTTCCTAATTTCTAATCATTTCACCTGCATGAAAAACCCGATTTGAAGCTGTAAGTAATTTTTTTTTGGCAAAAAATATTATATACCCTGGACTAATAGGGATAAATGGAAAATTGAGTAGTTAATTTGGAATAGATGGTCCAATCGAAATGACTCTGATAGTCATGACGTCATAATACCAGTTTCGTCACGTGACCAACGATGTCGTTGCAAGCGTTCCGCGATCGTGTTGAATTTGTTCCGTTTTCAATTAATTTGCGAAGTGCTATATTAAAATAAACTTTAAAAAAGGCAAATAAAAGACGCGGAAAATAGTTGGACGTCGTTCGTTTCGATCCGTAATACGTGAATCGGTGTTTAAACGTAATTTAAACTACCAAAAATTATGGCGTCCCTACTTTTGGTTCGAATTTAAACCGGCGTTTGCGTGTTGGATTTGGTGACACGATCGCGTAAATTTTGATTTCGTTATTAAATTCAACCCTTAAAATAATAAAAACCGACGGGGAGGTGTTCGCAAATCGGTAATTTCGGTGCCGTTTGAAGATTATCAAATTAAGAAAAAAATGGCGTCCTATTTTAAATTCGGTCGTTTGCGTTAAAAACTTAACTATTTGTGCATCTTTTTCGTGTTTGGAATCAAGAAGCCTAAGATTTCATGGATATGTTGATTTGAGGTAAGTTTGTAGACCTTTAAAAGTTGCATGGTAACGGTTACGATAATGCTTGCGCCAGCCTTAAGATACGACATGGCTAGTATCGATAGTAACAATTCGTTCAAAGTATTCAGTACATTTCATTTCGGTATAAATGATAGGGTCACAATTCATTTATCATCAGCCGCAAAACGGGAGGCTGAACAGTAACGAAGCAAAATTGTCTTGACGCACCTGCACGATAACCGCACTCCAGTATCTTGCTACCCGCCTTCACATTAATCCGATGAAGTAGGTTATAATGTCATATGCATTCAAGTTGTCGTTTAACACGTTCACCACTAGAGCTGGTGCTACAACAATTATCGCCAGTCAACCGGTTGTCACATGCGTTAAACAGTCATGCCGTGTACCACCAACGTGGTGAAATACCATCTCCTAAGACAGCCGGCTGTGTACCGTTGGCATGGAAAAATAGCATCTCCTACGATAGCCAGCCTTACATGTGGCGGCCAATGTGTTAGTACAGTGAGAATGATCACAGTCCTACGGAACACTACGCTACGATTTGTAACAATTTCATGGAAATCGTGGTACTTACGGTCGAGACTCTATTAATACATTGCACGAGTGCACTCCAGTTTGACGAAATCTTTCCCTCGGCAGCTTGAATTTCAGAACATAAATTTCAAAGTAACGGGTTTGTCGTTCACAACCTGATTCTCCTCCGATACCTGCGATATTGACAAATGAAGATCAAGGTATAAGCAAACTTTAAGTTACGGGATACTTGCCCCTCGTAAACATTTCACAAATTCGACCAAGAGGGGGCCCACGCCGGCTACCAGGATTCGCAACTCAATTCTTTCATCCATTGCAGCACTTCTTCCACAATTCTCTCTTTATTTCCTTTTCACTTCATCAACAGGTGATTAATTTCAAAGTAAACTATCATACACGAATCAGAGAGTATAAGCCTACGAGTTAAAATAAGCGTTGAGTGAAAAATAGTAGTATAAGTAATGAACTGTGGGATAAGATGTAAATGAATTTGTACCAGTGGCGTACCTGTTGTAATTTTGTCATGATTACTCTACGTCTTTGGATTAATCTGAATGCAATTAAAAGAACAAAACAAAAATGATCATTCCTCATATTCAATAACGTAGCTAAGGAGAGATGCAGGGGTGTTTTGTGTTGACATACAGATGACATTGTTTTCAAAAAATATCAATAGATTGAATAATTATTTGATTAACTCGGCGATTGATTGTATTTGAATATATTTCGCTTTTCAGTTCTTGACGATCGAGGAATTCGAGGAAGATCCGCAGTGTTTTCATCTCTTTTTGGTTGATGGTTCCTCCCAGAGAATGAATGAGGCTAAAGGGTAAGTGTTCATTTCTTTTATTGCTTTATTGTTTGTGTTTATACCTCAATTTCTTCATGAAAACGGTCAAACACAAATGCTTCACTGTCCCAGTCAAAATTTATAATTGTTTTAATCCATAAATACTCAAACACAAAATATCATTTCTAACATAAATCTTCTCTTTGTTACAGATTGCAGAAAGGCAGCCTCAGAAAGGTAGGATTTTTCCTTTTACACAGGTGTATTATACAAAAATTTGTCTTTCCCTTTAAAAATTTCTTATCGCGCGTTTATCAAATTCATTAAAGAACTTCTTCATAACAACAATTACAGATTTATTCATTTTTGTTGGAAAAACTGATACCCTAAATTAATTTTATCGTTCTCAATTTGTAATCGGTTCGAAAAGCGTTATCTACGTATAGTATTGACAAAATTAGTTGGTGGTAACCGTAAGCTAGATGGATGCGTTGTGTATGTCGTTTTGTAATTCTTCTCTTTCTTTGATTATGGACCCTAACTGGTATTTGCCTTCAAGACTGGTTCTTCTTCAATGAGGTTTTGGTCAACCATCAATCACCCTGTTGTCTTCTGGTTCTTTCTGCAGTATGATATGAACCGGTTGCAGTATGCTCTGTGACTCTGAGTAACTTTGGTAGCTGAACTTCTTGTTGATTTTCTTGTTTCTAGGTTTGTTGTCGGTGTGTGTGATTTCCATTCCTCGTTTGCGGTCCATTTTCACCATAGTTTGTTTGTTTTTTAGTTTGGACACTGTTGTCTCTCTTGATATTAGGTCAGCGAGGTTGTCATTTGTGCATACGTCCTTCCATTGGGGGTTATGTATAGTTCATGTAGCACCGGTCTCTATACTCCTGAAAGAACGTTATGTACTGCTCGCGTGCTAATGCACTTTTTCTAGCTTCTTTTCCAACTGGTGGACGTAGAACCCGAGGTAGAACCACTGCTACTGGACGCGAACTGTTAACCTCCACCTCCACTTCCTCCATTTCCCAATATTTTAATATATCGGTCTCTCTCTTTTTCAGTTGTTGAGTCAATTCTAATGACTGATGCACCTTTTTAGCGCATTTTTGAAAAAAATACGCTATTATATTCGTTATGGCTGGCTGGCCGGCTGTCCGGCTGAGATCTCAGCAACACAAAATAGCTATAGAGACTTCAAATTTTCACTAAAAGCTTTCTGCTATAGTGTAGCTGTGCTGGGTCTAGTCTATTTCAAGTTAGATTCCTTGTGAGATCGATAATTGAAGAAAATAATTTCGATATCGTTTTCGAAGGTGCTATAATTTTACCGTTAGATAGCGCTACCAGTATAAAAACTTATTATTTACTTTGTGATTTGTTTTACAAAATGAAGACGTACCCTCAATTGAAATTAAATAAAAAGCAGCGCGTAACTCTAACGTTTAGGGTCTTTTTGGGGGGGTATTTTGGATTGGATTTTATGGTTATTTTTAAGGACTTACCTTCTCGACTTAAACTTTTCGTTTTTTTTTATTTTTATAAAAAGGCAGGGCCTTCTTATAATAGCGTATCATTTTCAGCGCGTAACTTGTACGTTTAGGGCCTTTTTGGGAGGTATTTTGGATTGGACTTTATGGTCATTTTTAAGGACTTTCTCGACTTAGACTTTTCGTTTTTTTTTATTTTTATAAAAGGGCAGGGCCTTCTTATAATAGTGTATCATTTTCAGCGCGTAACTCTTACGTTTAGGGCCTTTTTGGGAGGTATTTTGGATTGGACTTTAAGGTCATTTTTAAGGACTTACCTTCTCGACTTAGACTTTTCGTTTTTTTTTTTTTTATAAAAGGGCAGGGCTTTCTTATAATAGTGTATCATTTTCAGCGCGTAACTCTTACGTTTAGGGCCTTTTTGGGAGGTATTTTGGATTGGACTTTATGGTCATTTTTAAGGACTTTCTCGACTTAGACTTTCCGTTTTTTTTTTATTTTTATAAAAGGGCATGTCCTTCTTATAGTAGTGTATCATTTTCAGCGCGTAACTCTGACGTTTAGGGCCTTTTTGGGAGGTATTTTGGATTTGACTTTATGGTCATTTTTAAGGACTTTCTCGACTTAGACTTTCCGTTTTTTTTTATTTTTATAAAAGGGCATGTCCTTCTTATTGTAGTTTATCATTTTAAGCGCGTAACTCTGAGACGTTTAGGGCCTTTTTGGGAGGTATTTTGGGTTTGACTTTATGCTCATTTTTAAGGACTTTCTCGACTTAGACTTTCCGTTTTTTTTGATTTTTATAAAAGGGCATGTCCTTCTTAAAGTAGTTTATCACTTTCAGCGCGTAACTCTGATGTTTAGGGCCTTTTTGGGAGGTATTTTGGATTTGACTTTATGCTCATTTTTAAGGACTTTCTCGACTTAGACTTTCCGTTTTTTTTGATTTTTATAAAAGGGCATGTCCTTCTTATAGTAGTGTATCATTTTCAGCGCGTAACTCTGACGTTTAGGGCCTTTTTGGGAGGTATTTTGGATTTGACTTTATGGTCATTTTTAAGGACTTTCTCGACTTAGACTTTCCGTTTTTTTTGATTTTTATAAAAGGGCATGTCCTTCTTATAGTAGTGTATCATTTTCAGCGCGTAACTCTGACGTTTAGGGCCTTTTTGGGAGGAATTTTGGATTTGACTTTATGGTCATTTTTAAGGACTTTCTCGACTTAGACTTTCCGTTTTTTTTTATTTTTATAAAAGGGCATGTCCTTCTTATTGTAGTTTATCATTTTCAGCGCGTAACTCTGACGTTTAGGGCCTTTTTGGGAGGTATTTTGGATTTGACTTTATGGTCATTTTTAAGGACTTTCTCGACTTAGACTTTCCGTTTTTTTTATTTTTATAAAAGGGCATGTCCTTCTTATTGTAGTGTATCATTTTCAGCGCGTAACTCTGACGTTTAGGGCCTTTTTGGGAGGTATTTTGGATTTGACTTTATGGTCATTTTTAAGGACTTTCTCGACTTAGACTTTCCGTTTTTTTTTATTTTTATAAAAGGGCATGTCCTTCTTATTGTAGTGTATCATTTTCAGCGCGTAACTCTGACGTTTAGGGCCTTTTTGATATCAATTTTGAGTTCGCACAGTTGAACATCGCGCTATTTTTACAGTCATTTTTAAGGACTTTCTCGACTTAGACTTTCCGTTTTTTTTTATTTTTATAAAAGGGCATGTCCTTCTTATAGTAGTGTATCATTTTCAGCGCGTAACTCTGACGTTTAGGGCCTTTTTGATATCAATTTTGAGTTCGCACAGTTGAACATCGCGCTATTTTTACAGTCATTTTTAAGGACTTTCTCGACTTAGACTTTCCGTTTTTTTTTATTTTTATAAAAGGGCATGTCCTTCTTATAGTAGTGTATCATTTTCAGCGCGTAACTCTGACGTTTAGGGCCTTTTTGGGAGGTATTTTGGATTTGACTTTATGGTCATTTTTAAGGACTTTCTCGACTTAGACTTTCCGTTTTTTTTTATTTTTATAAAAGGGCATGTCCTTCTTATTGTAGTGTATCATTTTCAGCGCGTAACTCTGACGTTTAGGGCCTTTTTGATATCAATTTTGAGTTCGCACAGTTGAACATCGCGCTATTTTTACAGTCATTTTTAAGGACTTTCTCGACTTAGACTTTCCGTTTTTTTTTATTTTTATAAAAGGGCATGTCCTTCTTATAGTAGTGTATCATTTTCAGCGCGTAACTCTGACGTTTAGGGCCTTTTTGGGAGGTATTTTGGATTTGACTTTATGGTCATTTTTAAGGACTTTCTCGACTTAGACTTTCCGTTTTTTTTGATTTTTATAAAAGGGCATGTCCTTCTTATTGTAGTTTATCATTTTCAGCGCGTAACTCTGACGTTTAGGGCCTTTTTGATATCAATTTTGAGTTCGCACTGTTGAGCATCCTTTCAAAAGAACAAAACAGAATTGATATCTTCTCATATTCAGGGACGTAGTTATAATAATTGCAGGGGTATTTTGTGTTGTGGACATTTGGCTCATTTCTTTTGTATTTTTAGTGCATTTTTGAGAAGTTTGAAATGTTAGCTCTTCTATATTTTTTTGATATTTTTTTAACACCGATTTTTCTAGTAAAGGCAAACATATTGCGTGAGTAAGAATCGAATGTGCGCATGCCCAGATGGTATTCTTTTCAAAAAATCTCAATACATTGAATAATAATTGAAACATTTTGATTTAGTCAAGCGATTGATTTTATTGGAATATATTTCTCTTTTCAGTTTTTGGCCAATTGGAGGTGCAGTGTTTCATCTTTGCAAGGCTTGATGTTTCTTCCACGGAAAGACTGAATTAATAAGGCTAAAGGGTAAGTGTTCATTCCTTTTATTACAATTTCAATTTCTTAAGAAAACTGTAAAACGCAGACAAATGCTCTACTGTCCCAGTCAAAATTTATAATTGTTTTAAACCATAAATACTCAAAACACAAAATATTTTAATATCATTTCTAACGTAAATCTTCTCTTTGTTACAGATTGCAGAAAGGCGGTCTCATAAGGTAGGATTTTTCCTTTTCTGCATGGTGTATTGCATGTCATATTTTTTTGTAAGGGGGGTAAAAGTGAATAGTGAATATATTAACAAGAAGGAAGATCAACAATTGCTCTTCGCTTGAGCTTCGTTTTAATAACTACGCAAGTTGTAACAATCTTCTTTGTCTGTCACCCTAGTGACATGGTATTGGATTATTATACCTTCGTTTGTTATTGCACTAAGTTCAGCTTAGAGGAAGGTAAGTGCGTGTTCATAATATATTTGTGAATTACTTCATTAACCAAAAAAAAATTGTACTTGAACTCGCTTTACATGGTTACCTAATTACTAATCTCATCGATTGTTACAGTCCCATCGACGCCACTCAACCTGTTGGTGAGGATTACGCCTACCACCAGTGCTGGGTTAAGGGTTTCTGAGCTAGGGGAACCTACAAAAGCCCCCCCCCCCCACTACCTTGTCAACTAAATTTTCAAACTTTTTGATTCCTTTGTTTATTTAGAAAAACAGTCAATATTTTTTGTCACTTTGAAAATTTTAAAATTACCGTTTCTATAACTTTTCTCTGCCAATAGAATCGTGTGCTATACAGGTGGTCCAAAAACTATGGAATATCGTATGGTAAACATCAATATTTTCAAAAATGTTTCAAATAACTTATTTGGTACCTATTTAATTTCTCATCACATGGAATTTTTTATTTTTTAATTTTTTTTTAAACAAAAGCGCAACAGGTAATTTTTTTAATGATCTAACTTAATTGATAGAATTTCTTATTCCCTTTTCAAAAATGTGAAATATTAAAAAAATCAAGCAAACCGCGAAAAACTGCGGGTGGGTGTATTCCAAGAACGTCCAAGAATGCTCATTTATCTTGTTACCCATGATTGTTTTATGCTAATCTGGATATTGAAACAAGTGAACGTCCACCTATCTAAATTAGTAACTTTTCTCTTCAAGTTCACGTACTACTGTCACAATCTAAGGCGCAATCAGTTGTTTCAATATCTAGATGAGCACAAAACGATCATGAGTGACTAGATGAACGTTGTTGAAATACATCTACGCCCACTTTTTCTCGATTTTCTCAAAATTTACACAGCACTATCAAAAAAGTTGGCAAAAGAAGTGTATTGGAATTCAAAAAAAAAATTATCTGTTGCACTTTTGTTATAAAAAAATTAAATTCCATGTGATAAAAAACTAAATAAACAATATTTTATAGGATATTCTATACTTTTCGGACACCGTGTATATATACAAAGTCATTTCAAAAATCTTTAATCAATCGTCAATACTGCCAGCAAACAATTGAACTAGAAACTAAATTTTGAAGCTGTTTGGTCCCTTGGTTTATTTACAAAAAATTATCGTTTTTACCACCCACTCTTTTTCGACATACATATCATTATATTTATTATAGTACTAGGGGTGGTCCCAGTCGGTTCTTTTACTGCGACATTTTGGTCTATTGTGGCTACCCTTCAAAAATCCCTGTGTTTTTAACAAACTCCAGAATTTCGATAGGGCGAACTCTTGTTACTTCCTCTTGTCTAATTTTTTCATTTCCAAGTAGGCGCTCCCTTGCCTCACAATGCAAATGATGTGGTATGGAGTTTCTTCTTCCTCACCACAACCCTTGCATAAAGGGCTGTCAGTCAGTCCTATTTGGTACACATTGTTTGGTCAAACGACAATGGTCTGTGACCATTTCTGACGCAAGTTTTATCTTCATCCTACTTACCTTTAAGATGGACGATGCTAATTTCCCCTTTGGGGTTTTCAGAAAGATCTGGGAACGGTTCTGTCCTGGAAATTTCGACCAATGTCTGCAGTGGGGAATTTTTCGGACTGTGGGGCACTTTTCGAAAAACGATAGGTAGAGGGTTTTAGGTGAGCCTTTGGGCCACCACGGAGCCCTTATCCTCCCCGTGCAAAACTCACTCATTTTAATAAATCAATTTTGAATTGCAACTTGCATTATATTCGTATACCGCGCCATTGACCAAATGAAAGGGAATTTTTCGAACTGTGGGCCACTTTTCGAAAAACGACAGTTAGAGGGTTTTAGGTAAGCCATTGGGCCTCCACGGCGCCCTTAGCCTTCGCGTGCAAAATTCACTCACTCACACACTTGCGCAATTTGTCAACTTCGGGGACGAATTTGTCGAGGTTTAGGGCTCTTTTCCAAAAAGGGGATGAAAATTGATCCCGGTGCCATCACTTTCGAAGGCCGTTGATTAAAAAAAAAACGAATGTAACTTCAGCCCGGTCCTAGTTATTTTTTGTTTCCCCATTTAGGTTGGTACTATCCCAAAAGCGAATGTCCTTAAAAAAAAAGCGAAAGTAACTTCAGGCGTGTCTTTCTTTTCTATCTCCATTTCTGTCTATATCTACTATCTGAACTACCATTGTAGTCGGGCGTTTCACTTAATCTCCTCACCAGTCGGTCTACCACCAATGACCACAGCGGCGGAGAGAGATAACTCCCCCCTGCGAGCATCCTCGTGCAGCCCGAACCACTACAGGGTCATTGTTAAGCGAGGGTGTAATATTTGTGTTCTAGAATGGTATTGTCAAACATCCCCTCTATATCTAAAAACGCCCCAGAGCCACCTCCAGGAGATCGCCCTTTCCGTTACATCCCACTACTCTGTGGATAGCCAGTTCACAGGATTTCCTTGGTTGATAGTCAGGTTTATTGATGGGTTCGGTCATCTCTTATGAGTCACTAAATAAGTTCCCCCATTAGTCTTCACTACCCCCCCCCCCCCCTAAAACCCAATTTCCTCTGTTCCCCCTGAGAGGTGGTTCCAGAGTAATTGGTTCGCCCGCCTCAGGGTCTTTGATCCCGACAAAAAAAAAGGTCTGCTTTGCGGTCTCTGTGTGACCCCCCTCAATTTTCTTCCAGGAACTCATTCTACCCTCTGTTCCTTTTTGTAAGACTCTTGGAGTCTGGCACCTTCCTGGAATTTGTTCAATTTCCTCGCAGCACCTCCTCCACGAGTCACATTTTGCCTTTCTTATGACCTTCGGTGAGTGTTGTTCGGTACCAGCATTTTGGATTTCGATCCTTTTCCGGATCTTCCCCGCTCCTACTTGCGCCCCGTGTGCCCTTACTGGTTTTGGGAGGTTCTTCGCTTCAACAAGTCGAAGTTTCTCCCTCCTTCCACTGGTCTGCTCTCTCTACTTCCGCGACTTCAAACCGTCCACCTACACCTGGTCTGCGCATGCGATCAATAGCGCTCCTCCTTGAACCGAAACCGCCCCAATGGACAAAAATGGTCGACTCTGTCAAGGATCCAAGTTTTGATTCGCCCTGTCTCCTCTTCCGACAGCGTTCCTTCCAGGTCTTCATGGACAAAAAGCCATTCTGAAGTTTCCAGCTGCTTCGCTAAAGGTTCTTGTATCCTTTACGGCCCCAGTTTTTTGCCTTTTTTGGGCTACTTTCCTTGGGAGTGCTGTCATCAGACCGGTGTCCCTGAGGGATTTTTAAAATACTCTGATTTACATACACAGGGTGTTCCTACATATGATGTAAAGGAAGGAGCTAATTCCTTGGCTTCTTTTATGACTAAAAGTTCATGAAAATGTAGGTTCGCAAACGCTTCGTTACCAATCTACAGGGTGTTTAAATTTCAAAATTGTTTAAGTTTTTTCTTTTATATCTTCTGCAATTTTTTAGATATTGTAACGTGATTTATAAATTCGGGTTCGATTTATATCAATATTTATTAAACAAAACTAAAACACTATAAAAACCGTACAATTTATATCGACTATTTATATCACACACTTCGCAATTTATATTTCCGCGCTCGATGTTTCATACGTACTCGATCTCGTTCGGTAGTAAACTGCCTGCGATGTTCGGTCCGCAACCATTTATACACGCAAGCAATGTAAGTCCAGAACACTCGCGTAATTACCGGATAAGTCTGGAATATTCCTATACAAATCACACTATCGCGCGCGTAGAAAATTCCAGAGCGCCAAAGGCGACGTCATGTCTGGAGCGTTTCCGTTACAATATTTTGCTCAAATTTGAAATATAACTTATGCTGAAGGGCTTACATCTTTGGTAGTAAGAATCTACAGGGTGTTCTTTTTCAGGTGTCATGTTCCATTTTCTTCCCCTGAACTTTTTTTCTGTGCGCCCCTCGCAGATTGTAAAATCAAAATTTGATTGTCTGTTTTGTCATGTTTGCGTATTTTCGATTGTTATTGAGAAAAAAAATCAATTTTCATTTTTCATTTTTAAAATGGTCCAGTAAGTTTTTATTAGTTTTGACAGTTTGCATTTGAAATTGTAACTTGTGTTTGCATATGTTTATAACTTAAAGGTTTAATTTGTAAAGTATGCGAAGAAATTATAACACCCTGTACATTTGTAAAGGAGTGGACCTATGTTTATATGAACCTTTAGTCATAAAATAAGCCAAAGAATTAGCCCCTTCCATATTTAGGAACACCCTGTATAATAAAAACCTGAAATTTAATGTCATGCGTAAAATTCGCTGTAGCCCCCATAGTCCCCCCCTTAATCCAGCATTGCCGACGACTTCTGCGATGGATCAGATCGAATTCAAGCCTGGATTATATGGACATGGTTCACGAAAACGAGGTGAGTACCTTAACGGAAATTCCCAAGCCAAATTTTGATTTCATACGTAACGTAGCGTAAAGAAAAAAATTATTGAATGTCGAAAATTAATTATAATTCTAATTGTTTGTTCTACACAAAAACCAGAGGTAATAGCGTTTTTTTTTTAATTTTTCAGTTATTGGTAATGGCGTCCGAAGAGAATCCATGCCAGTAGCCCGCGGTCGTGAACTCCCGGCGCTTCCCGAGTCAGAATTAATAAGGCTAAAGGTAAATTTCCACCTCTTTATTAAGACGTAGTAGCAAATGTAATAACGGCTTCACTTTCTGGCGTCTCCTTCAATAAAGAAAAATTAACCTCTCCCTCCCCCAACATACATTTTTTGATTAATTTTAAATTTTGCAATTATATTAATTCAACTTTCTCTTGTTTCAGATTCTGGAAGAGCAGCCTTATAAAGGTAGGGCGCATGTTTGTATTTTCTTAGTGTATTTAGCAGTGGGGGAAAAGTGAAGTGTATAGTGCAACCAAAAGTGATCTTTAGTGAATTATGGAAATCTCCGTTTGACAACAGAAAATAACTGTAATTATTCTTCGCAAAGTTGCTCTCGTGGGATCAGTCAGTTTGCTTTGTATCAATGTGTATGACTATGGATTCATAGCCATACCGTTTTACAAAGCGAAGTGATTGTTTTCTGCGGATTTAACTTTGAAGAAGGATTGCACTCTTTAACGGAAGGGGAAGTAAATGGGCTTTAATAAGAATTGTCCCACTAATCTATCATTGATTGTTCTCAGACAAGGCACGTGAACTTCAACCACGCTGGTGAGAATTTCTCCGCCAACTTGATCCTGCTCAAACAATGTAAGCACACCACAAGTACACTCAAATCAAATCAATGAGTTTTTGTTAGCAGGATCCCACCCCTGGAACAGGTAACTGGTCTCTCGTGCGGAAAACGTTTTGGTAAAGAAGGGCTTTGCGATTAACCAGTTTTAGGTGTCGTAACGGTTTCTCGTTACAGTTATTCCTATCCTTGAGATTGTCACTTCACGTCGACCATCCAACAAATCAACGGAATTGGACAATTTTCACTTAGGCAGGGGACCAAGACTAAGACTACGGCTTCAAATAAAAGTTAACGGCACTTTGTACGAGCCCAGACGCATATGTATTGGACCACATGAAACGTTGCTTTACCTTTTTGTTTATTTTATAATTATTGCCGTTGATAAAAGTGTTGAATATCTGTTTTGGTCCAATACATATGTGGCTGGGCCCTTATATACTTTTCCCAGTATTGTTAAAAAAAATGTAAAATGTTGTACTTATACCAAACAAATAAATTGTAATGAAAAACAAAAATTACTATTTGAATTAATTATGTGCGTGGTAGGTTCGAATTGGAACCCTTCAACTCGTACAGTTAATTTTCGATGGTTACCAGGAGCACATAAGAAATAAAGGGGCCATTTCAATCCCCAATTTTTGTTTAATCTTCCAAGAACGGTTGGTTCAAGAGAATATAGTCACTTTCTCCTATTATATGAGTGACTGGTTAGCAACAATCCTGGAACTCTTCTCCGGATATCAGAAGAACTAATAAATGAGTAATATCCATTACTGTAACGGGGTATTTCATTTCTGGTTACCCGGAGTCATGTGACTGTCTTCCTGGAGGACTCCCCCCTCCCCTACAATTGACCACCAATGAAATATAGGATCGAATTTTAGCATAGACCTTGAAGGGAAGAGCTCAGATCAACTACTACTATCAATTTCGTGGCCACGGTCTTTGTAAACCTTAATATCAATTATGTTCTACTACAACAAATAAATGTCACCGTACGTCATAGAAGGAATGTCCTCCGGTAGGAAATGCTGTTGAGACAAAATAAACCCGAAACGGTCCTCCTTACGACGACAATGACTCGGAAAATCAAACAATGGGGCTGCAGATTGCAAGAGAGTAGGAAAATTAGACTGTTCCTCAAGAAATCCACGCACTGGAATCCCGCTGAATTGCATTTTTGCAATGCAGACGATGATCTCACAACTTTTGGTAGCAAGATCTTCTGCTATCTACGGCTCGCTGAAACCGGAGACTTCCGAAAGTCATTGTGACAACCACACTCTACAGAATTTAAATTCGCAGAATAAAAAATATGACCGCTAATTTTAATGTGGTTTTCCGTGCACGAGAGTTGTGAGGGCTAAACGTTTTGGGGGAGAACGTAGTACCGGGATACCCCCCAGCTGTAAGGGCGATTTCATGACCCTATCGCAGAAGCAACATGGTAGTTTTTGGGAAAAGATAATCGATTACTTCTGAGTGCCGGAGGGTATTCCATTAATCCATCTTAAGATTGTTGTAAATTTATTGTTAATTAACTAGTTACTGCAATCGGATCTGAAAAGCGTCTAGCATTATTAAATAGAAATAAAAAATTTACATCGTTTTGCCTACCATCTAACAGCTCTTGGGCCGTTTTAGAATCAACGATTACGCTCAATCCATCGATTTCCAGCTCCATTAAATTCTCATTCTGTGATTCACTCACTGGCCCATATGAATAAAAGTAAGCAAATGCTTATACTTGCAAAATTCAAAGTAAATACTCGTAACTGCCCCTTCATACTGGGCGACTTAGCAGCGCTTCTAAACAGAAAGACAGGACGCAGTGCAGCGCTTCTAAACCATGCTAAACAGACCAGTATAAAGGGGCAGTTACGAGTATTTACTTTGAATTTTGCAAGTATAAGCATTTGCTTACTTTTATTCATACGGCCCATTGTCTCAGCTATCTATGAGTAATGGACTACACCTATGCATTTACAGCAAGTTCTGATAATGAAGCGGTTATCTTATAATGTTCCAATATCGATAACCTAATCTTGAATTCTACGAATTTTACTATCTGTTGAGCTTTCGCGGGAATGGCTCCTGGACCGGCTTCCGGTGGCAGAAGAAATACGGAAATGACGTACGCTGCTGCCGAAGTACCTACATGAGCCAAACTCTAGATTATACAGTGGTTCCATTGTCATTTCCAAAAAGAAAACCCATGATAGTACTGAGGATTAGGGAGGAAACGTGGTCTAGTCTTTATCTGTCGGGTGTTTTGAAATCTTCGCCAGGGTTCCATACCCCAGGCCCCCCGGTACTATTTTCTACGGAATACTATTATTCAAAAGGGGATCTGATCATTTTCCCAAAACCTATTATGGATTTCTGGAGGGCTAAACGTTTTTTTTTTTGGGAAAGGGTGCTACCGGGGGGTCTAAATACCCCCCCCCCCTCAGTAGATTATACAGTGGTTCCATTGTCATTTCCAAAAAGAAAACCCATGATAGTACTGAGGATTAGGGAGGAAACGTGGTCTAGTCTTTATCTGTCGGGTGTTTTGAAATCTTCGCCAGGGTTCCATACCCCAGGCCCCCCGGTACTATTTTCTACGGAATACTATTATTCAAAAGGGGATCTGATCATTTTCCCAAAACCTATTATGGATTTCTGGAGGGCTAAACGTTTTTTTTTTTGGGAAAGGGTGCTACCGGGGGGTCTAAATACCCCCCCCCCCTCAGTAGATTATACAGTGGTTCCATTGTCATTTCCAAAAAGAAAACCCATGATAGTACTGAGGATTAGGGAGGAAACGTGGTCTAGTCTTTATCTGTCGGGTGTTTTGAAATCTTCGCCAGGGTTCCATACCCCTCCAGGCCCCCCGTACTATTTCCTACGGAATACTATTACTCAGAAGGGGATCTGATCATTTTCCCAAAACCTATTATGGATTTCTGGAGGGCTAAACGTTTTTTTTAAAAAGGTGCTACCGGGGGGTCTAAATACCCCCCCCCCCCAGAAGATTATACAGTGGTTCCATTGTCATTTCCAAAAAGAAAACCCATGATAGTACTGAGGATTAGGAAGGAAACGTGGTCTAGTCTTTCTCTGTCGGGTGTTTTGAAATCTTCGCCAGGGTTCCATACCACCAGGCCCCCCGGTACTATTTTCTACGGAATACTATTTTGCAGAAGGGGATTTGATGATTTTCCCATAACCTATTATGGATTTCTGGAGGGCTAAAGGTTTTTTTTGGGGAAAAGGTGCTACCGGGGGGGTCTAAATACCCCCCCCCCCAGTAGATTATACAGTGGTTCCATTGTCATTTCCAAAAAGAAAACCCGTGATAGTACTGAGGATTAGGGAGGAAACGTGGTCTAGTCTTTCTCTGTCGGGTGTTTTGAAATCTTAGCCAGGGTTCCAGGCCCCCCCCGTACTATTTCCTACGGAATACTATTATTCAGAAGGGGATCTGATCACTTTCCCAAAACCTATTATGGATTTCTGAAGGGCTAAACGTTTTTTTGGGGAAACCGGGGGTATTCCATATCAATATAGTAGATTATAAGTGGTTCCATTGTCATTTCCAAAAAAAAAGGCGGCAAAAAAAGGGGAGTGGCTAGAGGTGTCATAAGATCAGCGAAACAAAGGAAAGCGTGACGGAGAAAACGGGGAGAGAGAAAACGAAATTGGAAAAGGGGGCGAGTGCATTGATTTGAGGAGAAGAGGAAAACATCAAAAACTAACCGAAGGAGTAAGTAGAGAAACAATAAGGGCGGCAAATGAGATAGACAAAATGAAAGAGAAGATGACGGAAGAAATCGGAGGGTTAAGGGAGGCAATGAAGAGAAGGGAAAAGCATTAGAATAAAGAAAAAGAAAAAGTGATGGAGAAGATAAGAGAGAAAAAAGGAGAAGAAAAGCTACAAGTAGCGGCGAACGTAAAAGTGGCGAAAGCAATTGAAGTAGGGGGAAATAGGTAATAGTTTCGGAAATCACATGGTAAAAGAAGAAGGAAATTGTGAGGAGTAAGAGAGAGTTAAAGGGAAGTAACTGACGAGTTGACGTATAAAGAAAGAAGGAGACAGGGAAGTGGCTGAAAGACGAAAAGGAAAAGGCAAGGAAGTGAGATGGAGGTATAGGAAATTAATTGCAGAAAATGGAGCAACACAGAAAGTGTGAACTGAGTGGACGGGGGCGGGGTTTGACAGACAAATTAACTAAGTATAAAACAGGAAGGAGGGGAACGGGGGTTGAAGAAGGAGGAATGGTTACGTTGAATGGGGTGTCACTGAGGTTCTATGGTCTTCCCAAAATACACAAGGAGAATATACCACTCGGGTCCATTTCTAATTGATAATGGTACAGTGTGGCGACGGGCCGCATGCACACCTGGCAGCAAACTAAAACGTGCTGCACCCTCATTGGTCAAAACGGCCAACCGAGCGTAGTGTTGTCAAATTAAGAGAGTCATAGTTACTCCTCGCCGATCGGGGGTGTAATCTATACGTGGTGGTGGTAGAAAGTGAATTTGTGCGTCTTCCTATTTCTTAGTAATTGTTTAATTATAATCAAAGACAGTACTATGGCCCTTGTACTTCTCCATCGGAGCTTACGAGCTTTTCTTCTCGGATGACGTAGACTTCTTCCTTACAAGCCTAATCAGCGACCTACAGACGAACGCAATCGTCAGTAATGAAAGCGAAAGGCCGAGCAATAACGCCCCGATCACGTCCAGGAGTAGGTACTGGTACCACGGCAAGTCCAAAAGCGGACTTCTGAGGTGCTTCGCTCCCTTGTGCCGTATCACGTACTCCGTCCACCAAATTGCCTTTTCAAGCCCGCTCATTGGCTGATCGCGAGCTAGTTGCGCCAACTTGGTGACAGTATTTCGATACCTAAAACTCCAGGTCATTTGCGCGGGAAGCAACGGTCATGATTCTCTCACTTGGAATTGCCGATGACTTCAACAATCGCCTGCCTAAAGCTCTCCCTCTCCAAATTCTTGTAGTTCAACCCCAACCCGAATCCCCTGTTCACCATCTTCCGCACGTTGAAGGGCTGATCGCCGAAGAACGGAATTCCGAGCATCGGCACGTGCGACTGGATCGCCTCGTCCATGGACTGCTGGCCTCCTTGCGTTATGAACAGCTTAATGTTCGGGTGCCCTGAAACGTAACCCCTCTAGCGATCGAAAATGCAATGCAGGTGACTCACTCAGCACGTCTTCCTGAGGCAACCACTTTGCCACGACAACGTTGCGGGGCTTCCTGGAGATGTTCCCGCCAAATTTCCAAAGTACTGTGAACGGCAGTTCTGCGAAAACACCGAGCATCATATCGATCGTCTTCTCCCCCAGAAACTCGCTCCGAACGTTGGTTCCCAAGCTGAAGTAGATAAAACCGCCGGTAGCGGCGTCCAGCACCAGTTGAATGTCCTGTAAATTAAACGCGTTTAAAACTCGGACGTTGACCCGCGAACCTTACCTGGGGAAGAGGTCGCGGTGGGCTCCTGTGGAAACCGTCGCCGCCGATTTGCACGACGGCCGGCACAAGCGGCCGATTGTGATGGAAGATGGGATCGGCGTTGACGAACAGCAAGCTGATGTTCTCGGCCATCTCCCTGATTGGAGGGTAGTCGCTTCCGAAGTGCTTCTCCACCAATTCCTTTTCGAGCTCCTCCATCTCCAGGTATACGTTGTTGTAACCCAGCTCGTAGAGGAAACTAGACACGCGCTCCGTCAGCGTTGGTCCATCTCCGAAGGGTAGTAAATTGTCCGGGAACAAGCTCGAGTGAATCGGATTGCCGACTTTCTTCAGCATGGCGTTCGGAGCGTCTATCGTCAACATTCCGATGTAGGGACAATTAAATCTGACGGCAAAGGGCAGTATGCTGTTCCAGAGGTGCTCCAGGATTACCAAGTCGAAACGTGCGTCTTTGTCGTCGATCAATTCCCGAACCGGTGGGAATCCCAGTAACTTGTCCACCGTCGGGAGGGCGTTCGTAAACATGTACCTTACTTGACGCGCGAGGTTCGTGTCCCCCAGCTCGACTATCTTATGCATGTGTCCTTGGGTATCATCTGCGAAGGTTCCCAAGTCGATCTCCGTTAAATTCACCAATTTTGCATCTTTGATCGGGTGCGTGGTGATGGTCGTCACTTGATGACCGCGTAGTGATAACTCCCTCCAAAACGGTTTGAAGAACGCCTGGTGGCTGTAGCCTGGCGTCAGCACAACCCCTAAAATCCTAGCTGCACTTGCAACTCCTATTAAAAGGGACAGTTTGACGAGCAGCAACATGACGACGACCCAACGACTCGAAATGAACGGTGGGATCTTTTATCGCTCACGCTATCAAATGCACTCACGCCTATCACTGGATAACAACGTGCCTTGTCCCGAAGGTCGTCCAATTACTATTTATTTAACCGAAAAGTTCGTAATCGGCTGATATTAACGTTTTTGCTACATTCATACCAAAATCAGCAATCATACGTGGAAAAACATCCGTGACTACCTCCTCAAACTCCCCTTCAAAATTTTCCATTTCATTCTATAGGCTCTGTAGGTCTTTTCCTGTGGAGGTGTTTCAACCCTTCATACAAAAAGTATGAGTAAGCACTCTTGTAAAGGTTCTCTGACTATACCAGGACAACAAGATAGAGAAAGAGGTTTTTTCCACAACTAAGACGCTTATTTGCGGTTTCAAAGGATCTCTTACATGGCTTTTACTGACTCTTGGAGGTTTTTGGAAATCCTTAGGACTTTATAAGACTTTTCTTTTTTTTTTCAAGAAAACTACCACGAGGGTACTGTGGATCATAGGAAAAGGTTATCGAGTCCTTTGCTGGGTTGTTTTAAACCTTTGCTGCTTTAAACATCATTTTCAGGAAGTGGTCATAGAACTTCCCTCGCTGGAGGGTTCCATATACCCTGGCATTCTCATTGTAATCTTTGGAAAAAGATAATATCAACTCTTTACGTTTACGGGGGCGGGGGGGGGGGGTTCTTCCATTTTAGCGTTCAACCTTCAGGGCCTCCATAATGATTTTTAGAAAAGGACAGATAAATCTCTGTTTTAGAATCGTATTGCTAAGTTCGATTGTCTTTTCTTTCAAATTATCGTATGTGCTAACACTAGACGTTTTTTTGGGGGTAATATAGCACCGGGGGGTGTGGGGGGTATGGAATACCCCCCAGCAGTACCCTCACCAGAGGAGGACTCGTTAATTCCTTTATCTTTAGTACTCACAGTAATCTTTGGGAGAAGAAAATCAAATCTTCGTATGCTGGGGGGTATTCCATACCCACTAGACCCCCAGGTACTGCTTTCACCCATGCTAACCTTCAGCCTCTTCACCCCTCTTATTATATATTTTAGAAAAGGGCAGACAAATCTCTGTTTTAGAATCGTATTGCCAAGTTCGATGGTCTTTTCTTTCAAATTATTGTATGTGCTAACACTAGACTTTGGGGGGGGGTATAGAATACCCCCCAGCAGTACCCTCACCAGAGGAGGACTCGTTAATTCTTTATATCTCTAGTACCCACAGTAATCTTTGGGAGAAGTAAATCAAATCTTCGCATGCTGGGGGGTATTCCATACCCCTCAGACCCCCCGGTACTGCGTTCTCCCATGCTAACGTTCCCTTTCTTCACCGCTCCATTATAGATTTGAAAAAAGGACAGACAGATCTCTCTTTTAGAATCGTATTGCTAAGTTCGATGGTCTTTTTCCTCAGATTATCGTATGTGCTAACACTAGGCGTTTTTTTTGGGGTAATATAGCACCGGGGGTCTGGGGGGTATGGAATATCCCCCAACAGTATCTTCACCAGACGAGGACTTGTTAGTTCTTTTTATCTCTACCCACAGTAATCTTTAGGAGAAGAAAATCAAATCTTCGTATGCTGGGGGGGTATTCCATACCCCCCAGACTCCCCGGGACTGATTTCTCTCATGATAACGTTCACCCTCTTCACTGCTCTCATAATAGATTTTAGAAAAGGACCGAAAAATCTCTCTTTTAGGATCCTATTGCTAAGTTCGATGGTATTTTTCCTCAAATTATCGTATGTGATAATTCTAGATGTTTTTGGGTGAAAATATACTACTGGGTGGTCTGGGGGGGATTGGAATACCCCCCAGCAGTACCCTTATCAAAGCAGGACTCGTTAATTCTCTTTATCCCTAGTACTCACAGTACTCTTTGGGGGGGAGAAGGAAATGAAATCTTCGTATAATCGTATGCTGGGGGGTATTCCCCCGATACACATATCGTAAGCGCGGAGACCATGTAAAAATGTATTTACGTACGCGTATAGGCAATTTATGGGTCGTAAGGTAAAAATTAATCCCATTTCTGTGGGAAAAGATAACGGTTTTTTGATGGCGTGGGGTTCCCATTTCGAATAGTCCACAATACAACACTCCCCGGCTGTAGGCGGTAAACTTCTCCAGCACGCCACTGGTGGGTCTATTTGTGAATTTTAACGGTTATAATCCGACGTGACTCCCGAAAAATGCTCCTGCATCACTCTGGCGGCTGGCCTGACGATTGATTGGTGAAAATTATTCACAATTTTTGTTTCGGAGGTCAAAAGAAAGCCCTTTGTGTACGGATTTGTTTATTACGTACCTTAAAAGTTAAACTTTCGTAATTTTAAAAATTGCATTTTGCGGGTAACCCAACGCATGCGCATTCTTACGGAGTCACGTCGCATTCTAACTACTAGTGTTGTTTTTGTTTATTGTTAAAATGTGGTTTAAATTTTTTCCATTTGGGGGGGTGGGGTGCATTTTAGCGGATCCTTCACAACGATCTGAACTCTGGAGTAAGAGCAAACATGCGATGGACATTGAAATGGAAAGTCAAAGTCAGATAAAATGTGTTATCAAAGAGTACACGCAGTCCAAATCGTAAATAAACAACCGTGACACAGCTGACACTGACGTTATCAAATTTTTAGGTTAGGTTGTTATCATTATATAAAACGGGCGGCCGGTGGCCATTGGGTCAGTAGAACGCGATGGAGCTGCAGTGCGAGGTGCAGACATACGAGTGGGGCAAATTGGGCCTCGACAGTAAAGTGGCTGTTCTTCACAAGTTGTCGAATCCGACCTTCGAAGTCGGTGAAGATACGCCGTATGCGGAACTGTGGATGGGTACGCACCGCAACGCGCCCTCAAGGGTAAAGGAGACGGGTGAACTACTGTCCGCGGTCATCGAGACCAAACCGGAGTACCTGGGAGAGCCGGTGCGCCTAATGTTCGGGAATGAGCTGCCGTTTTTGCTCAAGATACTCTCCATAAACAAGGCGCTTTCGATTCAAGCTCACCCGTCCAAGGAGATCGCGAGGGAGCTGCACAAGTCCAACCCGGAGGTGTACAAGAATCCCAATCACAAGCCGGAATTCGCGATCGCACTGACACCGTTCGAGGCCCTTTGCGGCTTCCGCCCGATTGCCGAAATTAAAGAGTTCATGAAAAACATCCGGGAGCTCCGCGCGATTGTCGGTGTCGATATATCTGAGAAGTTCATTCTTAGCGACGCCGCAAACGAGAAGGACATGCTAAAGACGTGCTTTCGCAGTTTAATGCTGTGCCCGCAAGACGTCGTTAGCGCCCAGCTAAAGCAGCTACTGTTTAAGTTTTCCGGCCGCGATGAAAAGACGCGCGAGGAGCAGATGGCGCCACTCCTCGAACGTTTATACTCGCAATTCCCCGACGATATTGGCTGTTTCGTCGTGTACTTCCTCAATTACGTTGTGCTACAGCCGAACGAGGCGATTTACTTGGGCGCGAACGAGCCCCACGCCTATCTTTCCGGCGATTGCGTCGAGTGCATGGCCTGCTCAGATAACATCGTACGTGCCGGGCTCACGCCGAAGTACAAGGACGTCGAGACCTTGTGTCGCATACTGACCTACCAGACGAAGCCGGCCCGTGAGCAGCTGCTACGTCCGACCGTCGAGGACGCCTACTGTCAGGCGTTCAAACCTCCCGTTCCCGATTTCGCGGTGATCAAAATTGAGGTACCCGCCGCCGTCGGCGATTACACCTTGAAACCCAGGCAGTCTGCGAGCGTGCTGATCGTAATCGGCGGCGGGGGACGAATGGGTTCGACGCGTCTCAAGGCCGGCACCGTCGTGTTTATACCTGCGAATGAGAAGTACGAAATCGTCGACATTACTCAAGACATCCTCATGTTTCAGGCGATGGCGAACGTTGACATGTTTTAATTTATTTTAATTTAGTGACTAGTGCAGGGCTCTATAAGGTACAGATTGTCTTAATCTAAATCACATAAAATATATCTGTAGTATTAACACTTGGAGTTTTAGGCGAGTAGAAGCGCCGCGACGATCAGTAGAACGTTCACGGCGCACCTGCCGCTCGCGGTGTTCCCCCCGTGCGGATTGACCAGCCCGAGCTGATTGGGCTCGTCCACCTCGTTGCTCAGTTGGTGGCCGGCGGCCGGGTACCAGGTCGTCGACGACGATGTTTGCGTCCTCGACCTTTCCCACTCGAGCGGCTGAACTTCTTTTCTCAACTCTGAAAAACAGAAATCGATTACGCAATTGCCGGTTTGGTAACTCGGTTGACGGGAGCGATCGGGGTGACCTATATTCGGTTGTTTTCTGCTGATAAACTTTCGATCTTTTGTTTATAAAACGTAAAGGTTACCGTTAGGTTATCGTACGAGATAAAACCGTATCAACTTGGACAAAATTATTCCATTAGGGTAGGGAAGGTACACTGGGGCATTTTCATCCCCCCCGTCTCCTATCTTCACTATTTCTGCCATTCATTAGGCATTATCTATCTCTTTAGTTTATATTTTGGGCCTTATTGCATCTTCAGATATGCTTAACCTCCCAGAAATACTCCCCAGCACACTTTGAAATGATTCCTTTTTCCTGGAGGGTATTCCATGCCCCCAGACCCCCCGGTGTTACATTCAACCCCAGAGTTGTTAGGATAATCACCCTGTTAAGATTTTTGTTTTGGGAGTGTCATCATCACACTGTCTTTTTTTTCTGGGGCATAGTACATAATCCACCAGGGGTCTGAGGGATACAGAAAACCCCCCCAGCTCATTTGGAATCGATTCCTATATCCTGGGGGGCATTCCAGACCCCCCCTGTGATGAATTCGCGCCCCCAGAATTTCGTGTATATGTTTGTCATCACACTGCCCTTTCTTGTGGGGCATAATTTAGAATCCACGGTATGGTCTGAGGGGTATGGAATACTCCCCAGCACACTTGGAATTGATTCCTATTTCCTGGGGGGCATTCCATGGCCCCCAGACCCCCCGGTGTTACATTAAACCCCAGAATTTTTAGGATAATCACCATGTTTGTCTTGGGAGTGTCAGTATCACAGTTTTTTTCTTGTGGGGCATAGTACATAATCCACGGTAGGGTCCGAGGGGTATGGAATACCCCCCCCCCACTCATTTGGAATCAATTCCTATTTCCTGGGGGGAATTCCACACCCCCCAGTGATGAATTCTTCCCCATAATTTCGTGTTTATGTTTTATAATGTCACCATTGCGCTGTCTTTTTTTGTAGAGTATAATACATAACCCGCTGGAGGGAATATGGAATACCCCCCCCCCTAGCACACTTGGAATCGATTCCTTTTTACTGGCGGACCCCCCGGTATGAATTCTCTCCCCAGAATTTCGTGCATATGTTTGTCATCACACTGCCCTTTCTTGTGGGGCATCATACATAAGCCACCGGGGTGGCTGTGCGGTATACCTGCGACCAGAAATTTTTCTTGGATGTTTCATACGATTAGTTCCGGCGGCTGCGGCGCCTCACCTCGCTCGAATACATGATAGTTACATAAAAAAAGGGCCTCACCTGGAGACGTACTCAGAACAGTCCACGTCGACGTAGTGACACCTTGACCGGACTGCGACGTCTGAGGTGCTCCCGTACTGACGCTGACCTGCGTATTTTGCGTCGGCGGCGCGTCCGACCAGCTGCTAGCCCGACCGTACGAGGCCGGCCTCGTTCGCGAGCCCAAGCTCTGCGAGGACGCCAGAAAGCTGGAATCCTGCAAAGCGACCTCCACGTACCTATCTCTGGTAAGAATCGTACCGTGAACGTACCTGCGGATCGTCAATCGTCGGCGTGTACAGCGAGACCGTCGGAGTCGGTCTGGGCGACGCCACCCTCGTCGGTGAAATCTCCTTCGCCGCTAAATCGTCGTGCCGCGTGTTCCACGGGTAGATCTCGCTCGGGGACGTCGACAGAGAAACCGCGTCGAACGGTAGAGTGCAATCGCCCGAGTTCGGTATGTAATTGAAGCACTGGTCCTGCAGGAAGCTGAGCGCCTTGTCGATCGTTTGCGCCGAGAAGCGCGAGGCCGGACCGTTGGGCACGCCCCTGTCGCAGGACTCGCGCGCCTCCCGAAGAACGCACTGCTTGAAGCGATCGTGCGAACTGAAATTGTTGTTTTAGTCTCGAATTTCAATTGTTTAAATGAGTTAGGAGGCGGGGGGCGTGTGACGTCACTTGTTTCCTACAATTTTCCCGATGCGAATAGAAGAATAGAAAAAGAAAAATTGCGCAGAAATTGCAAAAAATTCAAAAATTGTTTGGGCGGGGGGGGGGGCACTTGTATGTGAATTCTGGAAAGGGTGAAAAATCCAAGGAATTTGCTTGACTATTGAGTTCGTGGCATTTCTTGAACTCACCAGCACAGAGTGGCCTTAGAGATGACGTCGCCTTGATCGACCTGCTCGACGAGGAAGCGGTAGTGCGAGCCGCAGCGTCCGTCATCGATGACGGTGCCCTTCATGCACGGCGCGTGCTGCAGGTACTCCTTCTGGTAGCGAGGCTGCGTGCACATCTGATGGACAGACTGTATCGGATTCTCGATCGCCTTGTTGAACTGCGACCGCTGCTGATCGGTGAAGCATCGGTCCGTGAACCTCTTCAGGCAGTCGACGAAGTCGTTCCACGTGCGACACACCAGGTGGACGTCGTTCATGTTGTCGGGAAAGATGAGTCGCACCTCCTTGATGAGCGGATCGGCCATCCTCACGCACCTCTCGTACTCCGACTTGGAGCAGTCGTACTGGAGGGCGGCCGAGAGAAGCATCGCGTTCAGGAGGACCAGGGCGTCGATGTACATTTCGCTGGAAAAAAGAAACAAGATGCGATATCTCGTTACGCTTTACGCGCGCGGATGTTAACTAAACAAAAATTGAGCTTTCTCCCCATTATTTCCTGTGGCGCGCATTGTTTGTATTCACGGACTGTGGCAATGACTTTAGGCGGCGAATTTACATTTTCGGACACGAAGCTAAGTGCTCCGACCCTTGGAAAGACGCGCGATTTTCCAGTTATCGGGGGAGGTATCGATTTCCCTCTGAATTCTTAACAAAAGAAAAACGCGCCTTTAATTATCGGGTCGTCGACATTGAATTTTGATGGGGCGAAAATTGCAAATCGCAATTGACGCACTAGGCAGTGGAAAATAGAAGGCCGTCCTTATTTACTGACCGCGGTCAGTTTGCGTGCAAATCCATGAGCGGAACCGGAAACAGTCGACCAGGCAAACCTTTTCCCACAATCACGGCGACTATTCGTAAATTAAAGATTTTTACAAGAGGCTCGCGCGTATTTGGGTCAATTGTTTCCTTTTGTTCTTCGCCTGGTCCTCTTCTGGAAGCTAAAAGTATAATATAAACCTGCATCTCACCTCTTCGTCGCCCGATGTAAATATAGGTAAAGACACTTCGAGAAGAAGAAGAAAGTGATCTTCGTAAACTGGGAAAGTTGGCGCGTTACCACCTACGCGTAAAAAGGCACACCGTACGCGAAGTGCGACCACGACGTACTGATGATCTAACCGCACGCTTTCCACAGAAGGTTATGCATGAAAAACTTTGTAACTATCGATTTTGAGTGAGGTAATGCGCTTTATTGTTCGTCCGCTAATTAGGACCGAGTTGTGTTTGCAAAGTGGTAGGTTCGATGGACGTATACGTTCATTTGTCCAGTTCATGCGAGTTGATTCAAGGATTTGTTACTTAATTTTCGGGAACTCTTTATAGTGTACCACTTCTTCCATGCAGTTTTCCCAACACTGTTCTCCATCAAGACTCTTTTAAAAGAGGAGAGAATTGCAAGAACTGAAAGTAAATTTTAGAAGCTTTTGCTACATTTTTTTTGGTGTCCCCTGTACCTATATCTCTTAATATAAACTGCAAAATAGCGTAATTGTTCTTCAATTTTTTTTAGCTCCGCCGGCTATAATAATATTTAATTTTTAATCGATCGAAGGTGGCTCGACCTTCTACGAATTTTAGAAACAAGACCGTTGACTCTGCTTCATTTTTTAGTAGTTTGTCGACTGTTCCCAATTTTCTTTGAGTTTCGTAAACGTCTCTTTTAACTTTTAAGTCGCATTCGCGATTTGCAAAGTAGCCAAACAGAGAGTCCTGGAGTCCCGAGATGAAACGGGAGACTCGTGTAGGCTTTTGTAAGACCTTTACATAGACTTCTAAAAGGTGCACCACATCATCAGCTAAGCGACATCCCCACTCTCTATCGTTTGGGCCAGATTTTATTGGCTTTGTATGCCACGGTGTGAAGTCGGTTAAGTGAGACCTTAATTTTCGATCTACTTACGAGCAAGCGATAAATGACGGTACTCGAGACCGATAGTCCACGGGAACGCGGAACTGGTATTAGGGGATAGCAGTTTTCAGAACCAAAGTTGGAGGCCCGGTGTCCCCACTGACAGCTACAGTAAAAATGGTTTCCTTCTTACAGAACCAAAATTAGGCACCATTAGGGGGGGGGGGTCCCTTCCCCTGCAAAGGAGAACTCGGTATTTCTTTCTATATTATCCCTAGCACTTGTATTAGTAGTCTTTGAATAAATTAATCCAGTCTTCGCATTGCTGGTGGGTTTTCCATAGGACCCCCCTACTGACCCCCCGGTTACCCAGTTTTTACATACGCTCTCGGCCTTCAAGTCTCTCATGAGAGTCCTTGACCAAGGACAGTCAAGTTTTGCTTTCTTGGAAAGTATTCCATGCTCCACAGGATCGTGCCATTGTTTAGGAGAAGAATGGAGCATCAGGGAGTCTGGGGGAGGGGGGGAATTTTCCTCCCCAGCAAAGGAAAGCTCGGTAATTCTTTCTATATTACCCCTAGCACTTCCATTGGCAGTCTTTGAGGTAAATTAATCGAGTTTTCGCTTTGCTGGTGGTTTTCCATAGGACCCCCCCTCCCGCCCCCCCGGTTACTAAGTTTCTACATACGCTCTAGGCTTTCAAGTCTCTCACGAGAGTCCTTGACCAAGGACAGTCTAGTTTTGCTTTCTTGGAAAGTATTCCATGCTCCACAGGATCGTGCTTTTAAATCCCATTGTTTAGGAGAAGAATGGAGCATCAGGGAGATTGGGGGAGGGGGAATTTCCCTCCCCAGCAAACGAGAGCTCCGTAATACTTTCTATATTACCCCTAGCACTTGCATTAGTAGTCTTTGAAGTAAATTAATCGAGTCTTCGCTTTTCTGGTTGGTTTTCCATAGGACCCCTCCCCCTTCCCGACCCCCCGGTTACTAAGTTTGTACATGCGCTCTCTGCCTTCAAGTCTGTCACGAGAGTCCTTGACCAAGGACAGTCTAGTTTTGCTTTCTTGGAAAGTATTCCATGCTCCACAGGATCGTGCTTTTAAATTCCATTGTTTAGGAGAAGAATGGAGCATCAGGGAGTCTGGGGGGAGGGGGGAATTCCCCTCCCCTGCATTGAAAGCTCTGTAATTCTTTCTCCTAGCACTTGCATTGGTAGTCTTTGAGGTAAATTAATCGAGTCTTCGCTTTGCTGGTGGGTTTTCCATAGGACCCCCCTCCCGACCCCCCGGTTACTCGGTTTTTACATACGCTCTCGGCCTTCAAGTCTCTCACGAGAGTCCTTGACCAAGGACAGTCTAGTTTTGCTTTCTTGGAAAGTATTCCATGCTCCACAGGATCGTGCTTTTAAATTCCATTGTTTAGGAGAAGAATGGAGCATCAGGGAGTCTGGGGGAGGGGGGAATTCCCCTCCCCTGCATTGAAAGCTCTGTAATTCTTTCTCCTAGCACTTGCATTGGTAGTCTCTTGAAGTAAATTAATCGAGTTCGCTTTGGTGTGGAATATTCCATACAAATATCAGCTTCAAGCTCTTGGAGCGCTCTCAATACACTAAACACACAAGAATGCTGCACCGGAGTCTGGGGTATGAAAAACCCGCCAGTAAAGGATAGCTCGATATTTCTTCCTCTAACGCAGACATATGGTAGTTTTTGAGAGAAATTAATCGAGTTTTCGCTTTGCTGGGCAGTATTCCACACTACCCAGATGCAAACTCTTCGGTCCTAAGTTTTTTTACATTTTGGGACTCGAAAACCATTTGCGATTCTTGAAGTATTGCCCAGTATACGATTCTTTTCGGAATGCACCTGGTATAATCTCGTTGTAGTTCAAAAGTATGAAGAGTAGTTCATGTGTACTAACATTTTATTTTTTAGAACTCATTTTGTTATAATAGGCCAAAAATGTTGGAAACTTTTTTAACAAATATTTTAATAAGTGGTCGTAAGTAAACTGGGAAGGAGTATTCTTTGATTATATATTACTCTGTACAATAGTCAATAATCAATCTGTTTTAGTTCAAGCGAATCGATAGTAGTCCACATGTCCTGTCACAGTAGCTGAAATGTACTGCACCTCTAATCATTTGTGTTTACTCAAATGACTGTTTTGTGATAAAATCGATAATTATTTCACAAATATATAACAATAAAACTAATAATAAAATGCCGTAGGTAAAGAAAAACGCCCCCTCAAAATGATTACGACATTCCTAGTGCCGATCATTTTCATCTACTTCACCTTCCCGACTTCGGAAGAACTGGACTCGGTGGACCTGTCCCTGCCGGAGGCCTCCCACTTAAACACCACCATCGGCTTTCCCAACATCGAAGTGAACTCGAATTTCCTCTGGCTACTCTTCAGCCTGGTCTCTGCGATATCGTGGGTAGTTTACATCACGTACTACAACTCGAGGGTTGCCGGATATGTGATCACGCGAATTATTAATCGGATATTCATCAGCGATGGTTACTTCAAAATCGGTACGGCTCCCTTCCCCTGGTCTCGCTATAGTTAACCGTCAATTTTAGGATCGTTTATCGTCGACGCCCTGGCCGGCAAGGTGATGTTTCGCGATGTCGTGTACATCACGCACGATTACAGCGTGCGAGTGCAGGACGGCTACCTGATCTTCCGCTGGTGGCGTTCGTACGTTCCGAAGGACGTCAGCGAGGACCTCTCCCACTCGGACACGCGTCTCTCGGTCGTGCTCAACGGTTTCGAGCTGCACACCTACAACCGTTCGGAGATGTACGCCGGCCTCGAGAAGATCTTCGGCCTGGAATCGCACATCTTTCCCGATAATCTCGATAAGAACGAAAACAAGGAGAGGTACGTCGTCTTTCCGTCCGCAATTCCGGATACCCGGTAATGATCGTTTCAGGACGAACAGTAACTCGACGATCGACAAGTCGAAGAATAAGCAAATATCGGAGGCGACGATGGCGCGCACGTGGCGCGACCTGATACCCGTAATAAAGATGGACATTTCGTCCGGACGGCTCGTGTTCGGAAATCGACTGGTGCCGACCACTCTGAGCATCACAATCGAGGAGTCCCACTTCGTGTACTCGACCAAGCCCGCCGTGAACACTCTGGATCGTTTCATGCACTTCGTCAAGTGCAAATCGGAGAACGTACGCGTTATGCTCGTACCGAGCCCGAAGTACACCGGCATGCTGGACGAGCCCCCTCGATATATGGGGGAGGGATTCGTTTTGATGTCGACGAATGACTTGGAACTTTACTTCTACATGGACGAACCAGGTAATTTTTATTTCCTATCAGTGGCGGGTCTGAGGCCCCCACACCTCCTTGGAACCTTAACAGCAAAGGCGTGGAGTGACTAAGGCCTATACCTATGAATATATAGTGCCGATACTGCAGGTGAGGGAGAAGAGAAAACTAAGAGGAAAGCTAGCTCTCTCTTAAATCCACAGTATATTTTTAATCTGATGTATTGTGCTCCTGATACTTTTTGTGGAGAGGTTGGTATCAGGAGAACATGGCAAACAGTATATTTTTTTACCTTGTTAAACTGGTCAGCTCCTGATACTTTTTGAGGAGGTTTTTGTATCAGGAGGATAAAAGAAACAATTGATTTTTGTCTTTTTCTCAACTTTTTAATCGGACGTGCTGTAAAGTGTGCTCCTGATACTTTTTGAGGAGGTGTTCGAATCAGGAGAACATGACAAACAATATATTTGTTTACCTTTTTAAATTGGTCAGCCCCTGATGCTTCTTGAGGAGGTTTTTGTATCAGAAGGATAGAGGTAGCAATTGATTTTTGTCTTTTTTTTTCAACTTTTTAATCGGACATGTTGTAAAGTGTTCTTCTGATAGTTTTTGAGGAAGTGTTGGTATCAGGAGAACATGGCAAACAGTATATTTTTTACCTTGTTACACCGGTCAGTTCCTGATACTTCTTGAGGAGGTTTTTGAATTAGGAGGATAAAAGAAACAATTGATTTTTATCTTTTTTTTTCAACTTTTTAATCTGATGTGCCGTAAAGTGTGCTCCTGATACTTTTTGACGAGGTGTTGGTATCAGAGGAACATGGAAAACAGTATATTTGTTTACCTTTTTGAACTGGTCAGCTCCTGATACTTCTTGAAGAGGTTTTTGATTCAAGAGGATAACAGAAACAATTGTTTTTTTTTTCAACTTTTTATACGGATGTGCGTTAAAGTGTGCTCCTGATACTTTTTGACGAGGTGTTGGTATCAGGAGAACATGGAAAACAGTATATTTGTTTACCTTTTTGAACTGGTCAGCTCCTGATACTTCTTGAAGAGGTTTTTGATTCAAGAGGATAACAGAAACAATTGTTTTTTGTTCAACTTTTTATACGGATGTGCGTTAAAGTGTGCTCCTGATACTTTTTGACGAGGTGTTGGTATCAGGAGAACATGGAAAACAGTATATTTGTTTACCTTTTTGAACTGGTCAGCTCCTGATACTTCTTGAAGAGGTTTTTGATTCAAGAGGATAACAGAAACAATTGTTTTTTGTTCAACTTTTTATACGTATGTGCGTTAAAGTGTGCTCCTGATACTTTTTGACGAGGTGTTGGTATCAGGAGAACATGGAAAACAGTATATTTGTTTACCTTTTTGAACTGGTCAGCTCCTGATACTTCTTGAGGAGGTTTTTGAATCAAGAGGATAACAGAAACAATTGTTTTTTGTTCAACTTTTTATACGGATGTGCGTTAAAGTGTCCTCCTGATACTTTTTGAGGTGTTCGAATCAGGAGAACATGGCAAACAGTATATTTTTACCTTGTAACACTGGTCAGTTCCTGATTTCTTGAGGAGGTTTTTGAATTAGGAGGATAAAAGAAACAATTGATTTTTATCTTTTTTTTTCAACTTTTTAATCTGATGTGCTTTAAAGTGTGCTCCTGATACTTCTTGAGGAGGTGTTGGTATCAGGAGAACATAACAAAAACTATATTGTCTAGCTCGTTAAACTGGTTGTCTCCTAAGGTTTCTTGAGGAGGTGTTGGTATCAGGAGAACGTAAGATTTTTGTCTTGCAGGTATTGTACCCGAACAACCCGTGCAAATTACTCTGGCCAATGGCGACGTGGTCGACTCGAGTCCTCCACTGTGGGGTATCGACATCAAATGCGGCAAGGGAACCGACTTTAGCTACGGCCCGTGGGCCGATCGTCAGCGCGAGCACCTTTTCAAGTTCTTCTACCCTCAAACGTACCTCCCGATGGAGGTCACGAAACCGCTCGAACCCGGCGACAAACGCCAGATGCAGTCCTTCGACGTCCGCCTCCTCTTGCAGTACGAGGCCACCATCGACATTCTCTTCTCGAAGAACAAGGAGACGAACGCGACCCACGTCAACGTCGGCGCCGGCAGCTACCTGGAGATCACGATTCCGTGGGTCACGCTGAGCCAAGGCTACACGACGCGCATCAACGGGCAACTGCTCCACCTGGACGCGACGACCAGCTTGCAATTTCGCGATTTCGTCTCGACGGAAACGTTGGAGTTCTGCGTCCAGTGTCACTATCCGCTGATCTGGAACGACCCACAGCTCTGGGAGCTGAGCCTGACCGGATGCAAGGCCACTGTTAACCTCATTTTCTCCCACAAGTGGTTTTTTCAAGGTAACTCGCGTCGAAAGGTCTCGAAATCATCACCGATATCGACTTCTGTTAGATTTAATCAACGATTGGTCGTCGAAGCAACGGCCCGATATCCTGCACTTCGTCCCGTACACTTGGAGATTTGGTTTGACCTTGAAGCACTGCGAGCTCCTGACACTTGTTAACCAGTACAACTGGATTGATTGCAGCAGCGTGGGACAACGACAGCGTTTGGAGAACACCCAGATGGCGCTGTGCGCGTACTTTCTGCATCTGTCCTTCGATTTACCCTTTGAGGAATTTCTACCCGAAACTATTCCATTAAATTTTAGTATACAGGTGAGTCGCCGAGTATTTGTATCTTAATTAATCGTTTCTCGGTATAGGGCGAAAGCATAGATTTGAGCCTATTCATCCCCGAATACCACACAAGCCGGGACATAGTGCTGTCGCTCGAGAAAAATTCCAAGGTCCTCTCGAAGGACGGTTCGATGACGAAGAAGGCCGAGATCATACCGAAATGGAGGAACATCTGCGTGAACAGTTTGGGCTGGGTCGACTTCTGGTGGGTGCCGATCGGGGCGATCAACATCGGTTACGTCTATCATCCGTCGCCGCCGTTGGGACCGACGCCGCAGGCCGACATTTCGACTCCGGTGAAGGAGGAGCTTCTGCTGTCGCCGATAAGGTTCCCGCGCAATCGAAAGGCGCATCGGCCCTCGCATGTGAGTACTAGTGTGCTGTGCTATTCCATAACCCCCAGACCCCCCCCCCGGTTTTACGTACTGACCCTGAATGTTTAGTGACCTATGGGATAGGGAATACTTTTTTTCTGGATCTTTTTGAAAAACTGTCACAGGAATCCTTAGGAATGAACCCTTTGAGTGAGAATGTGGAACCGGGGGGGTCTGGAATACCCCCCAGCCATTTCCTGTAGCTCACGAAAATTTTAAGACAGTTGTAGGAAATGGAATATCGACTCTTTCATTTCCTGGGGGTTATTCCATAACCCCCCCAGACCCCCCTGGTTCTACGTTCTGACCCAAACTGTTTAGTGACCTATGGGATGGGGATTTCTTTTTCCAAAAGGAAGATTTGATGGTTCTTTATGGAAAAGGTCATAGGAGTTCTTAGGAGTCAACTCTTTGAGTGAGAATGCGGGACCGGGGGATAATACCCCCCAGCCATTTCCTGTGGCTCACGAAAATCGTAAGACAGTTGTAGGAAAAGGAATATCGAATATTCCAGACCCCCCTGGTTCTACGTTCTGACTCAGAATTTTTAGTGACCTATGGGATAGGGAATTCTTTTTTCAAAAGGAATATTTGATGGACCTTTATGAAAAAGGTCGCAGAAGTCCTTAGGAATGAACCCTTTGAGTGAGAATGTGGGACCGGGGGGTCTGGGGGGGTATGGAATACCCCCCAGCTATTTTTTGTAGCTCACGAAAATCCTAAGACAGTTGTAGGAAAAGGAATATCTACTCTTTCATTTCCTGGGCGGGGGGGGGGGTATTCCAGACCCCCCTGGTTCTATGTTCTGACTCAGGATTTTTGGTGGCCTATGAGATAGGGAATTCTGTTTTCAAAAGGAAGATTTGATGGTCCTTAATGAAAAAGGTCACAGGAGTCTTTAGGAATGAACCCTTTGAGTGAGAATGTGGGACCGGGGGGTATGGAATACCCCCCAGCCATTCGCTGTAGCGCACGAAAATCTTATGATGGTTGTAGGAAAAGAGCCATCAGATGTTTATAGTTCCTGGGGGGTACTCCATACCCCCCAGACCCCCCGGTTGTACATTCTCCCTCAAAATATTTGGTGTACGAGGCTATGGAGTGAGAAAATCCTCATTAAAAAGGAAGATCGGATGGCCCCTTTTGGAAAACCATCATGATAAGCGTCAGGGCTGAACATTTTGAGTGAAAATGTGGTTCTGGGGGGTATGGAATACACCCCAGCCTTTTCCTGTAGCTCACGAAAATCTTAAGACAGTTGTAGGAAAAGGAGCACCGAATCTTTCATGTGTATTCCACCTTGACTTGAAATTCTTTTGTAGAAACTTTGAGGCATTTTTCCTTTCAGGACGGAACCCAAAAATTCGATCCGACAATCCTGAAACCCGACAAGGTAACCGTCGAGTTGGAAATCGGGCCCTCTGTGCTTCTACTGTACGGCACGGCCTTGAGAAACTTCCTCAACTTCAAAGAGAACATTTTCGGAGACGACCAAATGTTCGTCGACATGCAGACGAGTAACTCGCCGGGCGAGAGCCAAACAGCCGAGTTTAAAAACGACGACAGCTCGCATGTGCCACTTGAGCTGCGAGAGGAGTTCGATGAACGATATTACCGCCCCCTTGAGGTTGACGTTTCGGTAATAATGCACGATATTCAGGCCCACTTGTTGAAGGTAAGCCAATTAGAGATGGGCGAGAGCTAAACGTTGTACGTTTTAGTATTGTAATCAGAATGACCCCCCGTGCCCGGTGATTCTTATCGAGAGGTTTGGGTTCGAAATGAAAAAGCGATACGACCAGACCGAGCTGCAGCTCTTAATCAGTCCATCGGTGCTGCTCGTCTCCGATCACATAAATCGTCCATCCAAGGACAAACAATTGAACCAAGGCCGTCTGACGTTATCTGCCTTACAGGTAGTGGTACTGAGTGTTTTGATCTAGTAAGCCTTGATTTTGTGTGTAGATTCGCGGTCACGCGATGTTCTCGAACGAAGGCTGCTCGCTCGACGAGGACACCGTCGAGTATGCGTGGTTGCTCGAAATTCAGCTGGGGAAGTTAAGCGGCAAACTGACCGCGCCGCAATTGCATTCGATTGTTCTCAGTCTGGAAACCCTAGTGCTTTTAATGGCGGACACCGAGAACGAGTTGAACTCCCCGACAAATGTCAACATGCTGACCACCACTCGCGTCGTTGCCACCACGAAGATGGCACCTCAAAATCTCTCCCAAAACGTGCAGCAAACAATTCAGCAGTTTCTACAGCAGAAGGCCAACGTCGCCAGCAAATCCACGGCGCAGCCTGCCGAAAAATCGGAAGTCGTTCTCAACGTGACGAACGAAGACGCCTCTAGCGTTCACAAAATGAAGTACAAGTTCTGTCGGGTGGCGATCGACGCCGTCGACTTTTGGCTCGTCGAAAGCGGCGCCGCGTTGCAACTGTGGATATCCCCGGTGCGCCTATCGACCTGCAACCTGCACGGCAAGCAGGTCGGTAACGGGCTCAGCGCGATTCTCTACAGCATGTCACTGCGACAGCTCATCTGGCAACATCACAAATACTCGCACGCCAAGTAAGCCCCCCTCCCCTCCCTCCACGCGCGCGTCTCACGTTCCGCTTTTCCAGGCAGGTGAGCGACTCCGACCACTGGCTCGAGGTGGGCGTCGTCAACTTCGCCCCGCTCGTCATCGAATCGGCGATGTCCGCGAGCGCGAAAAACCAAGAGCTGCACGCGCTCCAACAGAAATTCCTAAAGACCCACGACGCGAAATGGAAGAAGCTGTCGTTCTTGTGGCCCGAACTCTCAAAGTCGACGGACAAGTGCGGCTGCAGCGGCGGCTGCGCGTTCTTCGGCGGCAACCGCAACGGGGCGAAGTTCTTCAAGCCGACCCGAAAAGATCTCGACGAGGGAATCAACATAGCCGCGTTCTGGTAAGCGATTTCACTTCGGTCACGCACTCGCCTATAATCTCGCGTTCTAGCGTGAACGAGAGCGGCAAAGATCCCGGTTTCGGGCAGAGCATCCTCCACGACGGCCTGCTGATCTTTCGCACGCCCCCGTACATCGTTAACGAGATCTTTCTACAGGACTCGGCCGTGAGGGCGCCCGCGGCGGACAGTTCGGGCAAACGGACCGAGACGCACGCCTCGTTTTCCAGTCCGATCAGTTTAAACGAGCGGAGGATTAGTCGGCGATTTTCTTCTACGTCGATCAGGTAGGCTTTTACTACAACGCTCAATTGTTTTCCGTCATCTTTTCTTTTCAGACTTGTATCTTCTGATTTCATTGTTTTTTTAGGAGCAAAGACGTGCCCTATTCGAGATTGATGGACACACTCCCCCCCAAGCTGGACAGCGACTCCAAGCTTCACTTCGAGAAGGGAAACCTGAACGTCCCAGACAAGGAGTCCTTCCCGAAGAACAGCATCTCCGATTCGAAGCTAGCGGTCGACTATTTCGGCGCGCAACCGAAGAGCGAGCACGTCTCGCCGCCCGCCAAACCGAAGGCGGTCAACATGTCCGAGTCGCACCACTCCCTCGGCGCGAAGGTGAACTCGGACGAGCAACTACAAAAAGCGGTAACCGGCCGAATCGACTGTCTCATGGGGGCTTCATCATTTCCGTTGCAGATTCAGAGGACCGTGTCGATCTCAAGCGAAAATCATTCAGAGGCGTTCTTCTCCGCCGACGAAGATTTGAACGTCAATTCGCACAACTCGAGCTTGAGGAATTCGGTCGTGGGATCTAAGGGCACGCTAATCAGGCAGGACAGTGGCGCCCCTAAGGTGTAAGTTTCCGGCGACTGAATTCGATCATTTTCAATTCATCCGAAATCATTGGTATTGGCTGTACAAGTGCGAAATACTAAAGTAGTTCAAGGTCGCTCACCATCTTGCGGTGACCTTGGGAAGTAGCCCAAATTCAAAGGTCACCTGCCACGTACCGGTGACCTTGGAAAGTAGGTGAAGGTCAAGCTGAAACTTTACTTTGCCCCCAAAAGTGAATGACTATTTATGCGATGCCAGATCAGAAGTCAATGGTTTGATTGTTGTAGGTCAAAGGTGAGGTTTAAAGATTACCTTGAAAAGTAGGCCAAGGAGAAGTTCAAAGGTTGATCGGCACCTGACGGTGACCTTGCGAATTAAGTCAAGGTGACGTTCAAGAGTTGCTTACGTGGTTTTGTAAAGTAGTCCAAGCAATAGGTGACTTGGTGACGTTCAAAGATCAATTCAGTTTTCCTTAATCTAAATGACGGTTTTCTAGACTAGGGGTTAGTTCAAGGACACGGCATGACCTTAAGGTCATTGATCTTTGTTGGCTTTGAAAATGAAATGGCATCGAAAATAATGGAATCATTTGTTGAGTTTTAAATGTTCTAGTATCAAGGTCGTTTGTTGGTAGCTTTTAAACAAAATATGTCATAAGTCATAATGCCATATCGACCGATTTGTCAAAAGGGCGGTGGGGTGGGAAGTTATACTTCATTCATTATAAGAAGGTAATAGATGGCGCTGGGTTTGAAGATAAGCACACACAGGAAAAATATAAAACGGCACCAAATTATTGTAAAGTAGAAATATCTAGCACTGCAAACACAAATCAATCTTTGACATTAACAGTGAATGACACTTCAATAGTTTAGATGCCAACAGAAACTACCAGCTTGCAAAATTCGCCACTCGTTTTATGTTTCAGCGTAGTACTGACTTGTGTTTTAACCAATCACACTGAAGGTCAAATCTTCCCTATGTTTTTTACCGCTACCTTCGTAAAATGAATACAGTATAGTTCTAAGTAACTTTGAACATTCATGCAAATGTTGCTCGCCGTTCAAAATTCAAAGGTTGCTCGTCTTTCAAAGTGGTAGCCGTTCAAAATCCAAAAATTCCTCACCGTTCACACGTTGCCCTTCAAGGTGATGATGATCTTGAGGTGTGCAATCAAGGTAAAGTTAACAGTTTCCATACCCCCCCAGACCCCCCGTGCTATGTTCTCCCACTACATATTTTGGCAGAGATAGTACTACCCGGGGGGTCTGGGGGTAGGCACAGATGCCCCTCCACTGCACGAAAATCATATGATAGTTGGAAGGAAAGGAACGATGAGTCTTTGTGCTCGCTGGGTGGTATTCCATACCCCCAGACACCCCGTGGTATGTTCTCCCATACCATATTTTGACGATGATAGTACAACCGGGGGTCTAGGGGGTATGGAATACCCCCCAGGCACAGATCCCCCTCCACTGCACGAAAATCATATGATATTTGGAAGGAAAGGAACGACGAGTCTTTCTGCTCGCGGGGCGGTACTCCATACCCCCCAGGCCCCCCGTGGTATGTTCTCCCACTACATAGTTTGGCGGTTATAGTACAACCGGGGGGTATGGAATACCCCCCAGGCACAGATCCCCCTCCACTGCACGAAAATCATATGATAGTTGGAAGGAAAGGAACGATGAGTCTTTGTGCTCGCGGGGTGGTACTCCATACCCATACTCCTCGCGCATTATATTCCTCTGATGTAAGAGAACATGTAATTTGCAGAAGTCCACTAGTTTATTCTGTTCTCCTGATAGCCACAGAACTTTTACACAATTTTTCCAACAGATGTTTGTATTAGACGCATTGAATTTTATTCTCTTGATACAGAAGTTTTGAACGCTTACTCTCTCTTCGTTTATTATGTTTTCCTAGTAGCCGCAAATCACGAGCAGCATATCACCTGTGGCTCATACTTTTTTATGGACATATTAGTTCAGTCCTTTGAGTAGGGAAGTGCAGAATATGCATTTTGTGAATTTCGTGGGATTCAAAAATCATCTGGGATTGGTAGTACAAAAAGACATTAACCAATAAACAATTAGACATCGCCATTGTGCGAGATAATCCGCAATTGCGTGACATCCAAATTTCGAAATGTTTTGTAAACGAAATGAATTTCGACCCTTCACGCATAAGAGCCCACACTGCACTTACGGCCGATTAGTTGACTATGACTAATCGAAAAATCGAGACCCTTAGTTTTAAATTAGCGTTACACACTCGCAGCCCCCAAAAGAAGTACAGCAGCGAACTAAACATCCTCGCCGATACCAACGTGGCGACACGCATCCAAGACAAAGTGCAGATTCGCGCAAGTCCGACTCTGACCCTAAAAACGAAACCGGCCGATCACGAGACCGCCGGCGCCGAGTGCGAGGAGAGCAAGCCGAGCGCGGGTCTGTTCACACCTCAACGATGTCCGAGCAGCAGATCGGTCAGTCCGCGTCTGCCGAGCAAGGAGCCGTCGAACACCAGCCCGAGCGCGCACAGCTCGATCCTGCACGACACCCTAATCGACTCCTCCGATAGTTACAGCAGCACCTCGTACGCTTCGGCCGTGGCCAGTCAGGAGGATCTCACCCTGATCGACCTGCACATGCAGGTCAACAGGCAAATAATCGACTCGCCCATGCTGATGTCGAGCTACATCAGCCATCTAAGTCAGGTAATCGCCAATTCGTTCGGGATTAGTTCGCGAGCTTGCTTCTAGGTGCGCTGCCTGAACTGGGACCATCTCGCGTCGAACACCTGCGACGCCTTCTCCGTTCCGCTCTTCCAAAAGAACGAAGACGGAAAGTTGACGTACGTCGGCGGACGATTCGTACCGACAATCGAGAAGGTTACGGAGGGGGTGACGTCCTTTAAAATGGCCACGCGCCGCGACTACATCGAGAGTCAAATCGCGAACAACAAGTGCGCGACGGGATGGGATCAGACCGATGATACCACCACCGAGGTGCCGACCGGTGAGTATTTCGCCCCGTCAGTTCCGCGCTGATTCGTTTCGCTTAGCGCAAGAGGAGGAACTGCTGAGCGCGCAGGGCGACGTCGGGTCGAGAACTTCGATTATCGTCAGGCTCCAAGGCGATTTGGACATTATGATTACGCCACTATTACTGGAGTCGTTGCAGAAGTTCGTCGACAGCCTCACACTAACCGTCGCCAATTTGCATCCGTCCACGGTCATTAACCACTTGCACGCGTCCTGCATCAGCGAAGTGGAGGCGGCGAATATACTCAAGAAACGATGCAACGTGCACATCGTGCAGAACGATGCCACGGATCTGACCAAGTGCGGGGTATACGAGGAGACCATCAAGTCGCAACTGCAGGCGGCGATTACGCTGCCCAAGGTATAATAGGCGTTTTTCACTTGGCGACGTTGCCATTTCTCTTCTTTGTAGGTCAACGTGACGCTGTTGCAAGTGTCGATTATTGAAGAGATCATTTCCTTTTCCGCACTGGATAACATTCGCGATCTGACCTGCGTCTCGTTGTTCTCGGTCTCGTTTGAGAATGTTACGACCAAGCTTCAGTTAGACAAACAGGTAGGTGCCGCAGGTGCTCGCTACAAGTCGTAACACGCGATTAACGTTGCAGCAAAAAGAGGTGCTCCAGCTGTTCCACCGTCCCGCGGTCGTCCAGATGGGCAGCAAGAAGGTGCTGACGAAAGCGAAGGCTTTTCTCCTCGGTCAGCACAGCAACACGATCGCCGATATCATACGGGGCGAGCCCGTCTCGATCGAGAGCTGCGATACCAAGCAGGAGGAGCTCGTGATCTGCCTCAGCGTCGGAAAGGTTCACGCGCAACTGAGACGCCTGCGCAACGAGAGCAGCGTCTTGAACGACGCGATCATCACCGCGATACCCGCCTACTTTTCGAAGGTCTTCTTCGCGTGCTCGAAGGCGGACGAGGTGCCCCGCCGCACCGACTACCACCTGCAGCAGCCCGCCGAAAAGCCGAACGCGTCCGAGGAGGTGAACGCCGAGGAGAAGCTCGGCTTTATAATGTTCGAGTGCGGGCTCGAGGGTATTACGCTGAAGCTCGTCAAGAAATCGCTGCTCGACCAGAGCGGCGGCGGCAACGAGTGCAAGACGCCTATCTTCTGCGACGACCAGAAGGAGGAGAAGCTCGCCGGCGAGAGTCGGAAGGACGAGAGCGACAGTAAAGCCGTTCAGCCCGTCATGAGGGATAGCGCAAATGTGTCCTCGTCGTTTATCGAATTCAAGACGGTCTGGTTTAATTTCGCCGCGCCGCCGAGAGCGCCGATCACGAGGAAGATTGATTACACGAGGTAAGGATTCTGCCGGAATTTTTCTCTCTTAAAGAATCCTTTGAGTATTCCAAAAACCTTAAAAAATCAACAATTTTGATAGTTTTAAAGGCTCTTGAAGTCCCTAGAAGAGATACAAAGGCTCATAAAAACTCTTTGAAACTGTTACCTCTTAAGTACTCTTTAAGAGCTCTTAGAGAACCATAATACCTCATAAAAGCCTCTTAAGTACGTTGTGTCAAAAGTTCCGCAAGAGTTACCAGGAGAAGATAAAAAGTTTTTTTTTTTACTTTCATGGTACATGTGGGAACCTCTTCATTTTGTGATTCTCATTACAGTTTTTCATTAAGGACCACCTAATCTGCCTCGAGTAAGAAGTGTTCCTTATTCCATAACAACCGGGGGATCTGGGGGGTATTCAATACCCCCCAGGGAAATAAGGAACGAACGCTGAATCTCTCCTTATTTCCCTGGGGGGTATTCCATACCCCCCAGACCCCCCGGTGCTACATTCTCCCCCAAAACATTCAGCCCTAAGGACTTTCGTTACAGTTTTTCATTAAGGACCACATAATCTGCCTCGAGTAAGGAGTGTTCCTTATTCCATAACAACCGGGGGGTCTGGGGGGTATGGAATACCCCCCATCCCCATGGAAATAAGGAACGAACTCTGAATCTCTCCTTATTTTTCTGGGGGGTATTCCAGACCCCCCGGTGCTACATTCTCCCCAAAAACATTCAGCCCTAAGGACTCTCGTTACAGTTTTTCATTAAGGACCAACTAATCTGCCTCGAGTAAGGTTATCCCATAACAACCGGGGGGTCTGGGTGGAAATAAGGAACGAACCCGGTGCTGTTTAAGCAACCCCTCCCGCTGAACATACATATTCTGCTCGAAAGTCAATTAGGCTATGTTTTAACAAACGCAATATCAATTACTAATTAAAATATTATGGCCATACTAGAACAAATTCAGGAAATATTTTACGCCCCCATATAAAAGAAACAAAAACCTCCGACCAATCGCACAAGCTGATAGTAACAATCAAAAAGGGCTTTGGAGATCATTGAAAAATCTTGGAGGGAAAACATCGCTTTTTTTTATAGATTGGATTGGAACCTGCTAAGTACCGCATCTCCGGCCATTAACGCCTGGATGAACCCCAGCAATCGTTTCGCAATTCGCGTGGTGCACATGGTTCGCACAATGTACAGGCGTTCGACAGCGGTCGTCGCCTGCCTGATGTCCGAGGCTCTGGAAGCTCAAGGCATTCACATGACATCGAAGGTTAACCATCTCCGACCATACGCCCGCATTTTGACGTTAACTTTTTAGAGCCGCTACGGAATACTGAGACCTCTGGCGACCACTCTCCAAGAAGATCCGAGCTGTCAGCTGTGCACCATCCTGCAAAAGTACATCCTTCAATCCGACGTCGCCTCGATCGAGACGAACCTACGCGAAGCGGAACTGCCGCAGCTGTCGACCCTTCGGCAAGGTGTCATCGTGTTAAGTCGTCAATGGAAAAATATCCTCCACACCCCCCTACTCGTGGAGCCCAATCAGAAGCTGCGCATAAAACCTTTGAACGTAACGATCGCCGTGCCGAAAGTGGACGAGGTAAGTACCTTGACTTTTGCGATCAACCTCGAATAAGCAAGACCTTGCTTAGGTTGACGACAACCTTAAGCCCGACCCGACCGGAAATAGTAAGCTACAAATTCATATTTCTCTAAATGTATACTTGGGCGCTTCTGCACTTGCGCACAATCGCGGCAAATGTCCTACTAATTTTTTTTCATTTCGTTTTGACTAATACTTTGGGTTTTGGGATGTGTAGGAGATGGGACTTACCGACGGGGAGGCGAGCGGTAACGAGGAACCCGATATCACTGACGAACACGCAATGCTCTTGCATTCCGGTATTATTCTTAAACCACAAGCGCACAAAAACATCGGTAGGTTTCCGTTTTCACTTGTGCATCTCACGTCCGCTTTGTGTGTCTCTATTAACCGGCTTCGGAATGTGTGACTAACAGGTTAATTTCTTCCCTGACAGTCGTCTTGCCCGCCAAGGCGGTCGAGATTGGGAGCTCGCCGCGATTGTCCGGGACGGTCGAGGGCGCGCTGCTGTCGCCGCAGGTCGCCGTCGTGTCCGGGGGAGTCGAAAGTGTTCTTACATCGCCAAGCCCACCTGGTACGTAATAAGCAAACATAAATACGTTTTAAAAACGTGCAATTTTGACTCACTTTCGATGTAATAAGTAAACGTTTAATTAACGCGTTTGATACGTCACTTGTTTTCTATTTGCGTCGGTTCTAAACGTAAATGTCAAAGTACATAAATTTAACGTAAAATAAACGTGAATTGAAAGAAGCTGTAACGTATTTTAACCCCCCCCCCCCCGATCCCCCCGGAGCTATGTTGTTCCACAAAAGCATCTAGCTTTCAAGACGCTCATACTACTTTTTGAAAACGGACTGACACCCCCCAGCTACATGACCCCAATACACAAAAATCTTATGTTGAATTTTTGTTTCCTGGGGAGGTATTCCATGCACCCCTCATATCATCACATATCTGTGTACCAGGGTGTCATATGACTGGGGGGTATTCCATACCCCCCAGACCCCCCGGTTTTACATTCTACCTCAGCATTATTTAGTGCTAATGTTTTGCAGGAGAACGTAAGACCGGGGGGTCTGGGGGGTATGGAATACCCCCCAGCCAAAGAGAATTACCCTCAACAAAGAAGAACTTGGTAATTCTTCTCTATTTCCCTTAGCACCCCATGGTAGCCCTTGAAAAAAGGTAATCAGGTCTTCTTATGCTGGGGGGTTTTCCATACCCCCCAGACCCCCAGGAGATACGTTCCTTCATAAGGGCATCTAGCCTTCAAGACTCGTACTACTTTTTGAAAACAGACGGACAGATCTTTATTTTCTGTGTAGAACCGGGGGGTCTGGGGGGTATGGAATACCCCCCAGCCAAACAGAATTACCCTCAAAAAGAAGGACTTGGTAATTCTTCTGTATTTCCCTTAGCACCTTCATGGTAGCCCTTGGAAAAAGGTAATCAGGTCTTCTTATGCGGGGGGGCCCAGACCCCCCGGAGCTACGTTCCTCCATAAGGACATCCAGCCTTCAAGACTCTCATACTACTTTTTGAAATCGGTCAGACAGTTCTAGGGGGTATGACGAAGACCTGATTACCTTTTTCCAATGTTTACCGTGGGGAGTTATTGACAATCCGGTACTACACAGTAATATCTGTCAGTCTTTTTTTCAGCAACTGCATTTAAATAACGTTTATTTTACGTTTCTTTTTGCCTACAAAATAAGAACGTTTATTTTACGTCTAAAAACTTACTCTGCCGGATGAGGTTTGAGGGAAAACGAGTTCAACCTCATTTTTAGTCAACCATCGAAAATACAAGAATCTGCAAGCACCTTCGAGCAGTAGAACTAGTGTCGTATTTCCGATTCTGAGCGGCGCCAACTTGTTCGCCCAAAAGAAGAGCCAAGACGAGTCCAACGGTCGGTTAACCGCAAAACCTGTCGATTATCGGTTGACGCTTTTTCTCGTAGGTTACGGGGTGCTGAAGGAGGACAAGAACACAATCAACATGGGCTCGGAGCCCAGCGTTTGCACGCACTCGAGCCCCGACCTGCCGTCGAGTCCGTTGCATCGCAACACTGGCCGAACTAAGTCGAGCGAGGACTTGTACAGCTGGATGGCGAAGCAGGACAAGCAGGAGAAGCCGGACGCGGTGGGATCGCTCCGGGGGTACATGGAGTCGAAGATAAATACTTTGCAAACGGATTCGTCGGGTGACGATCAGGCGAACGACGGGCGTATCGCCTTATATCCCATGCAGGACTCGCTGCGACTGCTAGACGCCCACTTCATTTTTCAACCCCTTCTTTCGAGTCTGGGTGTCATGTCTCGACAGTTGGTCAACACGGTAACCGGGTCGAGTAGGTGCATGGAGGTAAATGATTCGTAGCTGATCTCGGAGTTTCAGATTCGGAGAGTAACGTGACTTCGCTAGACGCTTTAGGTTCGAACTTGTCGTTGATCGGTAACATGGACACCATGCGGATTGACATCATCGTTTCGGAGCATGGGAAGGTCGACAAGAAACGAAAGACCAAATCGAAACCCAAGTTTAGCGTCGAGATAAACACGGACGAATCGTACGCGTTTATGTGCGAGAAGATTTCGATCGAGGTCGAAATGGATCGTAAAGCCGACATGACTGTTAACGATATGATCAAAACCAAGAACGTGCTGTACATCTCCCGAGGCCAGCTGAAGAAGCACACCAGCACGATTTTGAACTTCAATATCGGCGTCCGTTTCATAGCGCAACGCGTCAACATGCCGCTGTTACGTTTGCTGCACCAAATTACGAACATGTACCAAAACGTCAAGGACACACAAAACGAGCTGCGCGAGCAGCAGCCCATCGAAATCCGCCACCCGAAGACGAGCATAAGCGACCACACCGACATGAAGCACCACTCCAGCTCGACCTCTGACCTCCAAGACGTACACCCGACCGCCGCCAAACTAAGCTTGAAGATCTCCGACCCGGAATCCGGCACGGCCCTGATCTCACCCTCGCCCAGCGTCCGATCGCGCCCGCAGAGTTTCGCGCAGAAGTTGCGCTCGACCGGCAAGAGCGTCAAGGGTTACGTTAATTTGAGCGAGGGCGCCGGCACCCCGATTTTTACAAGCAGCCCGTCCGGTTCCGCCCTCGAACACATCTCGCACGTCTCCTCCGAGAAGAGCACGGGCCGATGCTGGAAGACGATCTACCACCTTCTCGACCTCTACGCGGCGATGCCCGACACGAAAACAATCACGCACCGATTCTCGATGGGCGCGGCCGACATCTCCGAGTACTACAAGGGCAAGCGCAAGTACGACATACTCACCGAGGTGAAATCGTCGGAGGACATCGAGAAGGTCGACGAGATACCCGCGCCGACGCGCGAGCCCAGTACGTCCACAACCCGTCGATTTGCGACGAACATTAACCCGACTGTTCTAGGCGTGTCCACCGAACGGACCAAGCTGATAATGCTGGGAGTCGCGAGGATACACAAGACGAAACTTCTCGCGACCCTTTCGGGTCTCAAGCTCGACGCCGAGATCACCGGCCTGCACTCGAGCGTCACGTGTCGCAGCAAGTCGCGACCGATCTCGCTCGAGTGCTCGATCACCGGACAGATCGGACGCACGACGATCAAACTGTTGGAGGGCGTCGCGCCGAATCAACTTCAGTAAGTCGAAAGGTACCGGGGTGAACGGGTCGTACAGTTTTAAGTTGTAGAACCGTCGTAAAGGCGACCGTCGGCAAGTCGCAGGTTTTGTGCTCGAGCATGAGCCGAAAGAGCAAGGATAAGAATTCTGCCCTGCTGACGATTGGCGCCGTTGTCATCGAGATACCGCAGCATCCGGTCGCCTTGCACGGAATGGTTACGAGAAGTAGCAAGCAGCTAAGCTCTACATTGCAGGTATATTGTTATTATTATCGCCAGACCTACTCGCGTTCACGTTTCCTATAAAGCGGTACAACTGCATGCAATACGTGTCGTGTATTTCAGGAGTTGCGAGTGACGCGCACCTCCAGCCGTCTCTCGCGTGGCGGCGTACAAACCGACGAGGAACAGACCCAGCACTACACCCCCAGCAATCACAAGAACGTCTACCAGCAGTCCGCGTCGATTAACCGAAGCTACAACAGCGAGAGTCTGATACACCCACTCGTCGTGCAATTCTCCATCGTCCTGCAGAGTCTCAGCATCACCGCCGCGCTGTTGCCGTCGCTGCAGGCGCAGTACAAGATGAACCAGCTGAAAAGCATGGGAACGACCGGGAATAAGGCGAAGTTCACGATCGATCTGCCCAAACATACGTTAAGCTTCACCACGATTTACCCGATGAGTCAAGGCACCGACATCCATCTGCCGACAGAGGCCTCCATAGCCCTACCGGTAGTGCACGTCTCCGCCGAGTACATTCCGGAAGGCGCGACCGGACCGTTTCGATCCGACGGCCATCGCGGGAACGAGGGGGTCGTGTTTCGTCAGGGCGGGTATCTGAGCGCCCAAGGTGACATCGGGGTTTTCGAGCACAGCCTCACCACGGACCTGCTGAACCACCTGGTGTTTGTGCAAAACATTTTTATGAAGGTGAGTTGTCGCGGAATCGTCGCCCGTTTAACGCGACCCTTTTTAGGAGGTTAACGAGGTCATCCAGAAGGTCTACGGAGGAGAGAGGCCCGTTCCGATTTGGCTCGAAGATACCGAAGAGCCCTCATCTCTCAACCGCCTTTTGTTTTCGCTGATCATTAAAATTCAGAGAATCCAGTTGACCGCGACCACGGCGGGAAGCAGCGCCGTTCGGCTCGAAACCGGCGCGGTCACTTTGGAGTTGTCGAATAGGGTGCAGAACGTGTCCGGGTGCACTCAGAACAACTCTACGGCGCGACTTTTTGGCAGAGCTCAGGTGGACTTGAACCTGTCTTTGGGGCAGTTGTTGCGGAACGCCCTCTTCGAGGAAGCCGAGGCGGAGTTTCAGCAATTTGCGTTCTTCAACACGCGGATCGGATTACGGAACGCGTTTCAGGTGAGTCTCAATTGATGATTTAACGAAAGGTCACATTTCATGGTGTAAAAATCTCCGACCCCCCAGCCATACAACCCCAGTACATAAAAATCCCATGATGTAAGAAAAGGAATGTTGTTTGTTTCTTGAGGGGGGGGGGGTATTCCATAGGCCCCTCATACCTCATATCATTAGATTTTCGTGTACCAGGGCGTCTTATACTCCCTGATCCCCGGTTCTCTCCCAAAATATTTAGTGCTTTTAGAGTGAATGTTTTGAGAGAGAGTATAGAGGCAGGGGGGTCCGGGGGGTATGGAAACCCCCCCAGCAATACCTCCCCAGTACACGAAAATCTTATCTTCGATTCGTGGGAGGTATTCCATAGATCCCTCATATCTCACATCATCACATATTTGTGTACCGGGTGTCGTATGGCTGGGGGTATTCCATACCCCCCAGACCCCCCGGTTCTACTTTTTCCCCAACATATTTAGTGCTTTTAGGTTGAATGTTTTGTGGGAGAATGTAACACTGGGGGGTATGGAATACCCCCCAGCTACATGACCCCAATACACAAAAATCTTATGTTGAATTTTTGTTTCCCGGGGAGGTATTCCATACACCCCTCATGCCTCATATCATCACATTTTGTGTACCGGGTGTCGTATGGCTGGGGGGGGTATTCCAGACCCTCAGACCCCCCCCCCCCCCGTTCTACATTATACCCCTACATATTTAGTGCTTTTAGAGTGAATGTTTTGTGGGAGAATGTAACACGGGGGGCGTGGGGGATATGGAACACCCTCCAACCACACAACACATCTTTGTTTCTGGTGGCGAATTTCCTACACCCTTCATATCTCAGATCAAAAGATTTTGGTATAGTGGGGTCGTATATGGTTTGGACTTCCCAGTTCTAGATAGGTCCCCAAAGCTGATTGCCCGAAACGCTTTGGTGTCACTCGAGTCTTCCCATTTTTGTCGATTATCTCTATGTATCTTTTAACACAGGGTCATAATGTGCAACCTTGCTTTTTTATTTAATATTTTCTGTGAAATCTATTTCGTATGTCCCAATGGCGTAAGCTTCATAGTACTATACCTACTGCATGTAAATAATTACTTTCTTTGGACTTATCACCCTCCCTGTATACTTTTTGTTACCAATCTTGTAATCATACGAACCCTTGTTTTGGCTAGGATGAAATTATCGAAGGTGAGGACAAGGAGGTCGTGCTAATCACCTTAAAGCGACCATTGATTTACGTTCAACCCGTCGCCGTGGACAAGGCGATCCTGGTCTGGCTGAACTACAAGAACGCCTACGACTATTGGAACGAGAAGCGCTCGTCCATCCAACAGGTCACCATCCGGCCCTTAATCCTTACCTCGACTATTAAATTCCCAATTCTAGAATTACGAGAAATTACAAATCGGGCAGCTAACCAGTCAGCTAAGCGCCCAGCATTTGGGCACCCTTTTCCTGCAATTGACCGTCGAGGACATGGGCATTTGTCTGCCGCTGAATCCGTTACCTTTGGCGACGTGGACGCAGCGGTGCATTTACGAGGAGTGCCGCGGGGCGGTGGTTGTCACCTTGGAAAGTACGAGCATATCAGGTGGGTGAGTTCGTGGTGGCGTTTCCCCCCTTTTATATCGGGGTCGTTTTCAGCGTGTAGTTCGGGTTCGTTGGTGAGTAAGGGGAAATTTTCGAATCTGTGTCTCAGATTCGCCGAGGACTTCGAGACGTCTCTGGACGACTGGAAGCCGGATATGGGCGACTGCAACATTATGAATCTGTGCGTCGTAAGCGAGGGCACCTACGAGGTGTGCAGTCGCACGATCACCGGCAAACAGTGTAACGGTAATGGCGGATTTGGCCCCTTAGGCCATTGATAACAAAGTGCTTGCAGAGAATGCCAAATGGTTTCTCAACGTGCAGTGGCAAATGGAAGGTGTCGACATACATCTCGACACGAACGTGGGGAAGCAACTGTCGGCTTTGGGGCACACGCTTACGTCATTAACTGGCGCGGAGGACACGCATTTTCCCGTCGATTACGATAGCGACGAGAATGACGCAACGGATGGCACGAAAACGTCGCAGGAGAGCATTTTGCCGTCCTTCATGCTCGATCCGACCTTAAACAATCGACAAAGGTCGAAGCTGATCGAGAAGGAAATGAACGAGCAGGCGAAAATTATTAACGACCTGCGATCGCTGGGAGCCTCGCACGGCACGATCGAGCTCGAGCTGAAGCGGCTACACGAACTGGAGGCGATGGTCTACAAGGACTTCCGCCGAGACATGATGCAAAAGCTGCGGAGGCAAAGCGTCAAAGCGTCGACCATCACCAAAGGGAAATTGGGAATCGGCAATAACGCGTACAGGTCGAAATCCTTCGTCGTGCCGAGCCCGACGATCGAACGTCGCAGTCCCGACAACGGCAGCTACGAGAGTAGCCCCTGCTCCGGTCCCTCGCGGTCCGCGTCACTGCGAGTTAAGGGAAACTCCGGACCGCGAGTCACCTTCAGCGACACGCAAATGTGCCGACAGTCCTCTTTACCGACGGCCAGCTCCGACATCAACATACCCGAAACGCAGCTCGACTGGGTCGACCACCTGACCGTTGACGGGGAGAAGGTCGAGCTGCGGAAGAAGCTGCCGCCGTCGTACGAGTCGGACGAGGGCTCGATTATCGTCGATTCCATTCACGACTCGCCCACGAATTCGCTACCCGGGATGTCCGCCAACGTCTCGCAGGCCGGCGTACCGCAAAAGCCGCAGGAGCCGAATATCGACCTTGAGCTGGACGTTAAGGTGCTAATTAACAGCGGAAAATGTGTGCTGCATACCAAGGACGCGGTGCGGGAGGAGGATATTAAATTGTAAGTACAAAGCGTCACCTTTGAATTTAAAATTAGGAAGAAGTCTACGTGGTGTGCGGACAATTTGCGCGAATAATTCGCGTCCGTGCAATTCGCACCCGGATAATTCGCACCCGGACAATTCGCGCCCGGAAAATTTGCTCCCAGGACAATTCGTGCCCGGACAACTCGCTCCCAGCACAATTCGCTCCCAGGACAATTCGCGCCCGGATAATTCGCTCCCAAAATAATTCGCTCCCGGTCAATTCACACCACAACAATTCGTGTCCGGATAATTCGCACCCGGACAATTCGCGCCCGGATAATTCGCTCCCGGACAATTCGCGCCCATACAATTCGCGCCCGGATAATGCGCTCACGGACAATTCGTGCCCGCATAATTCGCTCCCGTACAATTCGCGCCCGGATAATTCGCTCTCAGAATAATTCGCTCTCGGACAATTCCCTCCCAGGACAATTCGCGCCCGCATTATTCGCACCCGGACAATTCGCTCATGTCCGGTGCCGAGTAACCGACAAGCAGACAACTTGCTTTTTAGCGCATTTTCCAATGAAGTTGGGGTGCGCTATTGCGACCACTTTCTCTGTCCGTCCGTCTGCCCGAGGCCTTAAGTACTCCTACAGTTTTCAAGATATTAACTTCGTTCTTTTTGCATTCGGTAGCGTATAGCTCTAGCACCTGAGCCAAGGAAAATCTTGACAATTAAACTGCGCAATGGCAACTTTCTTATTTATGGAGATATTTCTTTGAAATTTTAACAAAAGTTGCTTTTAGTATAAGCAAACGTATCGCATATTTTAAACATCAGATTAATGCGCGCATTTATCGAGATATATTTTTGAAATTTTAATCATAGATGCTTCTGTTAAAGGCAAACATATCTGATATTGCAAAAATTAGATGTGCGCATGCGCAGTCAGTGCCAATTTCTTTATTTATCAAGCTATTTCTTTGAAATTTTAACCATAGATGCTTCTAGTAAAGAAAAACAACACTTATAGTAAAAATCGAAAACGACAAATGTTATTAGGAAAAGCAAACATATCGCACATAGTAAAAATCAAATTCACGCATGCGCAGACTGCAAAATGCCAACTTTTTTGTTTATGGAGATATTTCTTTGAAATTTTAACCATATATGCATCTAGTAAAGAAAATCACAGCGACATAGCTATGGCCTTTTGGGAAGTACTGGTCATTCATGGAAAATGCGCTGAAGTTACTCACCTTAGAGCAAAAACCTTTTACTTGTTTGTTTATAACAATACCGGCTCCTGCAACAGTGCGTCGGTCTTTCCTAGCTCATACCTGGCAAAAAAAATTTTAAAAAAACCTTTTGTGCAAATGTCAACTATATACGGTTGCGCATCTACAGAAATTATTTTTGAATGTACAGGGTGTCCCATTTTTACGGTGTCAATATACAGCTGATTTTTTAAAGGGAACATTCCGTCTATTTTTAGCTGATTCGATGTCATTTTTTAACAATGTAGTTTTTTTTGTCAATGTTGCCAAATTATTATTTTTTGTTCGAATAATTCGCCATAAGACAGCTCCACTTTGATAATCATAGCAACCTTGATTTTAAAGTTAAGAAATACATTTGATCAATTGGCAATTAGGAAGTTGAATTTAGTGATACAGGGTGTTTACAAAAAAAAATGTAAAATTTCCATAACTAATTTTATTCAAATGACACTGCCACTATTTTACTTCTCTATTCTATAGTCTTTTGCGTGCTCTTCAATTTTTATAAGGGGTGTCATGTGCCAAAACCCTGTAGTTTCTAGGTTATTCAATATTTTTCAAAAAAGTAGTTACATATTAATTAATTACATGTTTTTAAACAGGAGTAGGCAATGATAATAAAAAACCAAAGAACGCCAGATAGTAAACAAGTGCCATAAATCATTTACTTGCTGCAAGTGTACTCCATTTCGTAGTAAAATAAGATTATTTAAAATTTTCGAAATTCGCTACGATTTTTCAAAGTGGGGCTTGCTTATGGCGATTTATTCGAAAAAAATTAATACTTAATTTGGTAACATTTACACCAAAAAAATGAATAAGTTTCCATGCAGAGGTTAAAAAATGATAGCGGAACAATTAAAAATATACAGGGTGTTCCATTAAAAAAAATCAGTTGCCTATTGACACCGTAAAATGGGACACTCTGTACATTCAAAAATAATTTTTGTAGATTCGCAGCCATCCATAGTCGAAAAGGTTTTTTAAAATATTTTTTACCAGGTATGAGCAAGGAAATACCGACGCGCTGTATTTCTTGGCTCCATCTACATATACCTCGAGGTACTTCTAGAGAATCACGCGAAAGTACCGGGTGACCCAATAAGACTGTTCCTCGGCGATATCTCGGGAACCGTTCGTCGTATGACTTAGGGGTAAAAAAAATTATTGGGTAAATCGATTATGAAAAATCGCTGGAAATATTTTGGGTCATGGTGTCAAAACTAGCCCCCTGGCGGAGCAGGATTCAACTAAATTAACTATATTTTGGTATATCCATATCAAATTTGTTTAAATCGGCCAAACGGTTAAGAAGTTAAAGCAGGTTATGGCAAAAACAATTGAACGCCCCACGCCATCTTTGTTTTTGAAATAACTGAGTTTTTGTTTTTTACGACAATGATAGATAAACTGGTTCTCTTTAAAAATGTGAAAAAAGAATGTTTAGTTTATTATGCGAAATTTAAAGAAAATGCAATTTTAAAATTTAAGATGGCAGTTACGCCCTCTGGTGGTCGTTTTTAGAACTTAAAAATATTTTCCGGCGATTCTTCATGACCGATTAACGACGAACGGTTCCCGAGATATGGCCGAAGAACAGTCTTATTGGGTCACCCAGTACAGGCTTAGACTTCTTCCTAATTTTATATTCAAAGCCGTCACTCAAAACGCTTCCAATTGAAATTGTAGAAACCGAATGCGTAAGGATCGAAGCTGCTCGACCGGCTTACTCGAGTTCTCAGTCTCAAACAGCCCCGACCCGTCACGACGTAATAAAGAGAAATTAACGACGACCACGAGTAGCAGTCGACTACGCACCAATCCGCATGCTTCACTTGTCGACTTGACCATATTCCACGTGCCGGGCATGGATGTTAAGCTGCACTATCAGTCTAAGGTAGTTAGTACACGCGCGACATCGCGGTAGGTGACAGGCGAATTTTTCAGGTGATCACCGATATCGTCGATCAAAGCCAGTTCGCCGACCCGAAAGACGTCCACGCCAGCTCGGACGGTCTCTCGTCGACCTCGGACAGCGCGCGAAACGTCCAAGACGAGCTGCGGATCGAAAACGCCTTCAAGCGCAAAGACAGCAACCTGGGCACGAGTCTCGACAGCAAAATGAAGTACGGCAAGTCGCACTACGGACCTAGGGGCGACTTCATATCGGACATCGGCTCCAACTTAAAAGGCTCCACGTCACTGCACGGAATATCAAACCCGAACTACACCGACAGCCCGATATCGAACAGGAACAGCTTGGAGAACGTTCCCCAGCTCGCCGAGAGTTACAAGGTGCCCCCTGTCACGATGAAGAAGTTCGGAATAAAGAAGGCGTCGCTCTTCGCTTGGATGACGCTGCAAAGCGTGCCCGAGGAGACGATCGTCAGTCCGCACATCTTGGAGTTCCTCGAACAGACGCTCGAGCCGATTCCCGCGAAAACGTTCAGCGCGCCGGGCAACAGCTCGATACTGTCGTCGGGCGAGCAGGACCTCTCCACTTACGGCAACTACGTCTACGCGAGTTTCCCGGTCGACGTCATCGTCTACTTCCACATGCAGCCGAGCACGTTCCGTTTCAGTTGCCTGCCGGTCTCGAGGGTCGAGTGCATGCTGCAGTTGCCCTCGCTCGACATAATTTTCAGCTCGAAAAGGGCCGAGGACGAACTTCTGCAGAGGTAAGCTTGGAAGGTTGGCGGCGGCGGTGACTGTGATTTTGCGTTGCAGCGAGTTTCGCGATGACACCCCGAACAACGCGACGGCGGTCGGCGGTCTCAGCGTGACCGGTTGCCTGTCCGATTTCTCGGTGTACATCTTCCATCCGTACGGCGGCAAAAAGTCGGCGCTGAAGGAGGCGCAGTGGTCGCCGCTTTCGGACAGCGAGCGCAAGGATTCGCTTTCGATCAACGTCGAGTTCGTCAAGTTTCACCTGTCGCGCTCGCGAATGCTGAACCTTCACCAGGAGAGCACGAAGGGAAAGTTGGATCAGAGCAAGGCGGTCATTCGATTTTCAAGTAAGAGTAGCTCTAGGGCCTTCATTGATTACAATGAAATGTACTCGTTTACTTTCTTACTTCTTTTCCATTTTGCATTTTACAATTACATTATAATAGTTTTTAACCTGTACGACAACATGGGAGACTTTCATTTCTCTTGCAATCACGAATACACTTTTTGTAACGAAGGGTTTGGTAGTCCTTTCTGAAAAACATGGAAGTCTTCAAGCTCAACGTTTTGGGGGTGAGCATACTACCGGGGGGTCTGGGAGGTTATGGAATACCCCCCAGACATTCCCTCTAGCGCACAAAAATCTTATGGTAGTAGTAGGGAAAAGGGCACCGGATCTTTAATTTCCTAGGTGGTATTCCATACCCCCCAGACCCCCCGGTTCTACAACACCACAAACCTGTGGGTTAGAATATACTTTTTTGGAAAGGACGATTTGGTGGTCCTTTCTGAAAAACTATCATAGGAGTCTTCAGCTCAACGTTTTGGGAGAGAGCATACCACCGGGGGGTCTGGGGGGATATGGAATACCCCCAGCCATTCCCTCTATCGCGCAAAAATCTTATGGTAGTAGTAGGGAAAAGGACACCGGATCTTTAATTTCCTAGGTGGTATTCCATACCCCCCAGACCCCCCGGTTCTACAACACCACAAACCTGTGGGTTAGAATATACTTTTTTGGAAAGGACGATTTGGTGGTCCTTTCTGAAAAACTATCATAGGAGTCTTCAGCTCAACGTTTTGGGAGAGAGCATACCACCGGGGGGTCTGGGGGGATATGGAATACCCCCAGCCATTCCCTCTATCGCGCAAAAATCTTATGGTAGTAGTAGGGAAAAGGACACCGGATCTTTAATTTCCTAGGTGGTATTCCATACCCCCCAGACCCCCCGGTTCTACAACACCACAAACCTGTGGGTTAGAATATACTTTTTTGGAACGGAGGGTTTGGTAGTCCTTTCTGAAAAACTGTCATGGGAGTCTTCATGCTCAACGTTTTGGGGGAGAGCATACCACTGGGGGGGGATATGGAATACCCCCAGCCATTCCCTCTATCGCGCAAAAATCTTATGGTAGTAGTAGGGAAAAGGACACCGGATCTTTAATTTCCTAGGTGGTATTCCATACCCCCCAGACCCCCCGGTTCTACAACACCACAAACCTGTGGGTTAGAATATACTTTTTTGGAAAGGACGATTTGGTGGTCCTTTCTGAAAAACTATCATAGGAGTCTTCAGCTCAACGTTTTGGGAGAGAGCATACCACCGGGGGGTCTGGGGGGATATGGAATACCCCCAGCCATTCCCTCTATCGCGCAAAAATCTTATGGTAGTAGTAGGGAAAAGGACACCGGATCTTTAATTTCCTAGGGGGTATTCCAGACCCCCCGGTTCCCGGCCTTACTATACTACTTATAATACCTCAAACCTGTGGGTTAGAATATACTTTTTTGGAACGAAGGGCTTGGTAGTCCTTTCTGAAAAACTGTCATGTAAGTCTTGAGGCTCAACGTTTTGGGGGAGAGTATACCATCGGGGGGTCTGGGGGGTATAGAATACCCCCCAGCCATTCCCTCTATCGCACAAAAATCTTATGGTAGTACTTGGGAAAAGGACACCGGATCTTTAATTTCCTAGGGGGTATTCTATACCCCCCCGACCCCCCGGTTCTACAACACCACAAACCTGTGGGTTAGAATATACTTTTTTGGAAAGGACGATTTGATGGTCCTTTCTGAAAAACTCTCATGGGAGTCTTCAGGCTCAACGTTTTAGGGGAGAGCATACCTCTGGGGGGTATGGAATACACGCCAGCCATTCCCTCTACATGCAAACATGTATGTCACACAATTGTTAATTGACAGGCAATTGTTTTACAACCAAAACCTAAAAATCTAGATTTATGAAAACTTCCAGCTATAACCGACATCGGATCGGCCTCCTTCAAGTACGACATGCGCCGTCTGACCGAGATCCTCGCCTTTCCAAAGGCGTGGTACAGGCGTTCGATCGTGAGGCGACTGTTCCTGGGCGACCTGAGCATGGCCGGCGCGCACACCGAAGAGGAAGGTACCAGCGCCCCTTCCGTTTCGCCGAGCTCGTCGAGACATCACGACAGCCGGTACGAACGTTAACCCGATCGTCGCCGATCGTTCACGAGTCTCGTTGTAGATCGGCGAAATCGCCCAACTTGCCCAATCGAGAGAAGCTTAAAATTAATTTGGATTCCGACCGACACGCCCGGCTGAAGGAAGTCGGCCGTGCCTTTAGCGCCGAGTCCGGGTGCACCGCGAGTCCGGAACGCAAAAACATGACGTCATGGGAGACGCTCGTGCTGTTCGCTGTCAATTTTAAAAAGTTGAATGTTCACATGAATATGGGCAACGTCATGGGTAACGTGACGTAAGTGTCGATCTGGTGTTTCGACTCTGTAATCAGTTGTCATTTTTACAGGTGGTTAACCAAAGACTTTAGAAGCGAGGGGAGGCTGAGCATCGGCTCGACCGGTTACAAGAATCTGTACATCGCGTTCGGGTTAGGAGGATCCGGGCTGGATGCGAAAGGTGGAATCGTCGGTGGCAACATCGAGATTGCGAACATCGACACGTTTATACACATAAGGGAGGAGCCGAACATGGAACCGGATCATACGATAGGCGTGCAGCTCTACGCGCTCGAGCTAAGGCTCGACTACATGGCCACCTCCGTTCTGATGGCGCGCGTGAGCAATTTGAGCGTTAACGTGAAAGACGAATGGAAACTGAACCGGTCGAGTTCCGGCACGTTTATTCCGACGAGACGGCCGGCCAGTATCTTCGTACACGGTGATCTCAGCTGGGACCAACTGCAAATTATGATCTCGAAATCGTCGACGGCCGACCTGCTGAAGATGTTCAACAAACTGGAGGAGTTCTTCTCGCAGCAGTTCAACAGCAGCAAGCGAGCGTTCAGCGGTTTCGCGCAAACGTCGCACGCGCCCAGGATATCGTCGCAAAAGAGCAAGGAGGCGTGGTCGAGCCAGCAGCAGAGCACCTTTAACGACGCGCGACACCACCGCCACTGGCAGCGCGTTTTGACGCAGGTCACCGGCCTGCAACTCTCCACGATGCACACCCCGTTGCCCACGTCGGGCACGGTCCTAGGCGGTACCATGGAGCTGCACGGCAACAACATCTCCCTGGCGTGCTTTCACGGCATCAACTTCAAGAGCAAATCGTGGGCGCTGTTCAGCCTGCGAGAGCCGTGCATCACCTTCAACACCGAGGCGCAGGAGATTCCCTCCACAGGTTTCGCAACCGACCGAAACGCGTGCGCTGGAATTAACTCTCACTTTGCAGATCTATTTCCGTCGCAGGACGTTCACGTGGTGCAGACTCTCACGTGCAGTCTGGGACTCAGCACTTACAAAACTCACCACTCGATGGCGACCGTGTGCAAGGTGTCGCGGAACGTGTTGTTTCCGCCACAGTTCAAATCGCTCCTGGAATGGTTCCAGTACGCCTTCGCTAATAGTCAAATTGACGGTAATTTTACGTTTTTCGCATGTGAGCCATTAAAAATTCCAGGCCGTGCCCCCCCCCCCCCTCTCACTTAAACAATTGATAATCATATTATTTTAAAGTCAATATGCACCACCTCCCGGTTCTATATTTTCAAAAAAATGGGTACTTTATACAACCTTGAATTGAAAAGTTTAAGTTAGGAGGGGGGGGGGGGTCTGGAGAATAGACCCCCCCCCCCCCCCAGACAGACACAACGCTCCCCCAGTAAAGAGAAATTTGGTAAACCTCTTTCTCTACAATCATGATCTTCATGAAATCATTTGTAGACTCATCAGCATGCTCATGATTTGTATACTAGGGGCTATTCCATCCCCCCCCTCGCAGTTTTATATTTTTAACCAAAAATGGGTATTGGCTTTTACTACTCGCTCCTCGCTCTATACGTCCTTGGGTTAAAAGTTTTCCGGTAGGTGGAGTTTCCGAGGGGGGGGGGGTATTGAAAACCCCCCAGCAGACAGGACGCTCCGCCAGTAACGAGATTTGATGATCTTCGTTCTCTACAATCATAGTCGTCATGAAATCATTTGTTGACTCATCATCATTATCATGATTTTTTATACTACCCCCCCTCCTCTCCCCAGTTTTATATTTGTAACCAAAATGGGTATTTTCCTTTACTACTCGCTCTAATACATCCTTGGATTAATAGTTTTCAGGTAGGTGGGGGTTCTGGGGGGTACGGAATACCCCCCGCCAGACAACGCTCCCCCAGTAAAAGAAATTTGATGATTTTCTTTCACTACCATCATTTGTATACTCATACAAGTGAAAACTTTGTATATTGGGGGGTATTCCATGCATGCCCCCGCTCGCCGGATCTCTAGGTTCTTTATTTTCAACCAAAATGAGTACCTAGTGCTCTTTATGACTTACTGTATGCAACCTTGGGTTGAAAGTTTTAAGTTTAAGTGGGGGATCTGGGGGGACACAATCATGATCCTCATGAAATCATTTGTAGACTCATCATCATTATCATGATTTTTGTATACCCCCCCCCCCCACCTCTCCTCAGTTTTATATTTGTAACCCAAATGGGTATTTCCCTTTACTACTCGCTCTATACATCCTTGGGGTAAAAATTTTCCGGTAGGTGGGGGTATTGAAAACCCCCCCAGGCAGACAGAACGCTCCCCCAATAAAGAGAAACTTGATGATCCTCTTTCTCTACGATCATGACCATGAAATCATTTTTATACTCATACAAACGAAAGTTTTTTACACTGGAGGGTGTTCCAGACCTCCCCCCCCCTCGGTTCTATATTTTCAACCAAAATTAGTTGTGATCTTTACTATTCGCTGTATGCAACTTTGGGTTGAAAGTTTTAAGGTAGGTGGCATGGCGGGGGGGTATGGAAACCCCCCCAGGCAGACACAACACTCCCCCAGTAAAGAGAAATTTGATGATCCTCTTTCTCTACAATCATGACCATCATGAAATCATTATTATACTCATACGTAACACGAACGAAAGATTTTTACACTGGGGGGGTATTCCAGACCCCCCCCCCTCCCTCTGTTCTATATTTTCAACCAAAATTAGTTGTACTCTTTACTATTCGCTGTATACAACTTTGGGTTAAAAGTTTTAATGGCACGGCGGGGGGTATGGAAACCCCCCAGGAAGACACAACGCTCTCCCAGTAAAGAGAAATTTGATGATCCTCTTCTTCTACAATCATAGTCATCATGAAATCATTTGTAGACTCATCATCATTATCACGATTTTTGTATATTACCCCCCCCCCCTAGAGTTTTATATTTTTAACCAAAATGGATATTTCCCTTTACTACTCGCTCTATACATCCTTGGATTAATAGTTTTCTGGTAGGTGGCGGTTCCGGGGGGTATGGAATACCCCCGGCAGACACAACGCTCCCCCAGTAAAAGAAATTTGATGATCTTCTTTCGCTACAATCATTTGTATACTCATACGAGTGAAAACTTTGTATACTGGGGGGTATTCCATACATGCCCCCCCCCCTCCCAATCTCTAGGTTTTTTATTTTCAACCAAAATGAGTAGTGCTCTTTACGACTTGCTCTACGCAACCTTGGGTTGAAAGTTTTAAGTTAGTTGGTGGTTTCCGGGGGGGGTCTGGGGGAACACACGCTCCCCCAATCAAGAGAAATTTTGATGATCCTCTTTCTCTACAATCATGACCATCATGAAATCATTATTATACTCATACGTAACACGAACGAAAGATTTTTACACTGGGGGGGTATTCCAGACCCCCCCCCTCCCTCTGTTCTATATTTTCAACCAAAATTAGTTGTACTCTTTACTATTCGCTGTATACAACTTTGGGTTAAAAGTTTTAAGGTACGTGGCACGGCGGGGGGTATGGAAACCCCCCAGGAAGACACAACGATCTCCCAGTAAAGAGAAATTTGATGATCCTCTTCTTCTACAATCATAGTCATCATGAAATCATTTGTAGACTCATCATCATTATCACGATTTTTGTATATTACCCCCCCCCCTAGAGTTTTATATTTTTAACCAAAATGGATATTTCCCTTTACTACTCGCTCTATACATCCTTGGATTAATAGTTTTCTGGTAGGTGGCGGTTCCGGGGGGTATGGAATACCCCCGGCAGACACAACGCTCCCCCAGTAAAAGAAATTTGATGATCTTCTTTCGCTACAATCATTTGTATACTCATACGAGTGAAAACTTTGTATACTGGGGGGTATTCCATACATGCCCCCCCCCCTCCCAATCTCTAGGTTTTTTATTTTCAACCAAAATGAGTAGTGCTCTTTACGACTTGCTCTACGCAACCTTGGGTTGAAAGTTTTAAGTTAGTTGGTGGTTTCCGAGGGGGTCTGGGGGAACACACGCTCCCCCAATCAAGAGAAATTTTGATGATCCTCTTTCTCTACAATCATGACCATCATGAAATCATGTTTATACTCATACGAACGAAAGATTTTTACACTGGGGGGTTATTCCAGCCCCCCCCCCCCCTCTCTCGGTTCTATATTTTCAACCAAAATGAGTTGCGCTCTTTACTATTCGCTGTATACAACTTTGGGTTGAAAGTTTTAAAGTTGGTGGCACACCGGGGGGTGTGGGAAACCCCCCAGGCAGACACACTCCCCAGTAAAGAGAAACTTGATGATCCTCCATCATGAAATCATTTTTATACTCATACGAACAAAAGATTTTTACACTGGGGGCATCCCAGAACCCCCCCTCTCCCTCGGTTCTATATTTTCAACCAAACTATTCGCTGTATATAACTTTGAGTTAAAAGTTTTAAGGTACGTGGCACGCCGGGGGTATGGAAACCGCCCCAGGCAGACACAACACTCCCCCAGTAAAGAGAAATTTGATGATCCTCTTTCTCTACAATCATGACGAAATCATTTTTATACTCATACGAACGAAAGATTTTTACACTGGGGGGTATTCCAGACCCCCCCCCCTCTGTTCTATATTTTCAACCAAAATGAGTAGTGCTCTTTACTACTCGCTGGACCTATGTAACGTAGGTGGCGGCAGTTCCCCCAGCCAGACTTAAAATGGTAAAATCAAAACTGGAACATTTTCGCTCACTTAAGCCATATGGGCGGGGGGGGGGGGTCAAAAGAATGTCAATTTCAGCATGCCCTTATATTAGGAGTCAGTGATATTTAGAGCCTGTATCATAGATTTTGAGGGCACTTAAGAGACTTTAAGATCTTTTAATAATGATTGAGTATTTAATATTTGAATCTTGAAGTGTCTTGACTCTTTACAAAAGCCTTTAAGGGTTGCTAACAGTCTCCCACCTCTCTTTAAGGCTTCTTTGAGAGTTTTTTAGAATCTGCAAAGATTTTTCTGAATTTTAAATGCCGAGCCGTTACAGGTCTTTGGGAGCTTTTAAGAGTTTTTGAACGCCAAGATATTAAAGGTTTCTTATAGTCTTGAAGGCCCTTTAAAACCATTTTTGGTTATATTTGTTGCCACTTTGAAGTCGCCCATATCCCTTGATTCCTTAGCCAATCAGAAAGTTGATGAATTTGAAGCTGATTGGCTAAGATTGTGAAAACTTTCCCATTGTAGAGGTGGACCGCTTCCCTTCGCTCGAAAAGGAAAAGTTCGACTCGATCGAGCGCGGCCGAAACGCCGCGCAGAAGCAGAACGACTCGAATCACAATCGCGAAGTGATATTCGCGCTGCCCAGCCTGCAGCTGCACCTAAAAACCGAACATCTGCAGTCCGCCGGCACGCCGGACCTCACGGAGGACAAGCCGGTCGTCGAGTGCAGCTTCATCACCGAGTTCGAGGATCACATCTTTGTGACCGTCGACGCGGAGGCGTTCTTCTTCCTGCACGACTTGATCACGTCGTATCTCAAGGAGAAGGAGCGGGTGGTAAGTATTGCTCCTGAAAATTCACTTTGCACAAAAGGGGTTTCCCGTTTTAGTTCGGCACAGAAAGAAAGCACATTCCCGAAGGCGCGAAGTCCTCGAAGCCGTCCATCAGCTCGGCGGCGGAAAGTCAGGCCAAGAAGTCATTCGACGACATCTTCACGAAAGACTGGCGCAACTACAACTGCAAGACGTGGCACCTCGAGCCGACCGTGAGACTGCTGAGCGTCGCCGGCAAGTACATCGAGCCGTACGGCATCGACTACATACTGCAGAAGTTGGGCTTCTCGCACGCCCGCACGACGATACCGAAATGGATGCAGCGCGGCTTCATGGATCCGTTCGACGCGATCCTCGCCGTTATCACGCTCAAAATGGTGCAGGTGGTTAAGGGGGACGGAAATAAGAACAACGAGAAGGAGAAGACCGAGTAGTATTAGTGAGATTATATTTATTTATACGTTAGTTAGTTGTATATCGTAGTAATTAAAATTTTCCCTCATGCTGTGCTACAAATTTTCACCGTCAACAACGCCATCTCTTATGTACTACAACTGTCTGCAATGATACTCTTAAGGGTTCTTAAAGGCTCATAAAAACAAGAGTCTCAAAGCCTCTGGAATTTCGTGGCGGGGGGAAGATCTTCCAATTACTGTATCGATTCATAAAGGTCACAATTTTAACAAGAGGCAACGTTTGAGGGCCTTTTTTGAACCAAAATCTCATTTATTTAAACTAATAGGAAATTCTAAGGTCCATTTTGGTAGTTTTCTCTTGTTGGTGTGCATGCGTATCCGCCATCTTGGATGTAGTAGAAGACCAACATATGTTTTGGGCCAGGCAGTGACGTCACACCAATCGGAAACGAGGTCGTAACGTTACAGCCCAACTACGCCCCTTGCTTTCAGGTTCGTGAAGCGGTTCGACATATTTTAGAAGCGGTACCAATCCAAATGGCTGTTGAATCGATTGGAAAAACTGTTGGGGCAGTTGAAACGGCTCTTGGACCGCTTAACAAACCTGAAAGGGATAGGCGTAAGAGGGCAATGGCTGTTACGTCACGATCTCGTCTCTGATTGGCCCAGAACATACATTGTTCTACTACATCCAAGATGGCTGCGCAAAGGGGTGGGGCGCGCATGCGCACTGACACTACCAAAATGGACCTTAGAATTTCGCATAAGAAATACACTGGGTTTTGGCGATAATTGCGCCAGAACCAGTGTAGCCTCTCTACTCAAAACCAGCCTGAAGATTTCCAAAGAGGACCCATTTGTTGTATCTGAAAAAAATCACAATTTTCCTCAAAAGCAGCAACTGATGGCTTCTATTGAGACTTCACACATCTATGCTAGCTTTTAGGGATCTTTAAAACCGTTTATGACTACTGAAGGGTTTCCAAAAATTTTAAAGAGCCTTTAAGAGTCCTTAACATGCGTTAAATTGTCTTGATGATGCTTTTGTTATAGTTTTTCAAAAAGGACCATCGAATCTTCTTTTTCCAGGGAGTATTCCCTACTCCACACGCTTCTGTTGTTACGTTCGGGGGTGCTTTTTGAAATATTTTGGAAACGAATCCAGAACAGGGAGTATGGAATACTCCGAAAGATTTCTATGTTCATTTTCCTACAGGTTCCATAAGGTTTCCGCGCATCGGGGATATTACATACGTTGAATCTTTCTGTGCTGGGAGTAATTCCAGACCCCCCCCCCCCGGTTTTACGGTCTTCCTCAAAACGTTTAGCCCTCGTGATAGTTTTCACAACAGATCACTGAATCTTCCTCGCCTAAGGAGTATTTTTTACCCCGCAAGGTTCGGTGTTGGTTTTTGAGATATTCTCGTGAAGAAAGCAGCATCTGGGGGGGGGAGGGGGGTTATGGAAAGTGTTTTGTTTGAGCAAAACAGCGCGCCCAATAAGCCTATTCATACAATATTAAAAAAGCCCCTCAAAAACAGTCTAAACAATTTCAAAAGTGCCTCCAATTTCTGTATCTATTAGTAAAAGTAACAATTTTAACCAAAAGAGGCGTCTGAGGGCTTCTAAAGGGATCCAAAAATGTTTTCTTTGTGCAGGAACGCGCTTTGGCGGCCTAGGCACCCTATGAAATGGCCTAAAGCAATTTCCAACGGGCCTCCAATTTTCGTCTTTACTCATAAAAGGCACAATTTTTACAAGAACCATCAATTAAGCGCTTCTAAAAGACTCAAAAGTGTTTCCTTTGAGGAAATAGAGGCTTTCGAGTCCTCGAGAGCTTTCCAAAAATGGTCCAACAGTTTTCGAAAGCGTTTTATGCCTTTCACCGCACCAAAGCTTTAGGGCCTTTAAATTGCTTTGAATAGGCACTAGAACTCCATTTAAAAATCCTGAAGGGTACTCAAATGCGGTCCTTATAACCAACAGGTGTTTCCTAAAGCCTTTTTAACTCATTGCTAGAGCTTTCGGAGGTTTTTCTAGAGCTACACGTAGGCGTTTTCCAGAGCGTTGCAAAACTTCCAGAAACACATAGGAAGGTTTTGAAACGATAGAACAGGGTAGATTTTAATCATGGAATAATTTGTGTGTGCATTTCCGGTAGTTAGGGGCACAATGAAAAAAGAAATGCGCAACATCACTTTTTTCCGAAAGTAGTTCCAAAAAACAGTAGTAGTTCTGATGTGTGTGTACACCTTTGAACTAAAAGCGTCGATCAAACGAACTAATGTTGTTCTGTGGCTCTGATGGAATCCATTTAAATAGATTTTTGAGAATAGTAAACAAAATGATATAATACAACATTTAAAAATACTCAAAACGATGGCCTTAAACAGTTTTCTGGACTTTTTCCAAAAAGGCAAGGTTCGTATGCGAAACCGTCGAGTTCTAAGAGAGCGCAACCACCTCCCCCTTTGCAGACCTTCCGTCCGAAAAAGAAGTTCGTGCACGGAACCATCAGATACAGCCTACACAAGCAGGCCTGCGCCAGCTTAAATTCGGGTATAAATTTACGGGTAGCCGTCAGGCTGCCGCCTGGCGAAGATCTGAACGACTGGGTGGCGGTGCACGTAGTCGATTTTTTTAACCGCATCAATCTCATCTACGGCACGATCTCGGAGTGCTGCACGCAGCAGTCGTGCCCGACGATGTCGGGGGGCGCGCGTTTCGAGTACCTGTGGGCGGACGGAGACAAGTAACCGGGTTCTTGTTAGGCGAATCGTAACCGCTCGCTTTCAGATTTAAAAAGCCGACCCAGCTGCCCGCACGGGAGTACGTCAGTAACCTCATGGACTGGATCGAGACGCAGATCAATAACCAAACGCTATTCCCGTGCACGTCCGATCTGCCCTTTCCGAAGAACTTCATTAGCCACTGCAGCAAAATTCTGGCGAGATTGCATCGCGTCTTCGTTCACGTTTACATTCACCACTTCCAGAATATAGTCACAATCGCCGCTGTAAGTGCGTAATTAAACTTATACCGTAATTAGCCGCTGTCGTTTTAGGAGGCCCACGTGAACACGTGCTATAAGCACTTCTATTATTTCGTAACCGAATTCGAACTAGTCAGTCAGAAGGAATTGGAGCCGCTGGCGGAAATGGCGGCCAAAATTTGTAACTCAGCGTAAGGATCTTATTTTAATTACTACGATATACATTTGTAGACAATTAACCCACTTATAAATAAACAAAAAGCCTACTAGATAATCACACGATGATTCTTTTTTGTTTTTTGCGTTTTCACTTGTTTCAGTCCGTGACAGCCCTTGTTTTGTAATGCTTTAAGAGTGTGTTTAAGAGACTCATCTTGAACGAGCCATTTTCCTAGCTGTAAAGGTCTCTAAAGAGTCTTAAACCCATTTCAAAAAAGAGGTTTTCTAGAATCTTCAAAAAACTTCAAAAGTAGTATTTCAAAATCTTTGAGAGCTTTTATTTGGGTTTGAGGTATCTTCAACGGTCTCTAAGGGCATTTCAAAACTTTTAAAATTCCGCAATGGGCCCTACAGCTTTTAGGTCGTTTCCGAAATTCTGGCGAGAACTTAAAAAGGCGTAGAGGGTTCTCGAAAGTAATTCTTAGAGCCGCTTCTAGGGCTTTTCTGGAATATCTTTCACTTTTCTTAAGGGTGTGAGATCATTTTCAAAACTTTATAAGCGCTATACAGTGCTCTAGAGCTCTATTTCAAAGGACTCTCCTTCCCAGTGCAGTTTAATTTTTGTCAGAGCTTTTCTTAGGTCGTTACCGGAGCATCTTAAACGAGACTAACACTGGGTGGGTCAAAGCAAAGGTTTTCGAAGGCCAATTATAGGTTTTCGTCTTTCTATGCCTTTTCCAAAGCTATCCCGGGTCGTGATTGTCGCGAATTTCCACTTTGTGTTAAGTTTCTAGGTAGCACCCTGTATACTACACATAGTAGTTCGATTGTACCAGTACGTGCAACTTCACTGCTAAATATGTCAAAAATGGCAACGCCGCGTTTAACTTAGAAAATGGCGATTTTTTTTTGAGGAAATGAAAAATTAAACTGTCTGGCTTCGAGGATACAAAATTAATGAAGTAAAGCTCTCTAATTATGGTTCAGCGTACGTACTTCGCAAACCTGCCCGAACCTCCAACCGTAGCAGCAAATACCCCCCAATTTTCAAACGAAAGGAGATGAGTTTCGGTGAACTACAACAAACACTTTAAACTACTATGGACACTAAGATATGCAGGATTTGCGGGAAGCTCAGTGAGAATTACGTGCACATTTTCAAAACGGAAGGCTTAAAGAACAAGATCGAGACATGCCTCCCCATAATCGTAAGTATCGGCCATGTCGGTCTTGTTCTGAACGAAATTCCTCGTAGGTGTCCCCCCACTGCCTCCTGCCCGACACGATCTGCTCGCAATGTCTGGAAAACGTCGACAATTTCTACAGCTTCATTAAAAATTGCCTGCAAAACATCATCGTGCTCGAGGCGCAGTACGACATAATGGAGTCGTGCCTGAAGACGAAACGAAAGCACGAGAAGAGCTGCTTTACCGAGTGCATCACGATGAGGTACGACAAGAACGTGCAGACCGACGAGGACTTCACCGATCTACTCCTAAACCGCGAGGACAACTTCAATCAGCAGAACGCCCTACACTTTAACTTTCTCGAAATGGAGAAGCTCAGCGCGGCCCTTCTCAACGCCGAGAACATCCTCAACGGTCGCGACTCCCTGATCTCGGCGACGAACAAGAACATCAACCTCTCCTATGCGCTCGTCAGTTACGACATCGACTCCGACCTCGAATCAGAGCCCGACGAGATGAACGCGGGGCAGGTCGTCCTGATGCCGAAGAAGAAGAAGGCGGCGGACGATCGCAAGGACCACCTGATCAATGAGATCACGCAGCGCAAGCATCTGAAGAGGAAGTGCGATGATTTGCCGCTGTCGAACCGTTCGAAGCTGCTGAAAATCGACGGGAGCAGGCGAAAGAACAGGCAGCCGAAGAAGTTGGAGGCGAAGAATTGCGATTATACGGAGGAGGACAAGCTGGCCGTTATGCAGCAGGTGAGGGTTTTGTGTCTCAGAGCGATAGTTTGGTGGGATCGGATTTTTAACCTCTCAAGGCTCTTTAAAAGCCTTCAAGTATCCTTCCTTTTTTTAACTTTAAAACGTCCCTGAAGGTTTTCGAATCTCAAGGTCTTCATATTTCAAGGCTACTGTGATCTTTAGTGCTTAAAGGCTTGTCAAGAATTTTTGAAACGTTTCAAGGCTTATCCGTATGCTAGACGAGTGTCATTTTTGCAGGTGGAGAAGGAGATAAACAGCGCGTTTCCGCAATTGTGCCTCCTGTGCGATCTTCAGTTTTCGGGGGCGTCGACGCTCGCCGCTCACATCTACGAGATGCACGGTATCGATATGGCCCAGGTCGTCTCGTCCGAGCCCGTCTTGGAGAGGAAGAAAAAGCTGCCGAACTTGGTCAAGATTACGGACTTGAAGAAACCCGAGCAAGGTAACTAGCGGGGCGATTTATTCTTAGACGGGCGGGTTTTCAGTCATATACTACTATGCTATATACACCTTACAGTACGGTCGCGGGTATAGCAAAAAGTGGAACGTCTTAACACGGCTACATAGTGCTAAAGGTATCAATGCAATTACCCCATTTTCGAAAATGTGATGTAATGAATAAATAACGCGAGGCAAATATTTATTCGAGCGAGGCGAGGCGGCGCAGCCGCCGTAGCCGAGCGTATGTCTTATGAAAATCAACCTTGTGCCCTTAAAAAATTCGCAAGTGGCACTAGGTAAGCTCCCTTCTTTTTGCAGAGATTTATTATAGAAAAAAAAAAACGCTCGCCCGGAGGTTCGAACTCGCGTCATCATAATCGAAAGGCGGCGGTCTTGCAATTGCGCTACCCACTGTGGTATTAAATATCGCTTGTAGAGCAAGAATAAATAATCAACAAAAATTTTAAGTCGATTGTACTTACTCCGAAGCTATTAAGTGTATATAAGTCAATTTGAAAGACACATGAACGATTTTAATGCCACAATAGGGCAGCTCGGCTTCGTTTTCGGTTCCCTCGCTATAGGACAGCTCGCTTTTGTCATTGTAATGCCTCACTATGGGACAATCCTACTGTTTACTATCTATAGGACTGCTCACAGCGGAATGAATTCTAGCGCAAGCGCGCTACGTTATGAAACTTTGTTGCTAGGGGGAAACAACTTTGAATTTTTGGTGTACACACATTTGAATTAACGTGAATTAATTTGAATTAACGCGAATTCATTTGAATTAACGTGAATTAATTTGAATGAACGTGAATTAATTTGAATTTGAATTTTTGGTGTACCAAAAATGGTACTTATTTCCCCCAGGGGGAAACAACTTTGAATTTTTGGTGTACACCCATTTGAATTAACGTGAATTAATTTAAATTAACGCGAATTCATTTGAATTAATTTGAATTAACGTGCATTCATTTGAAATAACGTGAATTAATTTGAATTAACGCGAATTCATTTGAATTAACATGAATTAATTTGAATTAACGTGCATTCATTTGAAATAACGTGAATTAATTTGAATTTGAATTTTTGGTGTACCAAAAATGGTACTTATTTCCCCCCAGGGGGAAACAACTTTGAATTTTTGGTGTACACGCATTTGAATTAACGTGAATTAATTTGAATTAACGTGAATTAATTTGAATTAACGCGAATTCATTTGAATTAACGTGAATTAATTTGAATTAACGTGAATTAATTTGAATTAACGTGCATTCATTTGAAATAACCGGAATTAGGTAACGGGAATAAATGTGAATTAATATGAATTGACGTGAATTAATATCCTCCTCCCTCACAATGACCGAGGGCGAGGGAGTTTTCCAAAGCGGTCAGGCTTGCACGAATTCCGGAGCGCGGAGCATTCAACGCGGCGGGCCTAGGCACGGAGCGTTTCCATGGGGGTACAGAGCACTATCAGAAGGCCCTCGTGCGTCCTTAAATTCGCCTGAAGCGCGACGTAACTAACCGATGCGGATTGGTCACTTACCCAAGTCAGCTTTACGTTTGACAGTTTTATTGGGTTTAGGTAAATTATTGCCTAATTTACCTTAAACCGTTATCGTAAAAATCTGGGACCAGTTTCAAAATTCACGCTACTTAAGCGCGCTTCCAACAACACCAAACACGACTCATTTTGATAACGGTTGCTGCAACACAATTAATTCACGTTTCGTTGCATAGCCTTACTGTAAGGTGTGTATACAATTGATGTAGTTGCTATGGTTTCAAATGATTTCCATTGATTTTCGAACACGGCAATTAAAAAAGTAAATATCTGCAATGATTTTGCTGAAATCATTTGATTTCCGTATACTAAAATGCTTTCACCGGGTATTTGCAGATGTGGGTAAGGAGGAAACCTTGTCCACGACCTTGTGCCCGGTATGTCTAACGGTCGTGACAAATCGTACGGAGTTGTTCGTTCACTTGAGATCGAATCATCAAAAATACGCGGCGCTCATGTGCGGCCTGTGCCTGCACATCGCCACGACGTTCGGCGATCTCGCGAGTCACCTGGAGACCTGCAGGTCGCAACACGAGCTCGCGTCGAAATACATCTGCAAAATTTGCTCATATCACGACGACAACTCGCAGACCGTCGAAAATCACGTTCCTGTCCACGATTTCGTTTTAGAATTTTGCAAAAGACAGTTGAAGATGTTCGACCCCTGCGATTACGTCGAGATCAACAAGAAAGTCGATCACGTGAAGACGCTGACGTGCACGGATTGCGATCAAGGCGGCTTCGTTACGTTTAAAGAGTTCAGTATGCACCGTCGCGTTCAACATCAGATCTTTCACTGCGACTTGTGCACCAAGTTCTACGGGCGCAACTCTCACCTGTGGAAGCACGTGAATCGAGTGCACAAGGGACACCCGAGCATCACCTGCCAACTCTGTCACAAGACCAGCGCGTCTAAGTACCACCTCGCGCAGCACTTCAACAAAATCCACACCGTCAAGGCGGCGAAGCAGAGGAGCGACGTCGACGGTTTCGTCGATTTTCGTCCCAAGCAGGAAGTGCCCCGAGTCGACGAGATTCTAGATTCGGTCAGTGACGACGATTGCGACGCGGAGAAAATGAAAACCGAAATCAAATGCGAGATGCTCGATTGTTCCGATTTTGAGCTGTACGTCAATGAGATCGACGACGTGCCGGAGAAGAAGAAGGCCGAGGCCTCCGCGCCTCTCCCGAAAGAAATCGACTCGACCAGCGATCTCTACACGAACATCATCACCAATTACACGCCCCCTCAGAACGAGGGCGAATACAAGTGCCCGAAGTGTTTCAAGGGCTTTCACAAGAAGACGCTGCTGAAGAAGCACAAGAAGAACTGCAGACCTCGACTGCAGAAGGACCTGCTGACGCGGTGCAAGACCTGCTGTCGAATTTTCAAGGACAGGCAGAGCTTGACGAAGCACCTGATCAACTATCACTCGGAGTACACGTGCGAGATTTGCGGCCAGAAGGTGCAGAGTAAGTGCGAGATCGTCTCGCACATCCGCTTCTCGCATCCCAATTGTCACCTCTTCTGTTATTGCGGCAACATTTTGCGCAGCAAGACGGACCTGGCCGAGCACAAGAGCGACCATCGCAACTCGTTCGTGTGCCAGTTCTGCGCTGACCTGCTGCCTACGAAGATTAAGCTGAAAATGCACATTTTGAGTTTGCACCGCAAGATACTCAGCTTGAGCTGCGGCATTTGCTTGAAGCTCTTCGAGACGCAGCACATCCTCCGCGACCACGTCCGCCTGGTGCACAAGGACGAGTTGTCGCCGTTGACCTCGTGTACGGTTTGCGGCAAAAATTACGGCTCGAAATGGAAAACCTACGATCATCTGAATAAGTCGCACGGTCGCATATTTAAGGCGTGCAAGTCGTGCCTTGAGGTTTTCGATGACGAACAGCAGTTACAGAAGCATTTCGAAACGATCCACGTGAACGCTCCGACTAAAACCGTCGTGCAGGCTTCGGCAAACTCCGCGCAAGTTTACGACAGCGACATCGATCACGGCCAGGAGGAGAACTACGACAAACAGTCGACGAGCGACGGGTCTAACGACGCAAAGACCTTCAACACGAGCGAGGAGGACGACATGGTAACCACGAACTTTCCCGAACTCTCCCTGGACAGGCTGTCCCTGTTGGAGAAGCGACTGATGGGTAACAAGAAGTCGCCCGACGAAGAGGCGAGCATTCCCGGCGTCTTCACCTCCGGCAACCTTCAAATTAAGAAGAAATCTGACGCGAAGCCCAAGAAATTAAAGCCGCACTCCGCCAAAAGCGAAACCGACCAAAATCCCCTCCAAAATAGCTCCAAGCGAATGGTCTACGTCAACAGCAACGACCCCTCCCTGTGCGAGATATGCCTGAAAATGTGGCCGGCGAAGAAACACCTGTGGCAGCACTACATCCGATGCCACAAGACCGTCGCGGCGACCGTGTGTGGCATCTGCCTTAAAACGAACGAGGACTACAAGTCGCTTCAGGCGCACCTCCTCGAAAACCACCCGACCCTCCTCCACGGGCAGGGCTTCGGATCGAACTTCATCTGTCGAATATGCGGCCGCTATCACAACGCGAGCTCGAAACTAAAGCTCCACATGGCCATCCACGAGAGCTTCGACTGGACGATTCTCGACGACGACTCGCGAAAGGAAAAGCCGAACAACGGCTACCCGGAGAACGGCTTCGCGATGGTCAAGAGCGAGAGCATCAACTTCGAGAGCCTGATCGAGCAGGTCGAGTGCTCGTCCGATTCGGAGGCGAACTCGACGTCGGACGATTCGGACGGCGACGAGTCGACGATCCTGCACGACATGCTTCGCGTCAAGGAGGAGTACTCGTCGTCGGAGAGCGAGTCGAACGACAGCAGCTCGGACACGGACAGCGATCTGATCAAGACGACCGACGACAGCTCGCAGTTCTCGCGCTCGTCGAAGAGTCCGCCGGCGGCGAGTAACGGCACGCTCGGACTGGCGCGAAGATCGGACGAGCTCGACTCGGCGATACGATCGATCAGTTACGAGCCGGTCGACGAGGTCCGCGAGCCGCTCGCCGACGATATCTGCGACGTACACCCCCAAATTCTAAATCAGCACGAGATTCAATCGGCCGTTGATAGTATCTTATAAGTATATTCGTTTTGTATCTTGAAGTATTAAGTGGTGTGCCATATGCAAGTTGACGTTTATTGTGATGTTCCTCCTTTTTTACCATTTGATATTAAAAGTGTATCTCTATTTTTTGTAGTCGTGTAGATAATCGCACAGACACACTGTCATTCCGTTGCAAAATAATCTCAGTATTTTTTACAATAGCAACAGTTGATTTGTGATTTTTTACGTATCTCTTTAGGTAAGATTAGCGTACGAGACTTTTTGAAGACTGTTATTTTGTATGGATCCTATTTACGCTTTCTAGCTAGATTTAAGTAGAATTATCTTTCGGTTCAGTTCGCCTTAAGGCTTTTCTCGTAGTTTACTTTTGTACTGTTGTAATCATTCCGCAAATTATCTTGTAATAATAGTTTGTATATACAATACAAATAAATTTATTTTATAAAAAAAAAACCGACGATAAATGATAGCTCACAAGACCTGAAAAGGAATTGGTAAGTCTACGTTTGAGCAGCTTTATCTTTTTAAAATAAATTATGTTTCAGATGGTCAAGAATTACGGAACCTAAGAGATGTTTGACCGCTTGTGAAGCACGTCAGATCTTAGGGTATGACCTTTTATTAATATATCTACATTTTCCAGGTTCGTTAAATGCTGTAAGATCGCCAACGGGAAATTTACCATATTTGCACACAGACAAATTTGTTAAGTATTTAAATAGTTTCCAGATTCGTTAAATTCTGTAGGATGGCCAACGGGTAATTTACCATATTTGCACACAGAAAAAATTTTCGAGTATCAACTTTAATTAGTTTCCAGATTTGTTAAATGGTGTAGGATCGCCAACGGGGAATTTACCATATTTGCACACAGACGAGTATCAACTTTGATTTTATCAGGATCACAGCCTATTCGGACACATTAATTTAAACAATTAGATAGAAACACCATTACATATAAACAAGGATCAAACAGGGGCACACGTTTCCCTTTAAGAGGTCTAGCATGCGACGATACGGAGTACGACCTAGTCGATTATGGATAGGTCGAAACAATTTAGGATGCACATATGAGACAACGCCGAGCGCTGAGAAATTAATTGGGTCCACGACACTAATAACGGTGGCCTTTTTCTAGTGAAATATATTCGTATTTTAGACATTCTCAATTACTCAAGGACGTGTTTATTTCTAAAAACCAAGGTAAAAGAACCCTTTATTTTTCTTTTTTATGGGCGTAAGGTATTTTCATCAACACCTGAAATATCTGACATGAAAACTATCTGGGTCGCATTTTGGAATCTAATAAACACACAATTAATGACAATTTATTCCAATATACATGAAAGAATTAAAACAAAATCCCTGTAAGAAAAAATGTCTTACAAAGCATACATACAGTTGACAATTTACAATTTTAAAAATACAGGTTTTCTCAATCCAAATAATGTGGTCGTAAAAAGTTTACAATACTAGGTGCACAAATGCATTTCACTTTGCTTAGTAACAGAATTAGATGACACACAAACTGGCCGTTTTACTACCGTTTTTGTCTTTAATGACTGGCCTATTAGGGGAACATAATAAGTGAGGCGAGGTGTCAATAAATTATACACCTCAAGACACTGTGATCCTGATATTGCTAATTGAATTGAATTAAGACTGACGTTCCTTTTCTTACAATTATAAGATCATATTTTCACGCGCTAGGGGGTACGGAATACCCCCCCCCCCAGACCACCTACCTTTTCCCAAAAAGCGTTCAGCCTTAACGCTTTCATGATACTTTTTTTTATAAAGGACCATCCAATCTTCATTCAGATGGTTTCTTTTTAAGTGCTAAGAGCGCTAAATATTTTGGGGGAAGAATGTACATAGCCGGGGGGTATAAAATACCCCCCACGGAAAAAAATTGTATGTATCCTTTTCCTGCAACTATAAATTTTTGTGTGCTACAGGGAATGGCTGTACCCCCTCACCCTCGGTGCTACCTTCTCCCTCACAACGTTCAGCATAAATAGGGGGGAGGGAATGCCCCCAGGAAAAAAGAGATTCAACCTTCCTTTTCTAACAATATAAAATCATATTTTGTTACACGAGTATAGAGCCGGAGGGTATGAAATACGATTTTCAAAAGTGAAATTTATATCAGGAGAGCATATGCCTACGTTAGTAGGTTTTGGTCAATTAACTATACAGCTCAGTGGGGTTCTGTGATCCTGCAGGAATTCTTAAAAGGGAAATTTGAGAGGGAACAGTAACAAAAGTGAGAAAGTATTTCCCTCATTCCAATTCTGCAATCCTAATGCAGCGACTCTGAATGGCTATGACGTTTTACCTTCATATGCGTCGATTATACTTTTAATTCGGCTCTAATCCCCAAAATTTGAGGCCAATTGGGACTCGAAAGATTAGTAGGTCATTTGAACTACTGGTACCATTTGTGTCAGCTGTTCGATCAGATGACCCGTGACGAACTTGGCAACCTCGCCTTAGAAAAATGTATAGGCTATGTAATGGCGAACTCGATAGATAAATACGATCTTCACAGAGCAGTTTTTGAAAATGATTTGAAAACCCTATCGCGACTGCTACGCAAACACGATGTCGCGGAGAAAGACAGACACGGTAATTGTAAAAACGCCCATAAATTTCTAGCTTAACGTCACCAAAAACACGTACCACTCTCGCTCTTATTTTTGCTTCTCTTTTAACAGGAAATACGGCCCTCCACCTCGCCGTAATGCTCGGGAGAAAAGGTAGAGACGTTCCGGGTGTTTGGACGGGTCGTGTTTAATTGAGCTTATTTGCAGAATGCGTTCAGCTGCTTTTAAAGTACGACGCTCCGGTTAAGGTTAAAAACGGACTAGGCTGGACCGTTCTGGCGGAAGCTGTCAGTTATGGAAATCGCCCGACAAGTACGTCGTCGGTTCACGATGCGACCGATTTAATTCTGTCCGTTTCAGTCTCGTCTCTTGTACGAAAATTTCGGCAGCAGTCCCGCGAGCAAATGGAAAGCAGGCGGCCGAACCTGGTCAAGGCCCTAAACCAAATCGGCGACTTTTACATGGAGCTCAAGTGGGACTTTCAGTCGTGGGGTTCGTGGACCAATCCCCCTCACATAGTTCATTAATTATCGCCATTTTAGTTCCGCTAGTTTCGCGTATTTTACCTTCGGACATATGCAAGATCTACAAGTGCGGGGCGAACATACGACTGGACACGACGTTGGTCGATTTTTCCGACATGAGATGGGAGCGAGGCGATATCTCCTTCATTTTTAACGGGAACGCGTCGCCCAATCAGAGCCTAACCGTTCTCGACAACGTCTTGAAGGTGTACCAGAATGTGAAGTACGAGGAGAGCGAAATCGAAATTGAGGACGAGGTGGACCTGCTGATGTCGACCGACATATTGTCGGCGCAGATTTCGACGAAGAATATTCATTTTATGCGCGCCCAATCGGGCTGGATCTTTCGAGAGGATAAAAAGGTGGGTTTTTCACTTCGATCGTCAATAAAAGTGAAATCGTCTTGCAGGAACTCGTCGCCGGGCAATACGAAAGCGAACTATACTCCGTACACGGCCTCGTTCTCGAAAGTCGAAAACGAAGGGAGCACCTATCGCACGACGACCTACAGAAAAACAAGGCACTACTCGAAAGCTTCACGAAAGGTTCGAATAACCAAACTTTCGACCAGCACGGAGTTGTAAGCTCTCCCCCTTTCGCCTTTTCTCCTAATTTATTGGTAATTTAGCCTGTCAGACGTACGAGCCTGAGTCCGCCGCCCGACAAGAACGTCACGTGGGAGGATTACCTGAGCGCCGAGGTCAACAACTACCCGCGACTGGGACGCGAGCTCGTCTACAAGGAGTCGACGAAATCGTTCAAGGCGACCATCGCGATGGTGAGTCGGGCCGCGCGATTCGGCGATCGTTAACACGTCGTACGTTTGCAGAGCTGCGACTTTCCGCTATCCGTCGAGATGCTGCTCAACGTGCTGGAGGTGATCGCGCCGTTCAAGCACTTTTCGAAGCTCCGCGACTTTATCACCTTCAAATTGCCGAGCGGTTTCCCCGTGAAGGTGGAGATACCGATCTTGCCGACGATTACCGCCAAAGTTACGTTTCAGCAGTTCGAGTTTCGTGACAACATGACCAACGATTTGTTCACGACGCCCGGAGAGTACACGGAAGATCCGACAAGGTAAAAGCAAATATGGGCCAGTCGATTTATGTATCGCAAATGCGCACGTTTCGCCTTATATCATGTAATCGTATTTTAGATTTTTGTGAGCTAGAAGGAATGGCTGGGGGGTATTCCAGACCCCCCGGTGCTCCATTCTCTCTCAAAATGCTCAGCCTCAAGGCTCGTATGATACTATTTCAACAAGGACCATTCAGTCTTCCCTTTGATGGTCAGATTCTAAGTGCTAAATATTTTGGGAGGAGACTGTAGAGCTTGGGGGGGGGGGGGGGTATTAACATTAGATTTTTGTGCGCTAGAAGGAATGGCTGGGGTGTATTCCAGACCCCCGGTGCTCCATTCTCTCTCAAAATGCTCAGCCTCACGGCTCGTATGATACTTTTTCATAAAGGACCATTCAGTCTTCCCTTTGATGGTCAGATTCTAAGTGCTAAATATTTTGGGAGGAGACTGTAGAGCTGGGGGGGGGGGGTATTAACATTAGATTTTTGTGCGCTAGAGGGAATGGTTGGGGGGTATTGTACTATGCATAATTTACTTGATATAATGCGAATAGTGCTAACTTCATCGTAATACCCTGTATACTTCGACAGGCCCAAACTAAGTGACAAGTGTAAAATCTCCTTCGTTTCAGGTTCCCCGACTTATGACGCCCTGAACTGTTAAATACCTTCGAAATAAACTACACGAGCAAACCTCAGTTTATCACCGCATCCGATAAGCTCTCGATGCGAAGCGCTACGTTCGTAAATCGTCTACATAAACGTTCCATGGCTGTCCACGACGGTATTAATCCCACTCTGTTAGTCGAGATCCCGATGTTTTTCACTTTCGGTAGCATTTACTCCACGAGTTGCATAATTTACGTGGAGTGAGACGTGCGAGTTGAGGCGTCCGGCGATAACCACACTGTGATTAGAGGAGATTCGTAAGCACCCTCGCAAATTAGTTTAAAACTCTGTACATAATAGGCGCAAAACTCTAATTATTATTATAAGAAAGTACAAACTCAATTTTATTTTTAATCGCGCGAAACTACTTGGACTCGCCGTTCCCGAAAACCGATCGAGCTCTTGTTGAACTGTGTGTGCCGTCTCATCGGATAACGGAGTAATGGAGTGCACAATCGCACTATGTGTTATTAACCGTTTTAGTTCAACACCACCTACATATCACGAGAGATGGAAGATCGTACTAAGAACTCTATGTCCGCATATGAATGTGATTGATTTGAAAATAAATGATTGTGTTCATTATTTTCGTTATTCTTCCCTTTCTATTTTCGAGCTTGAAGATTATCCCTGATTTGTTACGCCACTGGAGTGGTTGGTTAGCGTTAAGTTCGCCACTTCCAAATTGACATTGAATTTGACATTTATTTATGAAAAAAAAATGTGAAACGTCAAAAGTTTTAATGGATTTAATTATGTTTTAATTTAGTTTTAACTGTTCTAAACCGCAATATGTAAACGTTACTTGCTAGTTTTAGGTCTACACGGTAATTCCGCAACAGTTATAGCCAGTGCCCCCTTGAATTTCACTTTCACTTGCAGATGGATAAGTACACTGTCGATTTGGATAAAGTATTAAACGATTTCGAGTACAGCGAACTCACCGATCAGTATAACGCCCTGTCGAGCAATGAAACCGCGCCGCAAAGGAATCCTGACTTTTACAAGTACAACAACGTACCGCCCAAGCACAATATCACCAAGGTTTTCGAGAGCTTAAACGAGTACCTCAACTCGGAGATCGGGAATAATCCGGAGAGCTCGCTCTCTCAGTCTGTCTGCGAAAATCCCGCGCCTGTTTGTGAGGAGCTCGCACCCGTTTGCGAAAAACCCACTGACATAGTTAGCGTAACCACGGAGGAACCGCCCGAACCTCTCATTATTGTTCCCGGTCCGATTGTAGAGGAAGAAGTTGAGGAGGTGAAGGAATCTCAAGCCATCGAGAACGAACCGGAATTGGCTGTGGAAACGATCGATGTTGTGGAACCGGTGGACGACGTGAAGCCGGCCGTCGGTTTTGACACGGCCATCGATGACTCGAGCTTGTCCGAATACTTGGAAGAATTGGAGATGGAGAACCCGCCGACCGAGGAACCCGTTGAACCCTCGCGACCGTGCAGTTTGCCCGTGAATAGTACAGTTCAAATTGACCTTGTCGGTAATTTATTTATTATAGTGAAAGGCGGGTTTTTATTGTTTTTCCGGCAGGGGAGCCGGGTTCGACGCCGTACAACAACGTGTACGTGTCCGACACGCTAAACAAACCGGAGAGTGATCCGGAGTCGTCTCCCACGCCTTCGCCGACGTTTTCCGAGGCGTCGACCGAATCAAACGGATCGACGGCGACCACCGAAAGTATCGCCGACGGTCCCCCTCCCGATAATACTCAGGTAGCCGAAGTTGTCGATGTCCCAAACCGCACGGACGAAGACGGTGCGGAAGCTGACGATAATTTACCTACGATGTCGAGTGAGTAGGTCTCGATCGTGGCCGGTTTTAAACTGGCGGTTCTTTAGGTACCACCCTCGGAAAGCAGGCTCCGGTTTGGATACCGGATTCGGACGCGTTGAGCTGTTTGCATTGTGATACTAGGTTTACCGTGATTAAGCGACGGCACCATTGCAGAGCGTGTGGATTGGTAAGAAATGTCGGGTCGCGGGTTGATCCGAACAGTCTTTTCTCAGGTTCTGTGCGCCAAATGCTCGAGTAAGAGGTACAAATTGGAGTATCTAAGCGAAGAGGCGCGCGTCTGCGTCAAATGTTACGACCTTTTAAATAAGGACACCAATAGCAGCTCGGGCAGCGAGGGTCTTTCGTCGACGAACTCGCCGAATCACCCAAGCGTAACGCCAAATCCGAATAATCCCATGGAGTACTGCTCGGTGGTGCCGCCGCTTCAGCAGGTTAACGCCTCTAGTCAGAATCCCCCCACCGTTATGGTGCCGGTCGGGGTTCTGAAACGGAAAGGTTCGTGTCCGAAGCTACTAGTTAACTACTTCCAGGGTTACATCATGTATCTTTAGGTGCTACGAAGCTGAGAACAAACAAGAGTGTGATATTTTGCGACGGCATCCGACCCGGCAGCGAACTGACGAACCTGGACAACGACTTCAACTACAATTGCAAGCTGGTGAAGTTCCCGCACGAGAACAAGAACAATTTCGTGGACGGCGTCACGAAGAGCTTCATTCCGCACAAGGAAGACGACCTACCTCCGATCGTTAACATCTACAAATCAGGTTAGCTCCGCCCCTTTACCATTTCCATTTCACATTGCCGTTCCGTAGACGTCTCCTACATTCCATTCGACTCGGCCGTACACACCGTCGAGTCGCTGAAAAAGGACAAGCTCACCATGGCCATTCACACCAACTTGTATGTTCACGTTAAGATCGTCAATAGTAAGTAGAGATCGGGTCGGGGCGAGTTAAAGGGCGTAAGTTTTACAGTGGACTGCTGTATTAATAAGTGGGCGTGGTGTTTCTCGACGGAGGGCATGATCAATGTCGGACAGGACGAGATACTCATCTTATTGGAGTACGTCGATAACGAGAAGTGCATTCCGAAGGACGTATTGTTTCATCTCGATAGCATTTACAATAATGCCAAAACGGGTGAGTGCCGTTTTTACCTCATCTTGTAAAGGGCAATTCAGAGTTCTGTAATGGTAAGAGGTATCACGTTCAGAGTTTTTCCGTAAGATGGCGTGGTGTAAGTGTAGTGGGAGGTTATAAATGGAGCGATTTAAACAATAAAGAAAATTTACGGTACCTCTTAACTAATTTTTCCTAATCATCGTGTGCCCCCTCGTAAAATGACTATTTATGGTCCCATGACTCATTGAAAGGTCACCATGCTATAAACTTTAATTACCCTGGAATCACTTGGTAATTTTAATTGGAAACTTAACACGAATCTGAATTTACGTATATTTCTTTTGGACTTCCTGTATACAAAATTATTATTATTATTATAATCAAAAACCTCTTTACCCTGAGGTGTGAGGTGAGGTATACAAAATTTAACGTTCATACCTACAAAAATTCAAAAAAATTAAATCGGGGGTTTCTGATTTCCAGTTAGGTTTCTAATTTCTGGGAATCGCCGAATCAGGGTGAGGCCTTTGGGGGGTGGGAGGGAGTTACGGAATACCCCTGAAACAAACATTCAACATTCCATTTACCGGGTGGTAAGGAAAACAAATGCAAATAATTGCCGTTAAAATATACAGAGTGTTGCATTTAAAAAATACGAACATTGGTTCAGACCGTAAAAAAAGGTGGTCCAAAAAATTTATTTGACTACGCCACTGTATTCTACGTAAAAATAAGAGACAGTTGTTACTTTTTTCTGTCTTACATGGGTATGAAGATATGATAACATCCCCAAAAGTCTAACTTTTTGTTTTCACCCTGTATCTCGGAAACATACGCAGCTAGGTTGATTCTGTTTGTGGCATTAAAAGTCTCACAAACAAACGACAAAGGTTCACGAAATTCAAGAGATTGAAATTGATATACAGATAAATAGACATCAAAACGACATTGACATACAGTGTGTCAATTTAAAAAAGTACCACCCCAAATATATGAGCCGCAATAAAGATCCACGGAAGAACAAAAACACGTCAACTCTATTTTGAAGAGGGGCATTTTATAGGATGGTCATACATGAAATTGGATCAACTCTCTAATGGTGGTAGAAGCAACCTCTAAAATTTAAATTGGGAAGAAGGGTTGAGCGACCACTCCTTTTAAAGGTGATTCAATTGTCTTTTCAAATAATATTACACACTTGTTGTTTTTTCAGTACTTTAAGAAAAATCGGCCAAAATGTGATAAGAATCTCACCCTCACTTTATCGAATGTACCGGGTGGCCCAATAAGACTCGGCCATATCTCGGGAACCATTCGTCTTATGACTTAGAAAAAAAAATTGGGTAAATCGGTTATGAAGAATCGCTGGAAAATATTTTCAAGTTCTAAAAATGACCACTAGAGGGCGTAACTGCCATCTTAAATTTTAAAATTGCATTTTCCTTAAATTTCGCATAATAAACTACACATTCTTTTTTCACATTTTTAAAGACAACCAGCTTGTCTATCATTTTTGTAAAAACAAAAACTCACATTTCAAAAGCAAAGATGGCGTGGGGCGTTCAATTGTTTTTGCAATAACCTGCTTTAACTTCTTAACGGTTTGACCGATTTTAACAAATTTGGTACGGTTGAAAAGGGCATTTCTGGGGCAATGAGAATCAACCAAAATAGAGTTAATTTAGTTGAATCCTTCTCCGCCAGGGGGCTAGTTTTGACGCTATGATCCAAAATCCTAAACAAATTAGAAAAATCAAATGGAATGATATGACTTTTTCTTTATGAAAAAGTAGCCAAATAACGCCCAAAGAGGCCAGTAAAAACCATTTTTCAAAATATCGGTCCTAACCTCAAATATTGGGAAAATGATATTAATTAAATAATTAATAAAGATGCTTAAATTATGCTTATTTGACGTATTTCCGGTATTATCGATGGCGCGAAAGATTGTTTGGAAAAAGACCCTACTCTTTTAGGTAGGCCTTGAAAAATTAAACAAATGAAACATGATGCATTATAAAATAATAACAACCGTAATTTGTAAATTATTCTGCCGTGTTTACATTCAAAAAGTGCAGTTTTTTGAATTTGTAATCTTTTCTAAAATGCCGATTTCTAACCAAGAAGCATGTAATAACAATTCCAAACAATTTCGCGCCATCGACAAATACCGGAAATACGTAAAAAGTAAATTTAAGATACAATTTAAGCATTTTCATTAATTAATCTCAATTTCCCAATATTTGAGGTTAGGAACGAGATTTTGAAAAACGGTTTTCAATGGTCTTTTTAGATGTTATTTGGCTACTTTTTCATAAGCAAAAAATCATCATTCCATTTGATTTTTTTTATTTTTTTAGGATTTTGGGTCATAGTATCAAAACTAGCCCCCTGGCGGAGAAAGGATTCAACTAAATAACTATATTTTAGTTGATTCTCATTGCCCAAGGAATGCTCTTTTCAACCATACCAAATTTGTTAAAATCGGTCAAACGGTTAAGAAGTTAAAGCAGGTTATTGCAAAAACAATTGAACGCTCCACGCCATCTTTGTTTTTGAAATAACTAAGATTTGTTTTTACGAAAATGATAGATAAACTGGTTCTCTTTAAGAATGTGTAGTTTATTATGCGAAATTTGAAGAAAACGCAATTTTAAAATTTAAGTTGGCAGTTACGCCATCTGATGGTCATTTTTAGGACTTGAAAGTATTTTCCAGCGATTCTTCATAACCGATTTACCCAATAATTTTTGTTTAGCCCTAAGTCATACGACGAACGGTTCCCGAGATATGACCGAGGACCGGTCTTATTGGGTCACCCGGTACATTGTAGATCAGAAATAAAAAATGAAGCTGGGATGATGCCCCTATAGTACATAAGCTGTGCCCCCGGATCTAGAAGTTTTTAGCACGGGGGCAAATTTGGTATTTTGCCGCCCTTCTTCCCAAATTACCAAATTAAAATTACACGAATCATGCCAACCTTTGCCGCCCCTATTGAGTGCCGTCCGGGGCACTTGCCCCCCCCCCTCCCCCTTTATCCGGGCACTAGCCCAGGTATATACTTACTGCAATGTCATAACCAATCAGTGTTCAGGACATATTATGCCTGGTAATTTGCGTTCTTTGCAAAGTAACATCTGTTTTACGGCCTTCTTTTTTTACGTCTAATTATAGAATGTGGCCTGCAGAATCGCATAATTACAACCAGTTCCAAGATCGGGCTACTAGATCAAAAGTTACAGCCCTTTGAATTTTTTTTCGAAATTGGTTTTTTTGCCCATAACTTTTGATTGAGACGTCTAATCGAAAAAGTACGACCCGTTTTGGATTCTACGCACCAAAATTAATAAGAAAACGGTTTTTCCCGAGAAATTTTGCTGCAGTCGATTTTTGGTAAAAAAAGGAAGGTTAAACACTGCCTTTTTTTTGGCCCCAAACAAAAATTGTCTCAGATCGACCGTAACATCTGTTTTACGGCCTTCTTTTTTTACGTCTTACGGCACTACGTTACCGCTTATTTCATACGTTACGGATCTCTAAATCGGCCTTTAGAAGAATCTTGAAAACTGCAATCTTTCCCAAAACAGGTTCCAGCATAACGGACTACGGTATCTCGCTGCACGAGACCAACAACTTCTTGGACTCGAAAAATCACGTGGGTTTCCTGTACATAAGACCGACCTTTCAGTGCTTGCAAAACGTAATCGTCCCCAACGAAATGTACCTGATCGGCATTTTGATACACAGGTACGTTCGCGGAAGGCTCGGCCGTTTGCGCGACCTCTCCCTGTTTCAGATGGGAAATGCCGTGGGCGAAGATCTTTCCGCTGCGATTGATCCTGCGACTCGGCGCCGAGTACCGCTACTACCCGTGCCCAATCGTGTCGACGCGTCATCGCGAGAGCGTGTTCGTCGAGATCGGTCATACGATCATAAATCTGCTAGCTGTAGGTGAGAGAGACGTGAAACGCCGTTTAGGTTGAATCGACGTGATTGCAGGACTTCCGCAATTTTTCGTACACGCTGCCCTGCATTCGAGGTCTGACGATTCATATGGAGGACAAGAATACGACCGTCACCATTCCTTTAAACCGATACGATCAGGTACCATAAATAAGAAACCATGTCATAGTGTGCGCGTGCGCAGAAACGGATTCATGAAAAATGCGCAACTGTTTTCAGGTGGTCAAGTCGCTCAATAACTCGAGCGATCACATCCTGGCGTTCGGCGGGAATTTCAGCACGAAGGCCGACTCGCATCTCGTCTGCATTCAGGACACGCAGGGAAACAACGAGAATACGTACACGACGCACGCGATCAACATCCACAATCGTCCGAGGAAGGTGACGGGCGCGAGCTTCATCGTCTTCAACGGGGCGCTGAAGTCGTCGAGCGGCCTCGTCGCCAAGTCCAGTATCGTCGAGGACGGGCTCATGATTCAGATACCGCCCGAGCACATGGTGCAGATCCGCGAGAACCTGCGCACCATGAAGAACCACACGATACAGTGCGGTTGCGTTAACGTCGCCTCGGACGAGACGATTAACATTGTCTGGGGGGAAAACGACACGAATTTTAATTTAGGTGGGCAATTGTTCATTCTCAATAGAGGGCGCTTTTCATTTGTAGAGCTTAAAGTCACTAAATATAGAAAGTACCGCAATTCATTGGGCTCGTGTGTTAGAGAGAGAACGCATGATTTTTGCCCAAAAATGGCGGAAATTACCAGATTCTAGTAACTTTAATGTTAGGGATTGTTCCACCTGTTTAGAGATATCTATATTTATTTTTATAAAACATGACAGTACTATGAAGTTAGGTTATAAAAAATTACAGCTATTCAGATTTTATTTGTCAATTTTTTTAAGTTGGCAGCAAATTTGCCCAAAAATGGCGGATGATTGCGGTACTTTCTATATCTAGTGACTTTAGTAGAGCTTTTGAGAAACTTTTAGGTTATGTTTTTTTCTGAGCGTCTCCTTCCAGAGCCTTCTCTCTCATGAATTTTAATTTAGGTGTGCAATCGTCGATCGACAACCAATCGCTGACCGCCGTGCCCTCGATTCGCGTCCACAACGGCAAGGATTACACCTGCAACAGCGGCAATCGACTAATACGTTGGACGGAGGTCTTCATACTGCAGAGCGGAAACGATAGCGGTCGCGGGACGGACGTCGACTTTTCCAAACTCGCCGAAAGCATAAGCAGAGCCACCTGTCAGGCTCTGGTGAAGTATTTGGACCTATTGTTGAGCAACAATTTCTACAAGATCGGAATTCGTACGAATCTGCACGTGGAAAACGTAACGAGCGGCGCCCGCGTACGTCCCGACGTCTAACGCTATCATTTTTTAGGTGTCGTACAGCGCGGGCAGCAATGGCACGAAATTGCCTCCGATTTACATGAAAAGTTTAGATAACGAGCTAATTCCAGTTTTACACAAAATAACCTCAAATAATCTAGGAGACTCGTCTGTCGTTTTAGAATTGGTATTTCGCATTTTAAATGTATAGTAATAATAATAAAAATAGGTTATGTAACAAATTTTAATTTATATGTTGATTTTATATATGCATAAAACAAATTGATTACATATGTTAATTCGTTACTAACTGTTCGTTTGTTTCTGCGCTCCTTATACAACAAATTTATATTTATGTGCGCCTGATACTCTCTTTGTGAGCATTAAGTATCGGTTGAACATAAAATGTAAGAATCGAAATCCCTTCTCACGTTTGCGATCTTTGAATCTCCTCATTATTAAATAATCAAAATGTGCGCCTGATACTGTTTTTCTGAGCAGTAACTATCAGCTGAACATAGGAGTCTATGAAAGCATTAATGAAAAAATGCATCAAATTTATATTTATGTGCGCCTGATACTGTCTTTGTGACCATTGAGAATTAGGGAAAGATAAAATACAAGTATCTAATTCCTTTCCGACATTAGCAATCTTTTAATATTTCCATTTCTGTGCTCCCGATAAATAGAATCAAAATGTGCTTCTTCAAAGTGCAATCATCTGTGTTTATTTAATAACAGAAAAATGCACCACATTTGGATTTCTGTGCGCCTGATCTTTCTAAGAGTTAAATGTCGGAGGTTAATTTTTCGTTCAACTGTTTTTATTTCTGCGATCCCAATAATTCTACAGTATGAAATGTATACTCCACACCAGGTTTCGTTCGTTTTATGGCGTTGGGATGTGACGACCCCATCGCCCATTGCCTTTGCAGGTGATGCAAACAGTCACGCTGGAGCACAGTGTAAGTGACCTCTTTTCCCTTTTGTACTCCTGTTAAAAGGGAAAGGCCGTCAATGAGAGAGCATAGCGCCAATTTAAAGCTATACTCATAGTCACCAAGACTTTGATACCGCATGCTTAAGGGTGGAGGGAAAACAGAAATGATTCTGTGCTCCTAATACTCTTAAAAATGTCAATGTTGGACAACAGAAAACTGTTTCTTATGGTGAAAACTTAAATATATTATCTCTTTTACAAATATAATAGTCAGGGAGTATCAAGAGAACAGAACTGGTGGTAACTTCACAGCTTTCTGTGCTCCTGATACTCAATAATAAGTACAAATAATAATCGTCTTCACAACTATCCTCACCTAAACCTACAGGAGAACATAATTGACAGGAATTTGTTGGGCTCCTGATACGCCACACTAGACAATAGTCCTCTTATTTATGACATACACCCACACCTTGTCGATTCCAATTCCGATAACACGTTCCGGGGTCATATTTGGTAGCGGAAAACGGCAAGCCACCACGTTACAATCCTCTTTGCACTCCGATACAAGCTTCCTCTCAAAGTCGACCATCTATTAATCGCCTTCATTAAAACAAGCACCTCCGCCGTCTTTACCGCAACATACCATCTGTTCGACACCAAAAATAACGATGTTATCGTAGGCGGATAGCCGGAACTTCCACAGGTCTCTGACGTAAAACTTCACGTTGAGCCCGCCGCAGAAAGCGGCGATTCTTGAGTAGGCGACCAGCCACGGGTTTAGCTCCACTCCGTGCACGTCGTAGTTGTTCTTCGCCAGTTCTGTAAGTCGAACGCAGAAGTGCCGACCGAATAGGCGGGAGGGGGGGCTTACTACGAACCGAGCACGATTCTCCCATCGCCCGAGCCGATATCGATAACCGGACCCTTGCGATTTTTAAGCGCGAGCAGAACGTTCCTCACCTGCTGATTCGTCGCGGGAACGAAGGGAAGGCAGTGCTTGCGAAACGCGGGGCTCACGAACGAGGCGGTCACGAGGCAGGTGGCGGCGAGAAGACCGCCTGAAACGAAGGAGGGGTTCGGTAGTCGGGGGTTACGGCTTCGAGCGATTTACCTGTTGCTGTCAGGAGTACGTAGCCAAAAGTCGACTTTTCGGGGTCCTCACTTGCAGTCGAAAAGTTGAAGTCCATATTGCAATTAAAGTGAGGTTAGATTATTCCATAGACAAGGTTATTTTCGTCCTGCACTTTGGTTGCCTCAAAAACAAGGTGGTAACCGCTTCTCTACTTTTTTTTACCTCTAATATGTTGCATGCGGATGAGGTCCACCAAATATTCAAACTGGACGTTCAATTTGAAATGTGCCCTGTGCCATTACAAAATGGAGTTAAATGTGACCTTTGTGATTATCCAATTTAACTTGAGAATGTGCTCGAAACTACACCTCTTAACGCACTACTTCTAGATGTTTTAAATGTGACTTTTGTAATTCTTCAGATGGCAATATAAGTGCCAATTCCTCGGCTACTTGAAATTCTTTAAGGCTCAACCGGGATCTTTCTTTTCTCTTTTTGAAAACAATTATTAGAGATTTTTGTGCGCTAGAGGAACTGCCTGGGGGGTATAATGTGGCCTGTAGAATCCATAATTTCAAACAGTTCCAAGATCGGGCTACTAGATCAAAAGTTACAGCCCCAGACCCCCCGGTCCTACATTCTCCTCCAAAGTGTTCAGTCCTAGTGGTTACCGTGATAGGACCATCGGATTTTCCTTTCCTTATGAGTATTTTCTCACCCCATAGCCTCCTACACTAAATATTTTGGCAGAGAATGTACAACTGGGGGGTATTCCAATACCCCCCAATAAGGAAATATAGAGGAACTGCCTGGGGGGTACCAATAAAAAATTCGATCTGCTCTATTAGATTTATTTCCTCTACGATTAAATAACAATCTCTTCAAATAAATAATTACGTAACTGCTATTAGACCATAAACTCCGTCAAAACAACTCACAGTATGGCATTTAAAAACTGTAATTTACTTCGTACACGATAAAGAAGACCACACACAGCCGATTATGTACAATGATAACGTTTCTTACATGAGAGGAACTTAAAATTAATTAACAGCCTACCTCAATAAAAATAATTTACAACGAAAATCCTATTCTCGACGACGACGACCACGTTACGTTAACATTAATCACGAATTTGATGGGTTCCCCTGACTGCTCTTGGATTCGGCGACGTTAGCGTCGTCGTCCTCGTCCTCCTCCTCTTCCAACAGTTTTCTCGCTAACTTAACTGCGTAATACTCGTTGTAGTGCTTTTTCCTTTTACTTTCGAACTCTTTTTTCTTTATCCGCTCCTCGGGCGTCAGCTCTTCATCGTCGTCCTCGGAATCGTCCGATTCCATCGCCTTCGGCGGTTTCCCGGTGCTCAGACGAATTCTACAAATTAAAACGCTCGCTGTAACGTTAGGGTTTGGAGGGGGGAACTTTACTTCTCCGCCAATTCGGTCGCGTCCAGCACGTCCTCGCTCTCGGCCTCGTCCCGATAGTACGGCGTTTTCGGTTCGTCTATCTTCATGTGACCGTAGTCCTTGTCGGCCGGATGCAGCGTAGCGATTATGTTCATCTCGTCCCATTTCGTCTCCTTACTTTTTCTGCGAGCAAGAAAACTGTACTCAATTATATTTTACCCGTTCGAGCGAGCGAAAGGGAAAACAAAACAAATCAGTTTGGGCCTAGCAAAGGTTGACCTTCATACTTAGCGTTTCGCGAGTCCTGCTTGTCGAAGCTACTGGAATTTTTCAGTATCCCCTTCGAAGGTCGCTTTTGCAAATTGTCCGCCATCGTCTTTATTTTCAATTTTGGGAAATTTTGGGATATGGAGTGGAAGCAAATTCTTGGCTGGCAAACCTTACATGTCAAAATGACAGGAGCGCCAAGATGGCGTCTTTATCGCCATACTGTTGTGGCTAAACGTACGTCGCCACACTTTTATAAAGTTTACTTATTTGTACTTCTACTTATTCTTTTAACGTTTCTCTTAATTTTTCTCAAGTTTTTATCACAAACTAAACTATTTAAAATGGGTCTTGAAGACCTTTGCAGCCTTGGCAACTTTTTAAAAACACTCTGTGGGGTCAAGAAATGATACAATTCGCACTGAAATAAGAAAGTAGTTCTAAGTTTCTGTAGTAGTTCATATGTTATAATTTTAGTTCATCTTCATTTTTACCTAACCTAAAAATTTGAAAAAATCCGTTACGCTACCAGTTCGAATTATGGGAATAAAACATTTATGGTCGATCTTAACTCCCTTTGTGGAAAGGAGGCCTCTATACGAACTCGAAGGCAAAAGTGTAGCAATAGATCTGTCGGGTTGGGTCTGCGAGGCACAGAACGTGACCGATTACTACACCCAACCGAAAATGTACCTTCGGTAAGCGATAACCACCGATTCGCCCTTCCGATTGTGACATTTTAGGAACTTGTACTTCCGCACCTGCTTCCTTCTACTGATGCAGGTGTCGCCGATCTTCGTGCTCGAAGGCAAACCTCCCGAGCTCAAGCACGATACGATCGCCGCAAGGAACGCGACACAGTTCAAGGGGGCGAAGCCTCGTTCGGACGGCGCCAAGAATAAGTCGAAGGATCGAGCTCGGTTTAGGGGCGTGCTGAATTGCTGCGAGGAGATGCTGCGTTACATGGGCGTTGCGTGCGTGAAAGGAAAGGGGGAGGCGGAATCTTTGTGCGCGTATCTTAACATGAACGGGGTACCCTTTTGCTACGCCTCGAGTGCTTTTAAACGTCCCTTTTGTAGCTCGTCGACGGCTGCGTGACTCAAGATTCCGACTGTTTTGCGTACGGTGCCAAAATCGTATACCGAAACTTCTCAATTTCGCAACAAGGCGCCAACTCGGGCGCCGGGGCCATCGACGTTTACGATATAACGAAGATATACGAGAGCATCAAGATTGGACGTAACAAAATGGTCGCAATGGCCTTGCTGTGCGGTAGCGACTATAGCTGCGGGGTGTTCGGTATCGGCAAGGAGGCGGTGGTGAAGTTCTTTGAACACGTCGCCGACGACGAAGTTCTCGAACGTTTACGAAGTTGGCGAACAGACGGGGAGTTTTACAGGAAGTTAAATCAGGAGGTGACGAATAAGAATGTTTGTAGTGTGTGCGGGCACCAAGGGAAGAAGCAGTCGCACGTCAAATACGGTATAAAGTTCAGGTTTGGTGACAGGATGGGAGAGGGTTTAGGTACTAGGCTCTAGGATGTCGGGGAATAATGTGGGAAAGAGTCAATACCCCCCCCCCCTCCTCAAAGTACCACTTCCCTAAGCTCCTGTTGCCAGGCCTTGATAAAGCAAGTGTTTGAGTTACGCATTTTTAGGTTGTGGCAGCTGCGGGACGCGCGATGGTTGCGATCCGTCCACGTACGAAAAGAGACGACTGGAGAATAAGAACGAGATATCGATACGCGAGAAGGCTTTAAAAGACGAAGATTTTCCGAACGAGGAGCTGATAAGCGAATTTTTACATTCAAAGGAGGAGGTCAAGGCGGTCGCTTTGGAATGGCGGCGGCCCAACATTGCCGAATTTATCGTAAGTAGTGTTGGTTGTTTTACGTGAGATGGTGACTCCGTCAGTCTTCAAAATGTTTTACACGACAGATTGATTCCTAGTTACCATGGTAACTTTGATGGTTTTCGGTGGAATATGGCAGGCGCTTTTCATTTTTTTTTTTACGCCTACCTAGGGCTTTTCCTAATCTTACAAAGCTCTAGAAGGCTTTGGAAAGCGCTTAAGTAATCTTAGAAAGCCTTAAGATAGTTTTCCATAAAGGACCATCAGATTTTTAAGATTTTCGTGCGCTAGAGCGAATGGCTGGGGGGTATTCTATACCCCCCAGACCCCCCGGTCAGGCATTCTCCCTCAAAGTGTTCAGCCCTGACGGTTTTTCATAAGGGGCCATCCGATCTTCCTTTCTTAATGAGGATTTTCTCACTCCATAGCCTCCTACACTAAATATTTTGGGGGAGAATGTACAACCGGGGGGTCTGGGGGGTACGGAGTACCCCCCAGGAGCTATAAACATTTGATGGCCCTTTTGCTATAAGATTTTTGTGCGCTAGAGCGAATGGTTGGGGGTATTCCATATCCCCCAGCCCTGTCGGTTACAGGGATAGCTTTCCATAAAGGACCATCATACCTTCCTTTTCTAATGATATTTTCTACCCCTCAGTGTTGCAATGATATTAAATTAATTTGACTTAGAGCTAATTGATAGATCTATCCGTCAGTTAAATTTAATTGACACATTCTATCTGTCAATCAACCCTAAAAGAAAAAGCAACTCAACTAATATTGTGTAGGCTTTTGCAGTGAAACATCTGCAATGGGAGCACGTCTACGCGTTTGAAAAGTTTCTACCAATACTCACTAGATGGCACCTCTCCAACTCAGTTGTCGGCGCCCTGCTTCGTCCCAAACGCATCAAAAAAGCTCGGCACTTAAAAGGTGTCGCTGGATTCGAAATAATCTGGGAGTACTCCGCTCCCGATCAGGACTTATTTCCTTCACACGCACTCGACGAGATCGATTCGGAGAAACTATGGTCGACGGTCGAACCGCAACACCTCGTCCGCTCGGCCTACCCCGATTTGGTGGACGAGTTCGAGCGGGCGACCGCCAAACCAAAGAGGCCCGCGAAGAAGAAGGCCACCGTCGCCGCGCCGAAGCGTAAACCTCGAAGGATCGAGTCGTACTTCACCAGGACCGAACTCGACGTGTCCAAATTCGGCGACGAAAGCGACCTCGATCTGTCCGACCTGATCGAGGACGTCGTCAGTAGCGACGTCGACTACTTACAAGCGCTGTCCGAGAGCGTAGTTGAGAATTTGGACGAGTCCAATTTCTTCGCGACCACATTCACCGAGTGCGATCTGTTCGAGAAGAGCATGGCCGTGCTGTCAACGGATTCGAGCGACGACGAAGAGGAGTACGTGCCGTTAATCGAACGCATACAATCGAAACAAAGCAGGGGAACGTTTATTTCTGATTGATCTATACAGCGGTCGAATTATAATTATATACCGATCCGTAGTTTCGTTCGTAACTCTGATGGAACGACTCCCATTCCCTTTCGAGCGAGTCGAACTCGTACAACTGCATTAGATTTTCTCGCAGCGTGTCCTGACTTCTCTTCTTCGCCATCAGATAAACCTGCAAGTTGCTCTGTTTGTACGGCCGGATGACGGGTTACGGTTTTACCAGTGCCGATAGTAACATTATCAGTATAATGACGACTAGCGGGATAATTAGGAATCTCGAGTCCTCCTGCACGATCTCGTGGAAAAGCTGGCCCGTGTCATTGGTCGTATTTCGCATTTCCCATTTCTTTAGAGGCCATTATTGAAGTGATTGTTACGAAGTCCATACTGTTGATAAAAATAGAGGTAATCTAAGATTAAGGTAATCCAAGTGGATTAGCCAATCATAGCGCTGGCTACGTTGTGACGTATGCGGTATTATCCAAAATGGCGCCAAGTTTAAATTTCACCCTTTAACTTACTGCAACAAAGTGCATGTGAAAATTCTCATTGCCTTCCGTTCTAGTTCCAGCATGCCCTTTGACCTATGGGAGCTCAAGGGTGGTGATGTATGTTACTTGCTCAGTGCTCTAGTACATGGTGACATTCGGAAACCAACCTAAAAGGAATTTTACAGTGACCAGGTGTCTGCAGAGCTACCCTGCTGTCACTGGAGATTCTGACAGTTTTGTTCTTTATCTTTTCTCAATGAACACTTAGCGTTAGCCCTATCAATTCCTGACTGGTATACAGGGTGTCTTAAATTGTTTTAAATTTACGCTCGAAAATGACACGGTGTAAATTGTACTTTACCAGATAACAATTTGGGTTGCGGTGTAAACCTGTCTTTATGCGCGTGCGCCATCTAACGTCAGAATTTGACAGTTCCATTTCGTATATGAAGGGTGTTGTCATTTTTACAAGAAGATTAGTAAGTTTTTGTGTTTTTAAACGTTTTTACGCAAAATAATTGTTATAAACAATATCCGAGACACAATCGACGTTAGGCGCCACCATTTGACGATAGCATCACGAGCTGTAACCCTCATTCGTAAGAAAAAAAAGCGTATTTACGTCGCAAGATTCCTCTCGTCAGCTACGCACATTTGCCCAATTTTTCCGAGTTTATTTACTTATTTCGGTGCAGCTTGTGGAATTATCGGTTCGGCATAGATTTGGGCGATTGAAGTTCCGCGAAAATACGTCTATCGCTAATTTTCTCCTTTTCAGATCGAATCGTAAACACAAAGACTAATATGTTCGTTAAGAAACTAGTCCGTTACGTCCACATCAGCGGAGAGTATACGTCTTTAAGCAAGTAGTCAATAGCAATAGAGTGCCTTATCGGAAAGTGTGCGAGCGTTTCATACTGGAATTTGAGAAACACCGTCTGATATTCGATCCCGGATCGTCGCCGTGCAATGGTCGTTCACTGACCGATCTTCCAGCTTACTTAGACGAAAACACGGGGCAATCGTGCCCGAAATTTGAACCTGAAGTGTACGTCCCGTAACCGCTCGATTTCGACTAACTTGATTCCGTTACAGAGAATCTAGTCCGACAATTCCACGTAAGGGTAGCGGCAGTAGTGGTAGTAGCAAAGGCAGTTCGCGCGGCGCCAGCAAGAATGTCAGTCGTAAATTAGTGACCGAGCAAAGTAGTAAGGCGAAGCCGCATCGGAGAACCTACTCGACCGGCTCTAGCAAATCATGCGAGACAGGGGAGGATGTGGCTTTTGAACTTAGTTCGGGGCCCTCCTCCCCGTCGCAAACTGTGAGTGGCGTGCCGTCTTGTCGGCTTTTGCGTCAAGTTTTTACTTTTTAGGTATCGTCGGAACTGTCCCAAAATATTCAAAGAACTGAGGTCGAAGACTGTAATTTATTTAGTAAGCTCGAAGGTATAGAATTCATCGATCAGCCGTGCGAGAACGGAAACTTGGAGAGGACGTCGTCGAAAGGTTACGTTACGACCGAGGATGCGGCGTCGACGAGCAAAGTGAAGCAGAAGAAACGTACCAAAAAAAAGATGCCTTTCAAAAGTATTTTGTCGAATGGCAGTGATACGAGCGTGACGAAGGAGAACGTTTCCGCGACGCCACCTAGTAGTATTAATCGTTACACGTGGATGAAGATTACGGACGACGAAAAGGAACGGAAGGCGAAGACGCGTACCAAAAGCTGCTCGTCGATTCTCGACGACAAGCTCGACATAATCGAGAAGCTGGCGGTTTTTAGGAAGAGTTTCGATAACGTGCAAATTTTTCAAAACGCCTCCTTGACGCTCTTTAACGAGCCGGAGAGTAACAGCAATCTGTCTTCCTCGACAGGTGAGTTTTGGGCGCACACTTTAGATGGGCTCGAATATGGGTCAATTTTTTACGTTTCCCTAGCTCGTTTAAGGTTGAAAGACATCCGTTCCTATGACTGTTCAAATAATCTACTTCATTGAAGTTAAAATTTAAACATTGCAATTTCGTCTGTTTTCGACTTTCAATTGTTTTCAAAGGTAATGCGTGGTAAGTGTCTTATTTTAATTTTTGAAGAAAACAAAAACCTTAGTTATGTAGTTTTTTAAATATACAGGGTGTCTAATTTAATAACAAAAAGTTAAGGTAATTTCCAGCTAAATCGAAAGTATAGTATTTTTCGATCTTAGTACTTTTTGGTGTCCAAATGACACCGTCCAGTAATATACAGTGTGTCCTATTTTGATCAAGACTGCAGTGTATCTCTGCGCTTTTCGCGACCTTATGCCACTTTTTTGTGAAACTTAATACCACAAACAGAATCTGTCTATGTACATTTGTTCCTGAGATACAGGGTGAAAACGAAAAGTTTGATCGTCTATCAATTTTTTGCATTCTCTATCCTGATTAGGTTTACATTGATGACATATGTTTTTTATATAATTATACAGGGTGTTCATTTTATTTGCAGTCTAGTAATATACAGTGTGTCCTATTTCGATTGAGACTGCGGTGTATCTCTGCGCTTTTCGCGACCCTACCCCACTTCTTTGTGAAATTTAATACCATAAACAGAATCTATCTATGTAGATTTGTTTCTGAGTTACAGGGTAAAAACGAAAAGTTTGATCGTCTATCAATTTTTTACGTTCTCGATCCTGATTAGGTTTACTTTGATGACATATGTTTTTTTTATATAATTATACAGGGTGTTCATTTTATTTTGTCCACTGTTGTTATCTCTAAGTTAGCAAACAATTTCTATTTTAATTTTTTTGTATGCACGAAAACCAATATAAGGACATCTGTATCGCAATAGCATGATTAGGTTGTAAACTGCGCAATTATAACTGCAGGTGACTTAAGGCAAGGTTGTCTACTATCAGGCGTACACGCAGCTCCATCTTATAATCTTGAAACACATCAAAGAACCGTGAGTTTCAACCTTAACCGAGAAGGGTCTTTTTCTCTCATGAGCACCATGCAGGAAAAAATCATGTTTTTCCGACGGCTGTAAGCAGAAGACCAATGTATGCTCTGGGCCAGGAAGTGATGTTACACCAATCAGAAACGAGCACGGCCTCCTACGCCCCTTCCTTTCAGGTTCGTGAAGCGATCCAACCAGGTGGAAAAGCTGTTGGACCAGTTAAAATCGCTCTGGGACAACTTCATGAACCTGAAAGGGAGTGGCGTAGGATGGCGTTCTCGTCTTTGATTGGCTGTGACGTCACGTTATCGTCTTCGATTGGTGTGACGCCACTTCCTGGTCCAGAACATACATCGGCTTCATCTCGACTCGTTTTTTTCTTCCGCGAGTTATTGTCCCGTGTAATCTTCTTTTCCAGTGTTGCAGCCATGCCTGGAGAGCGACATAAAACCGGCCGTCGCCGAGCTCGTCAGCGAGATTCTCGAGTCCGCCGCGAACATCGTCAACCAGATCGACACCCGCCTCAACAACCGCGCGCACCAGGACTCCATACCTCGAATACGTCTCTCGCGGACGCCCTCGACCGATCTCCTGACCGCGCGCAACTTCGTCGAAAACTACGAGGAGTATCACCTCTCCTGCTCGGAGATCGAAGATAAGCCGAAGATATCGGAAATAATCGAGGACCATCGGAAGAAGAAGAAGGACAAGTCGGTGAAGCACGGCGGCGTCACCCATTGCATTCCGATCGAGACCGACTCGAATATCGACGACGACTGCGACTATCCGCAGAGCGAGCTGCAGCTCGTGCCGTACGATGCGAAATACAATCTCCCGAAGGCGCTCTTCAGCAAGATCAATACGGACGCGATGGTCGAGATCACCGATCAGAACATCGACGTGCTTCACCAGAACGTCGAGATCGAGAACAATCCCGATCTGAACGCCGACATTATCGTGTTCGAGCCGTCGAAGGCGAAGGATTACGTCGTCGAGGACGACGATGACGTTTACAAACCGATCGCGGTCAGTCCGTGCGGGCGATTCTTCAAGTACGAAGAGGAGGTGAGAGCGCGATGCTGCCACGACGTGCGTTGCTAACCTCGTTTTGCAGATAGGGCGAGGTTCGTTTAAGACCGTCTACCGTGGGTTGGACACTCAGACGGGCGTCGCGGTCGCGTGGTGCGAGCTGCAGGAGAAGAAACTGAACAAGACGGAGCGGCTTCGATTTCGCGAGGAGGCCGAGATGCTCAAGAAGCTGCAGCATCCGAACATCGTGCGATTTTACAACTACTGGGAGTCGACGCTCAACAAAAAGAAGAGCATCGTCCTCGTCACCGAACTGATGCTCAGCGGAACTCTCAAAACGTAAACCGCGCCGTTTTACGCGAACGTATCGCAAACGAAAGTGTTCCAGGTACTTGCGGCGATTCAAGAAGATCAATCCGAAGGTGTTGAAGTCGTGGTGCCGACAGATACTGAAGGGTCTGGCGTTTCTGCACTCGAGATCGCCGCCGATCATTCATAGGGATTTAAAGTGCGACAACATCTTCATTACGGGCACGACCGGATCGGTGAAGATCGGCGATCTCGGGCTCGCGACCTTGAAGAACCGAAGTTTTGCGAAATCGGTAAGTCTTTTGGATCCGACTTGATGCGCGCGCGTATCTGTGAAACGTCCATTTTTAACATTTTAAATAGTCACAATGCAATACCTTCAGTGAAGGATTTTGTAATTTTTGGTTTTTTAGAAAATCATTATTTAAAATAGAAACATGGCACACCTACACTCACATTTTAAAATGTTACATATTTTTTGCTCATTGCTATTTTCGCTCGTAACAACCTCTTTCGTCTGATAAAATTGGATAATGTGTTATTCTGAGGGGGTTTGAACATTATGCGACCGCGACGCGATGAAATCGTGGGTTTTTAATACAATAAAGCACATAGCTTCGGCTCACCCTGTAGATGCGGCAAAGTTGTTAAAACTGAAACGTCACTTATGAAGAAGATTTACAGAGCTAGGCGAGGAGGCGCAGCCGCTGAAGCCGAAGCATGTTCCCTATTGTATTCATTTTAATACAATAAAGGAAATAGCTTCGCCTTCGGCGGTTATCAGCGGTTGTCAAAACTAAACTGTTCTTTCAGAAGGGAAGTGACAGGGCGAGGCGAGGCGGCGTAGCCGCCGAAGCCGATACTATGCTCCCTATTGTATTCTTTTTAGTACAGTAAAGGACATAGCTTCTGCTTCGCCGCCTCGCCTCGCCCTGTTGCAGCTAGAAAGTTGTTAAAACTAAAACGTTCTTTTCGAAGGGAATGTACAGGGCAAGGCGAGGCGGCGTAGCCGCCGAAGCCGAAGCTATGCTCCCTATTGTATTCTTTTTAGTAGGTACAGTAAAAGACATAGCTTCGGCTTCGGCGGCTGTCGCCGCCTCGCCTCGCCCTATTGCTGCGTGAAAGCTGTCAAAACTAAAACATCCTTTCCGAAGGGACTTCATAGGGTGAGGCGAGACGGCGCAGCTGCCGAAGTCTAAGGTATGCTCCCTATTGTATTCTTTTTAGTACAATAAAAGACATAGCTTCGGCTTCGTCGCCTCGCCTCGCCCTGTTGCAGCTAGAAAGTTGTCAAAACTAAAACGTTCTTTTCGAAGGGAATGTACAGGGCAAGGCGAGGCGGCGTAGCCGCCGAAGCCGAAGCTATGCTCCCTATTGTATTCTTTTTAGTAGGTACAGTAAAAGACATAGCTTCGGCTTCGGCGGCTGTCGCCGCCTCGCCTCGCCCTATTGCTGCGTGAAAGCTGTCAAAACTAAAACATCCTTTCCGAAGGGACTTCATAGGGTGAGGCGAGACGGCGCAGCTGCCGAAGTCTAAGGTATGCTCCCTATTGTATTCTTTTTAGTACAATAAAAGACATAGCTTCGGCTTCGTCGCCTCGCCTCGCCCTGTTGCAGCTAGAAAGTTGTCAAAACTAAAACGTTCTTTTCGAAGGGAATGTACAGGGCGAGGCGAGGCGGCGTAGCCGCCGAAGGCGAAACTATGCTCCCTATTGTATTCTTTTTAGTACAGTAAAGGACATAGCTTCGGCTTCGGCGGCTGTCGCCGCCTCGCTTCACCCTTTTGCTGCGTGAAAGTTGTCAAAGCTAAAACGTCCTTTCCGAAGGGAATCCATAGGGCGAGGCGAGGCGGCGTAGTCGCCGAAGCCGAAGCTATGTTCACTATTGTATTCTTTTTAGTACAGTAAAGGATATAGCTTCGGCTTCGGCGGCTGTCGCCGCCTCGCCTCGCCCTGTTGCAGCTAGAAAGTTGTCAAAACTAAAACGTTCTTTTCGAAGGGAATGTACAGGGCGAGGCGAGGCGGCGTAGCCGCCGAAGCCGAAGCTATGCCCCCTATTGTATTCTTTTTAGTACAGTAAAGGATATATCTTCGGCTTCGGCGGCTGACGCCGCCTCACCTCGCCCTGTTGCTGCAAAGTCATTGTAATGCGGATTCCTATTAAAATATCGTGTCACTATCGCATACTGTTGAAACGACCTGATTCTTTGCGTTAGAGTTGCGGGATATATATGAAGCGTGATCTTAAAATAATAATTCTTGTAATAAGGCAACCCTTTCATAATAAAATTAGACCATAGAGTATATAACGATATACAGTCTGTTTCAAATTAAGTCGGCAGAAGACACTGCATTTTCTTGCAACATTTCTAATATTTTATTTCTGATATAGAAAATTATTGTATCGTTTCTTGCATGCGCGTTTATAACCTGTATAACACTGTGCAAGTGTTACAGTGACTATACAAGTCGATGGTGGCAATTGAGCTTAAGCCACGCCCACCCACCATGTTGTGGCAAATTCAAATATATAAGGTATCTTGATACCATTGGAATACTTTAATAGTTGGAGATATTCAACACAGCTTTAGCTAAATCTTAATTTTCAAAATGAAGATTATTATTTGTAGCACCGTTTCTGGAGCAATTGAGAGTGTGTTCGGTAGGTTATAGGTACGCCGGAATTTATGGCACCCGAAATGTACGAGGAGCACTACGACGAAGGTGTCGACGTTTACGCCTTCGGCATGTGCATGTTGGAAATGGCGACCAACGAGTATCCGTATTCCGAGTGCACGGGTCCCGCTCAAATTTACAAAAAAGTTATTTCGGTAAGTCGTCTTCGTTTTTGAGTCCCCCCCGTAACCCCTCTCTTCGTAAGGGAGTGAAACCGGCCAGTTTCGACAAGGTGGAAACGTCGGGGGTTAAGGACGTCATCGAGAATTGCATAAAACCGAGTCGGGAGGATAGGCCGAGCGTCAAGGACCTACTCACCCACTCGTTCTTCGAGGAGGATTGCGGTCTGCGAGTTGAGGTCGTTTCGCAAGACGACACCAAGATCGTGTTTCGGTTGCGGGTTTTGGATCCGAAGAAACGGACTCATAAGCACAAGGAGAACGAGGCGATTCAGTTTGAGTTCGATTTGGTGACGGATCGTTACGATACGATATCGGAGGAGATGGCGAAGTCGGGTATCATTTTCGAGGACGATTCGAAGACGGTCGGCCGCCTGCTGAAAACGCAGCTGGCGCAAATTGAAAAGGAAAGGAAACAGGAGCAGGAGAAACAGCAGCAGGAGGCGGCGCTCATGCAGCAATTGCAGTATCAGCAATTTCTTCAGCAGCAAGTCGAGCAGGCGCATCTGGCGCAGCAGGTTTCGACGCAGCAGGAAATGCAGCACATTCCTCAGCAGCAAACGCAGGCGATTATTCAGGGACAGCAGGGAAATTCGCCCCAACAGACTGCAACGTATCAGCAACCCCAGGCGTATCCGAGTAATCAGTTCGGTACTGCTGCGCCGACCGAGCAGCCTCAGTTGCAGCGGCAGAGTTCGACCGAACCGATTCAGCAACAGCCCATCGTTTACAAGCAGCAGCAGCCGTTCGTCCAACCCATGGCGCAACCCCAGCAGGCCGAGCTGCTGCAAACCCAAGAGCAGCACCGACTGTCTACGGTGTCTCAGCCAGAATTACTGCAGACCCCAAGCGCGCCTCAGGAACATCGATTGAGCGTCGACAGTCAGCTGGACTTGCAAAAGCAGCAGATGCTCCAAGATCAACATCGAATAAACTCGCAGATGTCGATACCGGAACAAACCCCACGGACGACTGCGCCGCCGACGGCCATCGAGGTGATACAGCAGTTCACCCCGCAAGTGACAAATGACCCCGAGCACAGGGTGTCCGTAACGCAACCCCCCACCGTACAAGACTTGCTCCAAATGCAGCAGCAGCAGCAGATGATGATTCAAACGCAACCGCCGACGAGCTACGTGCCCCCCGCCGCGAATTACGTGCAGCAACCGCAACAGGCGTTTGTTCCGGTCGCCCAGCAACAGACTCCGCCCCAAGATCCCAACTACATGATGCAAACGCCCCAAAATTACATATCGCAGGCGGCCGTCGCCGTAATCCAACAACCGAACGCGCCCGCATTCATGCCTGCCGCGCAGACGACCTTCGTCCCGCAACAAAATTTCGTGCAACAGCCGCTCCCCATTCAGCAGCCGCCCCTCCACGCCCAACCGGAGGAGGTCAAAGTGGACGGGGCGGTTTACAACTCGACTCATCGCTTATCGGCCGACATCCCGGCGACGAACCTGGTCGAACTCCACCAGCAGCTGAATCGGGTTATTCAAGACAAGGAGCAGCACAAGTTGTCGACTGTATCGTTACCGGCGGTGCCCGTAGCCGAGGCCATCCAACTGGACCGATCGCTGTCGCAGCCCGACCAAGAGCAGCAGCAACAGCCCGGTAAGAGCCCGCTCAAGCTTGTCGTCCCGTCTCGAGCGTCTTCCATTTCAGAAATCGAAATCCCGAAGCGTCACGAGGAGGAGCACAAAGATCCGGAGGCGCTCTCCTCCGAGCAGGCGAGCGAGGAGAACAGCTCGACGAGCGAGAAGAGCCACCGCAGGCGATCGGCCAAGTACTCGAAACAGCTGAGCGTCGAGGCGGTCAAGCCGGACGGCACCGTCGAGTGTCAGCTGCTGTGCAAGCAGAAGACGATCAGCTTCAAGTTCAATCGCTTCGATACGACGCCGATGGACATCATCGAGGGCATGATCAAGGAGGAGCTCCTACGTCCCGGCACTCACGATAGTCTTGTCGCGCAATTGCAAGACATTATGAAGCAATTGGAGGAGCACCCGTTGCGGATTCCTCACATTCAGAAGGTTTGTCGATGTAATTTAAGTCCGTAGCCCATTTGTGCTGAAGATTCCTACCCGCTTCCTTACAGCAATACATCTCTCGATCAAAGCGCACTGGGTTACTTTTGATTATACAGTGTGTTCTAGCTAAATCTGACTCATTTTCAAAACAAATTCAATCGATTAAGTCATGACACACTGTATACTTCTTATTTGTGTGTTTAAATTGAAACTTTCACGCACGCTGCCGATCAGGTGCGACATGCATCACTCACGAGGCACCCCCATCGTAAAACCCATCGGAGGCATCGTTCTGTAAGTCCCCACTTGTATTCATGTCGCCCTTGGAACGTCGACCGTCCCTTGAACCGTTACGTTTTTCTTTAGCGAGACGAGACCAACAGTCAGTTCCTCACGTCGCTGAGCAAGCAGGGTCCGACGCCGGCGGACGGCTTCAACGCCGACCTGAAGACGACGCTCGCCGAGAAGATCACGCAGAATTTGCGCTGTCGCGAGAGTCTGAACAGTACGGGGACCGTTTCGCGAAAGACGAGCACGGCGAGCGACTACACCCCCGAAAACACCTACATCCAGGACGGGCAGTCGAGCTTTCTCAACGAACCGGCGAAGGCGTCGAGCGACTGCGACGAGAAACCGGAAGACGGGCAGGCCGCGCAGAAGGTCGATCTAAAGATCATTCTGCTGCGTCACGACTCGAAGATCAGCACCGAGTCGTGCATGAGCATCGACCTGGAGTCGGAGGCCGACAACGAGGAGAAGCAGGAGGAGTGCCCCGTCGAGGAGATGCTGAAGGTGCCACAGCGTAAGATCTCGCGGTTCCTAGTGAGTCCCGTGCTGTCCGGTCAGCTCGACGTGCCGAAAGACAAGGAGTGCGGTGAGAGCGTCGCGGAGCCGGACTCGCAGACGATTCCGACCGCGAAATCGGAGGAGGTCGAGCCGAAGGTCGAGGAGGCCAAGGTTTGCGGGCCGGAGATGATCAACACGTTGGAGCAGCTGAAGATCAGTCTGCAGAACCTGACGCACTCGCACAAGAAGAGCGAGGCGAGTGACGGCGGGGGCGGCGGTAGCGATGTCAAAATTCAAGGCGGAACAAACACTCCGCAGCAGTCGAAGGCGGTGGCACCTCAGCAGGTATAAATCGCTGTTGGTCTTGTAAGGTCGTTACATTACGTTTTACAGCCACCACCGGCTCAAACGACGGCTATGCTAACCCAAGCTCCGGTGCAACAGCCGTTTCAGCAGACGCAGCCAATGGCTCCGGTACAGCAACAGGTGAGAGCGAGTGTGTTCGAATCGAGTTTGATTACACGTGTCCTTTCAGCAACTGCCACAGACTCTGCTGACGCAGGTCTACCCGGCCACGCAACCCCCACCCGCCGCAACTCAACAGCAGGTATTATGCGATATTCGTTTGTTTTAAGTAGAGTGAGATGCGGTTTCAGGTTCAACCTCAGGCGACGGCAATCGCCGCACAGCAGTACGCGCCTCCACCTCAGCAGGCTTCGGCTCAACAAGCGCAGGTTTGTTTATATTGCTATGGCACACTGACACTGAACACCTAGCCCACAAATTTATTCGACATAAATTAATCGGAGGACACTCAGGGCCTGAGGACAAAGACAAATACCGCGCACCTGCGATCGATTGAAACAAATTAAATTTACTGTGGAATCTTCACTTGCTTCATGTTTTACACAAATTTGTTTTGTTGTAATTTAAATTATTGGAGGTGGATAAACTTCACTTTATCTGCTACTAGGAATTTTGAACATTCACTTTTAAAACGCCGTAAGAAAATGTCTTGGAGATCTAAACTTTCTTCTATAACAATTTCACAACCATCAAGACTGACTGTCTTATACAAAAAAAAATTTGTTAAGGCTCTGAGTGCTAAACACAAAAGAAAACCATTTCCCATCTGCTTGGTCTATTTAAAGCATTCTTCCTTCCGCTTCTTTAACTTAATTAGCTTTTACGGAGCGATAAGTCCTTATCACAAAACCGGACTTTTGAAATAGCACGCATTTATTTCCAGATGTCCCTAATCATTTTTTAAATTAAAGTAAACAAAACAGAATATCTCCAGCCATACCATCCCAGTACACGAAAATCTTTTCTTACAATGATGATGACATTTTCGTTTATTGTGGTAGCGACTATAGCACCGGAGGGTCTGGGGGGGTATTCCATACCTACATTCTCCCCCGAAATAAATTGCACTTACACCATCATTTTTAGAAAGACCATTTAACGTGAGCCATTTAACGTGAGCCTATAAGGGGTGAACGTTTTGTGGGAGAACGACTGTAGCACCGGGGGGCCTGGGGGGTATGGAATACCCCCCAGCCACATCACTGCAGTACACGAAAAGCTTATCCCTCCCGGGAGAGGGAGACAGGAACAAAAATTCAATATTACTATCATATCATTTTTGTGTAATAGGATGGAATTGGCTGGGGGGTATTCCATACCCCCAGACCCCCTGGTACTACATTTTCCCCCAAAATAAATTGCGCTTACACCATCAGTTTCTCCAAGTACTTTTTATGTGTAATGTTAGCAGCAAATATATCCATCTCAAACGCCGCAACTGACGCAAGCCCCGCCACAGCAAACCCAACCGACGCTAATTCCATCCCAGCAATTTCCACCGACGTCGGTCGTCCCTCCGGGCATTCAGCCCATTCAGAATTACACTACGGTCCTGGCACCGCATTCAAACCAGCTGTATACGCCTCCCACATCCCAGCCGGCAGTACAAATGCCACCGCCAGCGAACTATCAGCAGGTAACCGCGCAACACCCGTACCCGTATCCCGCGCAGGTGATTGGAGCCGCGATGCCGTTGGCGGGTACGCCTCAAGACGCCTCCACTCCCCAAAGCGACGCTTCGTACGCGGTGCACCTGCAAAACTTGCAGCGCAAGCTGTCGTCGGTGACCCAATTGGTGAGTATCTAGCGTCCGTCTGTCACAATCAAGTTGACATTTTTCAGGGACCCACAACAACACCCGACTCGCCGACAGTTTTAGCTGAACCGTTTACTAAGGTGGGCGTCCGACGCGCGTGCGCGCCGTAAAATAACACTCTTCAACTTTCAGAATTCGGAGGGCGGCACACCGAACGCCGACATGCTATCGCCGGTACAAGACATCGACAGCACCCAGTATTGCACAAACGAGCTGCACCACGCCCTGCTCGAGGAGGTGCGCGACGCGAGCGCCCTGAACCTCCCGCTCGAAAACACGACGACCACGTTACTCAACAACGAGGAGACGGCGGCGGTCAGGGAGAAGCCGAAGATCGAGCGGCGAATTTCGCGCTTTAAGGTTAGCGTCGTCAACGAGCCGGACGTCACGCAGCTCAGCATACCCGACAGGCACGTCGAGGAGCACGAGCAAATCGACGCGATCATCAATAGCACCTTCAGTACGCTCGAGAAGGACATTAGCGCTTCATACTCTCATAGAACAGGTGAGTCCGTCTCGCACCTCTACGGCGGAGCTTACCTTACCTCGTTTTGCAGTCGACGCCGTTAGTTCCGATATAATCGTAAGTATCCGTCGGTTGACGCTGAGCGTGTAGTTTCCCCCCTCCTCTTATCCGAGTTGTTTTCTTAATCGTAAGCTTTGTGAATGACCTATTTAATTAACTCGATATAATCCTTCGGGATCTTTTTACGCAAGAATAACCGAAAGCAGTTTGACAGCTCTGTCAAATTTTGACATTTCAGCCGTTCAAGATAAAATACGTTAGCCTAACTTAAGACTGTGTTACTGTCAAATTGGAAATGCTGTTTAACACGTTCTGACTGAGCAACTTCAGTTATACCTGACTTACCGACTTCAGACTTTGGTTTAAGTGGTAACTTACGTGCCCCGGTTGCGCATCGAGGTGGAAGAAACTGTCCGTCTGCCTGTAGGTCAGTCAGTCCACGCCCTTGGGTCGGGTGACTATGACTACACTATTTGCATTTCCCTCTCCCTCTTTTTCGTTAAATAATGGCGAGTATTGCGGTGCTATCTTCTAGCATATGTTTCTGGTTGCACCACATTGAGATAGTTCCAATGTCTACCAACGAGGGCGATGGTAAGAGAGTCTTAAGGTTCGTGTACAGTGTTGCCGATTGTTGCGTGAAAAGATCTCAAGCGGATTATAAATTTTTGTTGGTAGTTAGCGTGTTTTTCTTATAGCCGCATGGGGTATGCCGTGCTTCCTCGAACGTTGGCACCACTGGCCTACTCAACACGCTTCCACGTACGCATAAGACACGCTCGTATAACGATCTCGTGGTCGCCATCGAAAAGCTGATGCCGACGTTTCGCGAGCGCACGGTCTCGATGACGGGCAACGCGCTACGAAGGCGAGGCGACGCGACGGCGGTCGAAGACGACGCCGCCGCCGTCGCGTCGCCCCCTCCCGACCAGAACCTGGCGAGCAGCCTGCCCGACTTTTGCGAGATTTTCGCGGATAAGGATTGCGATCTGAATTTCAGTTGTCCGGAGTTGGAGTTTTTCGGTTTGGGCGAGTGTAACGCGAAATCTCGTAGTACCGTTAGCGGACAGCGCAAAAAGGCGGACGTGAGTCCGTCGGACATTTTGAGGCGCAAGCTGAAACAGTCGGTGTCGTTGCACAATTTAGACGACGAAGTCAAAGACGATTACTGTTATCACACGATTCACACGAGCACGAATATACCGTCGCACGTTAGTTACAATAATTATAGACATATCGATAAGGTTAGTCATACGCATTCGACTGTGATTATGAAATGCTGCTGTGGTAAATCGCAGTGTGGCTCAGTGGTGCCAATCAACGTATATTTGGAAACGTATTGCACCAAAACGGTAAGAAACAGACGGGGTGGGGGTATGGCCGCTAACCCGCTCATGTGACGCACATCTGTCTTGGCACATTAATACGCTTTACTTAGGTGGTAGTTGCTACGACGTCACTCATTTTTCGCTCGTGGTTGCGCTTAAGTCTGGGGGTCGCCATTTTTTAAACGTAGATTGTCCCGTTAACCGCTTACGTGTTTGTTGATTCTTGATCTTTTTGCTTTTGCACTGTAGAACGAATCCTACATAGACATGCTGAATAGGCAAAAGGCCGAGGTGAACGCTTTATTAGAAGCCCATCGCAAACAGCAGTTGGAATACTTCAACACGATCGCGAACGGTAAGTCGCGCCGATTGCGCGTGCGCAATTCGTTTTAATTACCAATTCACACTCGCAGATGGCGTTATATTAAAAGGACAAGATTGCGACGTCGAGAATTAATAAAGGGACTGTATAATAATAATAATTTTGTTTATAAAATGTATCATAATTATTGAATTATACAATTAATTATATTACTCGAATTGATACACCGTTTTCCACTGTATTCCTGCTCTGTACTCGGATCATAAATTCCATTTTCCACAAGTTAAAAATATTGAAATGCTAGAGTCAACGTAATATCATTGTTTATTCATTTATAGTTATTCCACCGATCGTTAGTACGTTGGGTAAAGTCTAGGGGGCGTGTTGGGTAATGTGTCGCTCTCAATAATTCTTATAATAGTTCTAAACCATATAGGTTTTACAATTTACCGACAACAGATGGTGTAATTGCTGCAGTCATATTGTGGTATTTAAAAAAAAAAGAAAATGTTTTGTATTTTTAAAAATCTGCGATGACGCCAACAACCGGTATTTACGAAAACTAAAAAAATATACCCCCTGGCCCCGTGACCATGCAAAGGTACGCCACCTATCACAACTTAGAATATAGTCAACTTTTTATTATTGTGGATAGGTACCATAAAAGAACTCGCTGAAATTGTAGTTTTGAATATATAATCACTAATCAGTGTTCCAGACAAAATTTCCACCCTGTATATATAAGTACACATGGCCCCTTAAACAAGAAAAATTGTTGAATTACAAATTACGATTGCACATTCCACCTTTGCGATAAGAGTGCGTAATATTCGCTTAACGTAATCTAAATTCTCATAGCCGCCCACGCGGATATATTATTGCATTTCCCTTTAAATGTAATTTGATTATGTAAATAAGTAAAGTTACGTGACGAGGGCATGGCAGATACCCTAAACCAATTGAATAATCAGGTAGTACTCCAATTCGACAGCATGTGGCAGCACATTCAGTCAGTTAGGTTCATTTATAAACGAGTTGTGGTGGCGTGCTGTCCTGAGGTAACTGCTGATTTTTTTTTGGTTTGTGATTTATTACAGCTCGCATCCGCGGACTCTTTCATAATTTAGGTGTCGCTAGGCTGGTGACTTTGTTTAAAAATAACTTTATAGGTAAGGAATAACCCCCAGTAATCGATGGTTCAATTACCATTTCCCAAAAACTTGAAAGTGCCAAGGGACGGAGAGTTCTTTGTTGAGACTACTTGTATGTGGCTGGGGGGTATTTTAGACCAAACTTGGTAACGATGTCTCTTATCCATAGGGTCAAAATAAATCGGAAATTAATATTGCCCGACAATGTCTATTTCTTAAAACGGAGTGTATAAAAAAAAGTTACAATGTATGAGAATTGCACTACCGCCACCAACAAATTCAAACATTATGGCGGAAACCTTTAAGACTACTCTCTTTCCTTCCCTAAAGCGATTTAAATAATTAGTTGGGAAGGCGCTAGTAAATCTTTCGATTCAATCGCACTGTCCACAATTAAAAAGGGTCTAATCCCGACCACCTCCTTCTCGTTAACAGATTGCCGACACACTTTAACGTGTTTGATTAAATTCGACTTCCAACGCGTGGAGTAGCGGCACCTGTAACATGTGAATCTGTCGAAAGTGTGGTGTCCTCGCTCGTGCGCGACCAAGTTCGATTTCCACCGCGTCGTGTAGCCGCACCGTTCGCACGCGAACCCCTCCAAAATGTGGCTGCTCCTAACGTGCAGCGAAAGGTACTTTTTCGACTTGGTGACGAAACTGCACCGCTCGCAAAGGAATTGTTGCGAGCCGTGCCGTCCCGTCACGTGTTGTACCAAGTCCGTCTTTCGTTTCGTCGCGTAAACGCAATGTTCACATTTAAATTCGGTCGATCCGTGAGAGCTTCTGACGTGCGCGTTTAGGTAATGTCTCGATTTTGTGGTGAAGGGACAACGTTCGCAATTCAACAGCTCGAAGCCGTGGTGCATTTTTACGTGGTTGGTTAAGCTCGACTTCCACTTAGCCGCGTAATTGCACTGTTCGCAGGTGAACTTTTCAGAACTGTGATGTGCGGTTATGTGTTTTTCAAATTCGCTGTCCATTTCGTTTTGAAATGGCAGTGCGGGCATTTGATTTCTTGTCCCTTCCTCTTTACTTTACTTCTCGCAAGTGGTTTAGGCTCCTGCTTCAATTGCAGAGTGTAGCAGTTGTACTCTTCGTTTACACGAAGGTCTTGTAGTGTTTCTACCTCGCACTTTACACATTCAATTTTGGGAGAAGCTAAACATTTTTCCTCCTCCTCTTGTGGTTCACATTTTATGATGTGTATATTGGGAGCGTTCCCTGTTGTCATGCTTTTCTTCCTGATTAAAAAGAACAATAAAAAAGGGAATAAACATCAGATGTAAACAAATATGGCGGTCAAAGTTGCATTAGTCATACTGGAGGGGTATTTTTTATACATTACTTTCTCGGGTACAGTGGCGTAACATATGCCAGTTTGTTACTTAAAATTTACCTACCCGTGTAGGGGCGGGAAAGAATACCCCTGCTGCAGAGGCACTGCATGTCGTAAGAAGCGACTAAACAACTGTACGTTGCGTTCTTAGTAACAATACGTCCCCTCCGCCCCAAAGAAAAAGCCGAAGTGCGCGTTGTTAAGATTTGCATTCTATTATTATTATTTATATTTTATAACAGCTTTTACATGTCATTTACACATTACATACAGAATTTAACTAGAAAGTGGCTATCTACACTAACACGGCAGAAATAATAATTACAAATGTACATTATATTAAATCGTAAAAACGAAGATTTTCAGAAAATAACACGTGTGTGTCTCTCTATCTACTTGAACCTGTAACTTCTTACAATTAGTACCTTGAATACATTCTGTTTGTATTTTAAATCACAAAGTGTGGGAACGTTACAACTGATATATACACCATTTAGTAACAAATCGTCAAAACTTAGACTACTAATTGACAGTAATGAAATTAATTAATCTACCGTCTAATCTCTAGTTGCCCCGAATTTCGTTTCCAAAATCTGAACATTTGCAAGTTGCCGTGTCGAAACCCCCTCCACATTAGTGCGACAAATACCCAACAAACAAAAAAAAAACGAAAATTGCGCGCGCCCCCGTGACGGACGGCGAAGCGATGTAGGAATGACAACAAAATTCACCTATGAAAAAATTAGTTCGGATCGTCCGACTACCCCGAAGCCGAGCGCTAATACTTAAGAATGAAGAGAATTAAAATGTATAATACAATCGGGTATAAAAATTAAATAAAACGGCACTGAATTGAGCAAATCCTAAGCTTCAAATTCGGAATAGTCAGCGCGAGAATTCGTTTAAGAAAGAAAAGATTTAATCTAGCTCCGCCTTCATGCCGCGCACCTCCCCCTTCTTCCTTAGCGCCTCCAGTTCCTCCTTGGTCTTGTCCTCTATCGCGCGGATGTCCTCCATCGTGAGACCGTGCCAGCCGTCCATCCAACAGAAAACTTGCCTGCGTAATCATAACGTTAGAACTCCTCCGATCGAGGACACGCGTCTATTACCTATGAAAGTGCGTGAATAACCGCCTCTCCGATTTTTGAATGAAACTCTCGACGCGCTTCTGCATGCCGAACCACTTAAATTCTACGGTAACTAACTTATAGCACGTCATGACTGGGTTCACTTTCGTCTTCCAGTCGGGGCCGACCAGCGGTCCGCGTCCGGTCTTCGTCGACTTGAACCGCGTCGGGTCCTCGGTCTCCTTGTAGTCGCTCGGGCTCATCGGATCGTTCGCGATGTCGATGTGCACGACGTCGCGCATCTTCAGCTTTTCGGGCGGCAACTCGTGGACCTAAGGCACTCGATTTAGGCACACCCCCCTCGGTCGGTACGCGCGTCTACTCACGTTTTCCTGATCGCCGATGTCGCCAATGTGCATACTTTCTATACAAATGACAAAGTTCTCTTTCATGTAGCCGGGATTCTGCAAGGCGAGCGGTTGTGGATTTACAATAAGGTAGGGGGGGGGGGGAAACTCACCGTTATGACGGTTTTGCAGTAGGGATACGCGTTCCACGCCTCCTCGTGTATTTCCAGGCTACCCTTGGGGGCAAGGTACCGTACGAACGCGGGCACCTTGCTGGCGAGATGGTAAATTTTGTACGTGTACTGGCCCGAGCTGTATTTGCCGCCGAGCAGAGGGTAGTTTGTGAACGGTTCATTTTTAAGTACCTCGATTCCTTCGCCGCCTCCCGTATTGTCTTTGGACGCCTCGGCGACGCTATACAATTGCGCTACTTGATACTGCAAAAGAATTGTAAAGGTTCTTTCAATGCAGTAATACGTAATTTACCTCTTCGACTGTTAGGGGCAAAGTTACTCGGCTAAAAACATCAATTAATAAGTAAAGATGGTAATTATGTCATTTGCAAGTAGTCAAGGTTGAGGTATGTGATCTACACATGTAATTTGTACGTGGGAACATGAAAACAGTGCAGAGACAAGGTCCACAATTTTGATGATGACAATTTCGATGCTTTGATACCGAAAAAAAGGAATTAAATGAAATTTGGTGCGGCGGCTGCGACGAATGGACCGTACTTACAATTCTTGAATTAGCATTTTGGGCGAACGTTCCTTAAACACTACACAATACACATGGAACTTGCCAAACAGGTCTTCCACTCACAACCCTATTCCTCTTCAAAGTACTGAATCACCACTCCGCCACTCACTCACTCGATGACGGTCCCCCAGGGCGCAGGCGTCGTGACGCAGACCTACGTCAATACGCGTTCGAAGAAACGTCGACGTTCATCGAATCGATTCGACGAAGACTCGTCTAATGATGTACCGGGTGCGTCTTTAGAAAAACGCGGTACTATGGGTTCAAGGTTGGGAAGTACCGGAACCGGAAATACTATCATTCCTTTTTTGATACGAAATATGAACTTAGCGGCTAACTTCATAATTTGAGGACAGCTGATTTGATGACACTTTCTCAAAGGCAAGTGATCCCTGTATATACAACTTACGACGATGCACACATTTTTGAGAGTTGGCAACCACGCAATTTTTAGGAGGGGATATACTACAATGTTAAGTTGTAGTATCATGACTTTATAGAGTTACATTTATAAAAGTTATGGACTAGAAACCAATTTCGAAAGAAAATTCAAAGGGCTGTAACTTTTGATCTAGTAGCCCAATCTTGGAACTGTTTGAAATTGTGGATTCTACAATCCACATTCTATAAGAAAATGTTTTTTTCCCGGACGATCTGAGACAATTTTTTGTTCGGACCAAAAAAAAAGGCAGTGTACAACCTTCCTTTTTTACCAAAAATCGACTACACCAAAATTTCTCGGGAAAACACTTTTTCTTATTAATTTTGGTGCGTAGAATCCAAAACAATTCGTACTTTTTCGATCAGACTTCTCAATCAAAAGTTATAGACTAGAAACCAATTTCAAAAAAAAATTCAAAGGGCTGTAACTTTTGAACTAGTAGCCCAATCTTGGAACTGTTTGAAATTATGGATTCTACAGGCCACATTCTATAAGAAAATTTTTTCCGGATCGATTTAAAGCCCGCTTGACATGGAGCAATAAAAATTGCAATTGCATGCAAGTTGCAAGAAAAATTGCGAAAGGCATGCGCAGTTCAAAGCCAGCTGATCAATTGCTGCAAGAGACTTGCATGCAATTTTTATAGGACCGGTGCTATTTTTCTTGCATGAATCGTGCAATTCTAGGGATAAATCTAGTTGTTTTTGTGGCACCAACCTAGTAAAATACAGCGGCGGCAACTGTGATGCTGAGAGACGCACTCATTACTTGTTTTTACTAATCTTATTTATTCTTGTAATTTTCATGTTTCTTCAAGCAATCAAAATTTAATTTTCATTTGAGGTTAACAACTTTGTTGACAAATCCATATGTTTCTTCTGTTGGCAGACATGTGGCAATTGAAATAGAATTGCACCATGTCAAATACCATGCAATGCTTATTGCATGCAAGGATTTGACCTTGCAATTTCTTTCTGCAAGTTCTTGCGCGTAGTATTGCTCCATGTCAAGCGGCCTTAAGACTTTTTTTTTTCGGGGCTCAAAAAAAGGCAGTTATTACCTTCCTTTTTTACCAAAAACGACAGCTGTTTCAGTCGCCGTTTTGGCTCCGCAGTTGGCAATCTACCGCCATACTTCTCACTGTGTGTCCAAGTTGCCAATTTTTAAATTATTTCTACATCTCTCTCCAATGTTTACTTCTCCTCTGTTATGATGCATTTCCCAAAACAGTGAATAATTCACCTTCCGCCCCCCCCCCCCCCCCCTTCAATGTTCTATCTCTATCACCATACAATCCCTCGTCCGTTTTAGTGCGTCTGCAGCAGTATCTTCACAATTTTGTTGTACATTTGATTGCAATTGCGTCCAAGTAAACCAAATCGCGGGAAAGGGCGGGGGAATAAATGCACGTTCAGCCCCCCCCCCCTCCAATAACTTGTAGAACTGATTTCTACGGTCACTGCAACTACATACAGTGATATTCATGTAGAAGTGGACATAGGGATTTCCTATGTCTACTTTTACATGATAAAAGTCTCCTGAAAGACGCCTAATTTTATGCAACCGAAATAACTTCGTGAAACAAATGAGGATCTGCCTGTCATTAAATAATTAATATGACAGCCATCTGTATTTGTTTCAAGACGTTATTTTGGTTGCATAAAATTAGGCGTCTTTCAGGAGACTTTATCATGTAAAAGTACAAATAGGAAATCCCTATGTCTATTTCTACATGAATATCACAGTGGTATGGCTTTGTACACAAACGTAATAGAAAAGCACTGATAGCAAAAAAAAAATAAATAAAAGCAAATGAAAGTTTAATGTAAAAAAGTACAAAATCAAAATTTCATTAGAGATTCAGTTAATATCACATATACATGATGCTACAAAATAATAATTGCATAATAAGCTGTAAGACTTAGCTGCACTAGTAGTCTAAATATCGACTGCCTTACTCAGAGGGCGCTGCTTTTAAAATGAAAGTGCCACTTACTACCCTAATTGTATATTAAAGGACGGTACAACACTTTGATCCCCTTTTGGAATATTTGCAAATTTAAAAAGCACCGTGCGAGTATAAAATCTAAATATCATTATTAAGTACACTTATACAATTACAATAAAAATTTCCCAAAAGTGAGGGCCACCAACAGAAATGAGGCGTTAAGGATTAAAGCGCGATTATGACACTCTTCCGGCGGTGTTGCAATATGCTTGCACAAAATTTGACCGAAGGACTTAAATGCGTCGTTTGACTCTTGTTTGCTGTAGCGATTATTAAACACAATGGTCGGTACGGACAATAGCGGACTCTGAAATTTGACGGTCTGATCTCCCAAGGCCGCCAGGTACTTTGATCCTGTAAACAAAATGTTAATGTGACTTTTGTTTTATGTTTAAAACATGCGTCGACTTACCGTCGATGTGATTGACACAGTTCTCGATCCACATGTAATTGGGAACGCTATTGTCGCGGGCGCAATCGTCGATCGGAAACACGTACTTGTCGGACCCGTCGTCCGGATTCATGCCCTTCGTCGTCGCGTTCATCAGGCAATTGAGAAAGTCCAAGGTGATCGGGTTAAAGCCGTAACCGTCGGGCGTCTTCGCCGACTTCTCGATCACGTTGAGCGCGCAGCCGTGTATCTTGTTGCCGTGACACTCGTACGGTCCGTGGTGGCAGGTGAACTCCCACTGCTCGGGCGAAACTTGCGTTTGCTGAACACACACGCGCGGTTAAAGGCGGCTCGCGAGGGCGGTCATACTCACGTTGCTCTTGCCGTAGGGCACCAGGGTTAAGTCGATCCATTTGGAGAGGTTGGTCTGTAGAAGCGGGTGAAGTTGAGTCGTGAAGAACTTGCGCGAGTCGGGGCACAGCGACTCGTAGTAAACGGTGACGGGGACCTAAAGTCGAGCGCTTAAGAAAGCGAGTGGCGAGGAATGCCTTACCTTTTCACCGGTTACGCAAAGCACACCGGATAAAATTGTTAAAAAATATATCGGGATCATTTTGGGAGCAACACTTTCAAATAGCAAAACTAGATTCTTGTTAAACAATTAATTAATTCCGCTTACAACATCGTTAAAAGGAAAGTTTGATAAATGCGTTGCGGGGTCCGGGGAGGGTCGTTGAGGAAGCCAGCGTCGGCACATTGGGGTACGTATTTCGTTCGCCTCACCCTGTACATAGAAACAGATGCGCGTAGTAGTTCAAACGAACCACCTTACATAACCTCTACAACTTTGCAGACGTGGAACTTGCACTGCTACAGACAGCGATCCCCTCAGTGTTTAATGGCCATTTCCTGGTGAGGACTTCTCCAGCGAGATCCGGACTTATGTAAGTGTGCTACCGATTTGATTAATTTGCCTCGTTTTTGTTGCAAAATGTTTCTTTTTAATGGAGAGCACAACAAATCTTTTACTATGAGAGAGTTCTAAGAGCTCAACATTTTGGGGGAGAATGAAGCGCCGGGCCCCTCCAGGCGAGAGAGCCATGACGTCATATGGTAGTTTTTGGGGAAAGAATAATCGTTTCCTTTTATGTGCCCCCCAGACTCCTCTGTGCTATGCTCTTCCCCGCAATGCTATGATTTTTGTGGAAAGTGTCAAGTCTAAATGTTATTTTCTGGAAGATATATCAACATTCTAAGGACCAAACATTGTGGGGGGGAATGTAGCACCGGGGGGTCTTTATGCTCCTGATGCGAGTAATTAGCAATAACGGGAGAAGTGGTTTAGCAGTCTTGTTCCTTTTTTCTTGCCTTACGCGCCTGATATTAAAACTACACATACGAGCAAGAATCTTATCTGTGCTCCTGGTACCCAGTTTATTTTCTGGGGAGTCCGATTATTACTCATTTAGCACGAGGGGCTTTTTAGGCTACCTAAAAGTTATAAAGGACCGCGAAATGCGAGCAAGAAATTTTTCTGTTCCCCTGATACTAATAATTTTTCTTTAAAAGTTCTGTTATTTGGAGAACACTTGGTCATTTCATGTTTTGGCGTTCTGCGCTCCTGATACTAATCATTTTTTTCTTAGGTTATGATTATTTAGCACTCATTCAGTAATCTCCCTCTAGTCCTGCGCCTAGGAAATTGTTTTACAGTAGTGCAGTAATTTTTTTTCTGATCTGCGCTCCTGATGTAATTGTTTTGGGAGAATAGTAGGAGATACTGCGTAAGGGTAATCATTTTTATTTACAAAGAGTCTTATCACGAAAATCTGTATTTACCAATCGCTATTATTATCTCTTTCCTGTCCTGCGCTCCTGATACGAATCATTTTTGACCTTTTTAAGTGTACGCAATAATTGTTTCGGTGATTTTGTTACTAGTAATTGAGTAGAATTTGGTTACTTATTTTGGAATCGTCCTGCGCTCCTGTTATTGGTTTAGGGTGATGGGTAGTGAAAGACTACGAACTGTAAAAATGTTCGTCTGTGCTCCTAATATTCATAATTTTAGCAAGAGTATATGAATGAGCTTTTCTGCTCAGTTTGGCTATTGGGAGCACGCTCCTGGTACCTGTATTGGGTAATTAATGAGTAACGAGCCTCCTGTATTCTGAGCTCCTGATCTTTTAGAGTAATTAGAAGAAATTGATGATAATTTATTTCTATTATCCTTATTTGTTACTACTTTACACTTTAAATAATATTAGAGCTCGGCCCCCCCCTCCAGTCGCGAGTCGAACCATCTAATCGTCCGGTTTACGCATCTTGCACAGATGCGACAGCGGCAGCAGAGTAATCTTATTTTTAAACTTGACGATACCCTCCTGAGAGTCGAAGGAGAGGAGTTCGCCGATCGCCTCCCGTTCCTCGCCGATGATCACCTGCAAATGAGCTCGTTTAAAATTCGCGCACGCGCCCACGACGCGAGTACCTTAAATATGTCGCCGCGTTGAGGTTGAACGGGATCGAGATGGTCGCACATTATGGTGACGACGCGGTCTTCTTCGGGCAGAAAGACCGAGCACATTGAGCCCGAGATGCTACGTATGACGCCGGTCTGGCCGACGAGGCCTTGGTCGTCGTGACTGTCGCGTATGCGCACCTCGATGTCGATTGTGTGCCAATCGGTCATCGGTAGGACCTCCAGGTTCGCGCCCGGTGTTTGGGGGTTGTATGGCATGTTCGGGCTGTAACCGGTGCTGGGGGTGTTGTACGGGTTGTTGCTTGACGGCGATTGGCTGTAGCCGGTCGCCGGGCTCGGGGTCGACACCACGCCTACAATGGGTTTAGTGAATTCGGGCGGGGCGCGTGTGATTACTTACTTTGGTAGCCGGGACTGGGTTGGTACGGGCTGTATCCGCTTTCGTTAAACATCGTTCCGGGCGTCTGGGGCGTGTACGGTCCGTTCATTTGATAGCCGGGCGTGCTCGGGTTGTAGCCGGGCGACGGGTACGTGTTGGACGCGGTGGGGTCCCACTCGGAGTGAGCGTTGGGAGTGCGCGAGCCGTCGTGCAACGGCGTCATCGAACCGTAGTGCAGGGGAGTACGAGAGCCGGCGTCCGCCATCGGAGTCTTATTGCCGCTGTCTCTGTAGAGCGGAGTTTGGCTGCCCGAGTACGCGGGCGTTCTGCCGTAGCTCGTGCTGCCGGGATCGCGAGTCGGAGTTCCTGAAACATGTATGTGGTTTTTTGCGTTCTGCGTCAATTTACTCCCCCCCCCTCCGTTTTAGAAATGAAAAATGTTGTTTTGCGCCCGTTTGCAGTTTGTTTGCGCACGGCCCGTTTCAAAATTACGATAAAGTCAAATTTGGGAGGGGGGGGGGGCAAAATTCACTGCCTGACAATTTTCCAAAAATACTTTCGTTTGCGCCCCCGCCGTTTTTCAGTTATTCCAAATATAAAATTTCATTCTGCCCCTTCGCCATCAGTTTTTAAATTTGATGTTTCCCAAATTTGAAACGTGGGGGGGGGGGGGCAGAATGGAATTTTGAATTTGAAATAACTGAAAAACGGCGGGAACGCAGATATCCACCCTGTTACAAAATAATTGGGAAATTGGCGACTTTGCTCCTTCTGCCCCTCGTGCAAACGGTACTTACCGACGTCGGCAATATGGTTCTTGTCGACCGATATCGTCTGGCAGGAGGTGTGAAGTTCGATTCTCGCGGTGGACTGCGTCGCGTCCTTGACGATGCCGATGTTACCCTTGTAAGGGCCTCGAGTGATTTTGATGGTCGATCCGATGAGATCACGCTGGCGGGTGACACGGCCGTGGCCCCCACCTCTCGGAGTACCGAAACCTCCGCCGCCGCCTCCGCCCCCGCCCCCGGAAGGATGCATGGGCGAGCTGCGGCGAGGCGACATGAACTCCATGTTCGTCGTCACCTCCATGGCGGGCGCGGTTTTGTTGCCGCCGGCCAATTGCAAGTGCTTGGTCTTGCAAACGAAAATTCCACCGTTCTGCAAGTACTCCAAGGAATGTAAGAACGCGAAATTCCTGTAGAGGTGCTTAATTTCGCCGGCGAAGCCCGAATGGGGCCCGTCGATGACCTTGACCATATCTTTCCTGTGTAAATTGTTTCGGAACGAATCCAAGGCGGCCGTGAAACGATTCAGCCGCCGCTTCTGCAGGGAACTGGGCCGACACTCGACCACCTTCCCGTGCATATTTAAAATGTGGAAATTCTCGCGTTCCAACCTGACGATCACGCCGACAGTCTCCGAATCCAAATTGACGAGATCTCCCCATTCGAACTTGCCCAAGGAGTCGACGCCGCTCGCCATATCCGTACACAGCTGCAGATCTTTCGGGAGGATTTCCATTTCGTGCATGGTCAGGTCGGAGATCAAGACGACGCGATTATTCTCGACCCGCACTATCAGCCCGGTGTCGCCCTCGTAGCGCCCCGACAGCACTTTGACGTGGTCGCCCATGCTGAAGTACTTTTTCAATTCGGACGCCTGGAAGATGAGGGCGTCCTTGAGATCGTCGTGCTTCGGCATAACGGTGATCATATTTCCGTCGATCGTCACGATGCGCCCCCGCAAGTTAATCAGCTCGCCCTCGCACACCTCGACGTTATCGCCAGCGCTGAAGGTGTGCGTTAACGCCTTGTCTTCCTTCTCGGTCGGAAGTTCCAAGTCGATTCCCTCGGGCTGCTCCTCGAAGCGTTCCAGCTCGGCCAACGTCGGCTTTACGCCGTCCACGATTACGGCGCTCAACGTAAAGTTCTTGTACAGGAAGCCCTTGCGAGAGTAACGATTTCCCTCGAATATTAAAAAGTCACCGTCTGAAGTTACTTCACCACCGATTGCCCTAACGGAATAACCCTGTGATTAGTATTGCTTCTGCTCTCCTAATACACAAACAGCACAAAAAGGGGTGTCATAAGGTAGAGGGCGCACACATATATATATATATATTTTTTTTTGCGAAGGATCTACTTGCCTTATAGCTTCAGGATCGAAAGGTTTACTAGGGGGACGCCTCTTCTTCTTGCGTTTCTCCGCATCGGACTCCTAGAAAACAATCATCGATCAATTGCCAAAAACGACCGGCGTTCGCGAACCGATTGCGTAGTACGTAAGGCGCCCCGCAGCCGAGTGTAGTCGATCCTCGGCAACAGCTTGAGATGCACCTGATTCTGGGCCATATCGAAATAGTCGACCTGCGCGATGTCGTCCTTGTACAGGCCGCGCTTGAGCCGCACCCACTGCTTCGACTTGAGGCCCGTCTGTTCCTTAACGACGCGCAGCACGTCGGTCATCTCCTTGATCGGCACCATCTGCTGCTTCCACAGTCCCATTCGTAAATTGCCGACGTTCTCGATCGACGCCTTGACGTGCGGCTGCTTGTACGCCTCGATGTAAATGTACCCCTTGACCCCCTCGGGCGCGACGACCGACTTGATTTGCAGAGGTTCGTTCGTGTTCTGATACGCGAGGAATTTTCGCATCAGCAGCAGAACGGTCGCCTTCTCCTCGCCGATCCGGCATTTCACCATCCACAAATTCGGATCTCTAAATTTTGACGTTTCAACACGAGAACGTACTTTAGCAACGTACTCACTTTACGCCGGGGAGCAGGGTCTGTTGCGTGATTTCGTCGGACATCTCCTCCCCGCCATCCCCGAAGTGTCGGGCGGCCGCACCGTCATCGGCGTACTTCTTACGCAAGTACTCCTCGATTTCGTGCTCTTTCTGTGAACTAAAATGCGAGCTACCACAAATTACAACGCGACAACTTACTCCCAGAGATTAGTGCCGCGTCGTCGCCCTTCGATTTCGCGAGCCGTCGGCCCCAGCTCGTCCACCTCGTTACCGACAATACCAATCTCTTGAGCGCCATCCTCCCATTCGTCCTCGTCTTCCACCTCGTCGTCGACCTCAGCCTCGTCGATAATAAAACCACCGTAACGATCCTTCTTCTTACGTTTGCGCCGGTGGCCCGAATCACTTTCGTCCTCCTCACTGTCATATTCTTCGCTGTCGTGTAACGAGTCGCCTTCGGGTTCCTGCTCTTCTTCGACTCGTTCCCCGTCCGATGCCTCGCGTGCCTCCGAACTGAAAAGCTCGCGGTAAAAACAGAGTTCTCTAGAAATTGACATACCCAGAGCGACTGCCCGAACGGGACCGCGACCGGGAGACGGAACGACGGGAGCCACGGGACTCGACGCTGCTCTGCCTGGAGCGGTTCGATACGGGCGAGCCCCTCTCCGATCCCGAGGCTTCGGCGTCCGAGAAATTGCTCGCTTCTGAGTCGGACATTCTCACTTTTCGCTTGCTAAACCCCTAAATTCGCGAATTGAAGAAAAAAACTACACAAAATTCGGTTTTTTAATCAACACAAAACAGTTAGACGCCATTTTGTTAGTCCGCCATTTTAAAACCATAGATCAAATGTCAGAAATAATTTGATTATACAGGGTGAACAACAATATTGTATCAGGAGAGCGTAATGATTGAATAATGTACAAATACTAAGCGTTTTCCGAAAAAAAACTGTATTTCTGGGGGGGGGGGGTATGGAACACCCATCAGAGTAGGTACCCTCGGCAAAAAGGAGAGCTTGATAATTCTTTCTTTATGGAATACCCCCTAACATCACAGAGAGTACCCTTGGCAAAAAGGAAGGTTTGGTAGTTTTTTTTTCTATTACTCTTAGCACTCTAGTTGCATTAATTAGCAAAAAGGTTTCGAGACCTTTGTTCGTGTAATTTAAAAATGAAATTTGTATCAGGAGAGCATAATTACATTTAAAAAGGCCTTTCAATCATGTCTACATCTTCTTACTTTCTTGTGATTTCAATACTCAACTGTCTCTTGCGTCAGGAGAACATAAAGACCTTCTCGCTTTCATGTAATCCGAATACAATGTAAGTACATTTAAAAATCTATTTAAAATGTACAATACAAAACAACAGAAAACGCGGTTAATCACAAATAATTATATTATGTTTTTCTGCTAATTTTTCTCACAAAGATCACCGTATCAGGATCACAGAAATGCAAGAAGGTTACAATTAAAGTGTAATTAATTGCATAGTATAGTTTCTTTTTACAATGTTCTCCTGATACATTTTCCTGTAAAAACTTATTGACTCAAGAGAATTTAGTCTATTATCAAAAACCTTCTAGGGTATTATGTTCTCCTGCTATAAATGTCTGTCCCAAAGATTACCGTATCAGGCTCACAGGAACACAATATTTATTGTCGTACACCTGCTTCCGTTTCATGTTTTCCGATGTCTTCCGAATTGTTTAAAAGGCCTTAAAATGCTTGCCGACCAACCAAGCCCTTTGAAAGTTCTATTTTAAAACCAATCAAAGCTCTTTAACGCGCAATGGAAGTTCTAAAGGGCGGGGAAGATTTTTGTTGCGAGAGAATTAGACACTCGTGAAAGTTCTTAAATATTTTAATACGCTTGATTTGGACTTCAGTCTTGTAGCAGGAGAATATAATGTGCGAGAAGCTCTTAAGACAAGAAGTATCAGTTAGTCTTGTAAAACTTCTCTGAGTACTAGGAGAACATGATCTACGAGAGGGTTTTTCACCAAGACCCCGGACGAGGGGCGAGTTACCTACTCCAAGGGTGGAATCTAATAAAATTTATTAATTTTGACATATTCCATTTTGCCTATTAATCAAAAGTGAAGGTTGCAGGTATCCACGTGCCAAATGTAACGTCAAAACATGACAGATTTTTATCTAAACGAATCCAATAATTTATCCCAGTACAAATGCGACCAGACGATCATAATAAACGAAAAATACCTGAAGGAAATCTGGAGATTCCATTCCGAATGCGAACCGAAACGCGAACCAATCGACTGGTACCCCCTAGCGAATTCGTACTACCCGCGCACGGAAGACGTCGACGCATGCGCGCGCGTCGGTCACCTCCTGAGCACCGAACGCGACGCGACCTTCGCGCCCGAAACCGCCTGCGATTGCTCGTGCGAGGAGGACTGCTACTCGGAGCGTTCGGCCCAAATCAAGTACTTTTCGGCGGAGCCGGCCGCGTTTCTGATAATCGGCAAACCGGAGCTGGGCGGTGAGCAGTTGGGGCGGCTCCTCGCCGATCACTGGAGGTGCGTCTACGTCGAGCCCGAGAATTTGATCGCGGAGGAGATCGCCGGTAGGACGCGGGCCGGCGTCGCGATCGAGTATAACTTGCGCGTCGGGAGAGCGATCGGCGCCGGCACCGTTTTGAGATTGATCGCGAAACGGCTGGGCACCGAAACCGTGAAGCATCGCGGTTACGTGCTGTGCGGTCTTCCGCTGGTGCCCAACGGGCTGTTTCACCAGGAGGCGTTAAGCGATGACAGCACAATTTTCGACGTGCGAAACGTGCTCGACGAAATTCTGGCGAACGTGGACCAACTTGGCGTGCCCCCCGCCTCCAAGCACAAGCTGCTTCAGTTTGAAATCGAGGACCCCCCGCCTGATTTTGGAGGGGCGGATTTGGGTAGCGAAGACGGCGATGATGTGTGTAGCACCTTTGGCGAGGACCAACTCGAGTTCATCTTTCGACGCCTTCACAAGTCGTCCGTTGTGATATACATGGCGTGCCCCAACGGTGACGTCATCAGGAAGCGCGCGGGCTACCGACTCGACGTCGACACTAACCAAACGGTCGACTCGCAACAGGAGCTCAACGAGAAAATGATCTACACGCACTTCTCGCAAACTCCCGGCGTTGCCAACGACGAGGAGTTACCTGAAGATTTCATCGACGTGGTGAAGGACAGTCGGATGGTGTTCGGCAGGTCGCAAGGGAGGCTGCTGGTGCGAACACCCCAGAACTTCCCGAGTAATGTGAGCGCCACCTTGGATCGTTTCCGCCAGAGTGCCATGCCGGAAATCGAACGCTTTGTTTTGGCGCACGATCCCCAGCTTGTGATCAGGGTGGATGGGCGAATTTCGGTCGTTCGCATGTTTTACGCCGTGAAGATGAAGCTGGAAACGCTTCCTCTGCAAAGGGTGGCGGTGCCCGAGCTTTGTCTCGCCTCGAGTGAGACACCTGGTGAGGCTGGTCCGGCAGACGGATTGAACATTGACGGTTTAACTGTGGAGGAGTGTTTCGCCCTGTTTTCGAGGCGAAACGTGGCGAGCTCGATGTTTAAGTGGGGGTGGAGCGACTGGGGCTGCAAGTGTCCCGTTTCCATGGTGGACGGTTACGAGATTCGGGGCGATCCGAACTACGCCGTGCATTTCATGAGCAACATCTTCTTCTTGGCCAACCAGGAGGCGTGCGCGAGGTTCCAACGGAATCCGCGCCCGTTTCTGTTGCCACCGTGGCCGAAACCGACCTGCCGGATTTACGTCATGGGTCCCAGACTGTCCGGGAGGACCTCCGTCGCGAACTGTCTGGGGTACGTCTTCAAAGCGGCCGTTCTCAACTACGACCAGTTGATGCACAGCTGTTTCACGGCGAGGCTCAACGAGTACCGCAACGGAATTCGGAGCAAGGCTCTCGAGCACGCGCTCGGCGTACTTAACGCACAGCGGCAGGGGGAGTGGGACGAACTGGAGCGAGAGAGAGCGCTGAAGATCGACGAGTGGGCGTTCGGCCAGCGGGAGGCGATCAAACAGCTGATCCGTTTGAGGAGGGACATCGCCGAGCTGGAGTCGCAAACCGCGTTTTTTCCCGTATCCTCGTTTCCGTTGCAGCTTTCCTACAGCAAGACGGTCGAAAGCTCCGACGGTAACGCGCGCACGTCCGTTTCGACGCTCCCCCTCGCGAAACTGAAGGAGATGGCGAATGAGCTGGAGCGAACGATGGGCGTGCCACCTCTTTCGGATTACGAGGAGCTATTACACGACGTGGATCAACTGTACAAGTATCTACCAGAACACTTGCGGCAACCCACGGAGGCGGTCGTACCCGCCTCGGAGTCCGACGAGCCCGTGCGACTCTACGTCGAGGAGGCCTTGAGGAGTGCGTCCTACGATCACCTGGAAATGACAATGGAGCACAAGGTGGAGGTGCTGACGCGAAGTATTAAAGAGATCGAAGACCGCAACCGTAGCCGAGGAGGTTGGATCGTTGACGGCGTCCAGCCCATCCCTCAACTCTTCCAGGAGCTGAATCCCGACTACACCCCGACCTTTATAATTCTGCTAGCCGACGGCCACGAGATTCTCCTCGAGCGCTTCCCCAAACGCGGCCAAAACGAGTTCCGGGACTTTCGCGGGTTATTCCACGAGATCGAAAAGGAGGAGGCGGCTTGGAGGTCTCCGTCTGTTACCTCGACGGTTAGCTATCGGGAGCGAAACATGAAGCGCGTCGTCGACGAGATTTTGGACGAGATCGACGACGGTCGCCTGGAGAACATCGTCGCGTACACGCGCGACCTCCACCAGTTCGACGTGGACTTCGCCGGGCTAAGACCGAAGCTGGTGGAGTTCGGCATCGACGTTCTCCCAGTCACCGTCTCACCCTCCTTAAAGGACACGCTGAAGGAGGCGGTGCGCCTCGTCGAAAACCGCTACCGGCGACCCGCCTCGGAGTACACGGAGCTGGACCGCGCCGAAGAGGTGCAAGATCTCGGCGGCGGACTCGAACCCGAAGAAAAGGAGGACGGCCCCGACGACATCTTGGCAAATCGCCGCTACGGCGACACCTTCCACTACTGCCCGGTCGCCTTCGCCGAGCACCGCGTGCTTTGGAGGGGCAAGGAGGAGTTCGCCGCCAAATTTCAGGACAAGGTCTACACCTTCGCCGACCGGAGCGCTCTGGACGCCTTCGTCGGCGACCCGTACCGCTATCTTCCGCCGCGTCGCGCGAAAATTCCCCCGCCTCGCGTCTGCGTCGTCGGGCCGCGGGCCTCCGGAAAGTACGCGCTCGCCGATCGACTCTGCCGAAACTTCGGGCTTTGCCGTCACCAATTCGCGAACCTGGACCGCGCGCTCGGGGCGCTATGGACCTCGGAGCGCGAGCGGGTTTTCGGCTTCGTTCTCAGCGGTTTTCCTAGGCGACTCGCGGACCTGTCGTTCATGCTAGAGCACCACGCCATCCCCGATTTGGTCATCGAACTCGCCGCCGACAAGAACGAGGTGCGCGAACGTCTCCTAGCGAGATTCGGCGGGCTGGGGGAGGACGAGTTCGAGAGTTTCGTAAATGAAGTTGAAGATTCCTTCGCCAAGGAGCTCGAGGACCTGCAGGAGACCAGGGAAAGGTGCCGACTGGAGCAGATCCCGTGGGTGACAGTCGACTCGTTTACGCAAGCGGCTCGGGTCGTCGACGGGCTGAAGTTTCGCAACGAGTCCGCATTCGAGAGGGTTTACGAGGTGTCGGTCGATCTCTCGGAGAGGCTTCTGTCGTCGGGCTACTACTTTTTGAGCCGATTCGGTAGGTGGTGTCCGGTCGACGGGTCCAGTCCGGTTCAGATGTACCTGAAGTCGAAGGAAACCTACCAGCTGACCCCTTGCATACATCGCCAGTACGTCTACTTCATCGCGCGAAAAAGTGACGTGGAGAAATTCAAAGCGAACCCGCTGAGGTACACGTCGCAAGCTGGACACGTGCCCAAGGCGCAGGTGCCGTTTCGACTCGCGATCGTCGGGTCGCCGAGGTCGGGCAAGACGAGCCTGGCCGAAAGGTTCCGGAGGGAGCTCGGGCTTCAGGTGGTGACGCGCGGGAAAGCCGGAAGGTACGTGCTGAATTATTTGAGGTTTTCCCAACTGGCCGAAAGTATGGACTCGGTGCTGCGGTTCGGTTGGCAGCTGAGCGAGGAGTGCGCGATGAGGGCTGTGGAGGCGATTTCGTTCGACTCGAAATGTGTAACTCTGGGAATGGTCATGGATGGCTTCCCCGAGAGCAGGACCGAGGTTCGCGCCCTGGCGACCGCCGGGCTGGTACCGCATTTGGTTATCAACCTGAACGCAGACCTGCCCGTGGTGAGCGAGTTTCGTGGGAGCGCAGGCAAACGGGGACTTCCGCCTTTTTCGGAACGGTTCATTAGCCACCGGTACCACCAGGTTAAAATGCTAGAGCCCATCTTTCAGGAATGGTTCCAGAGTGAGTACCAAGTGCTCAAGACTATTCAGGTGGGGCCCTCCAGGTGGCGGGCTTGGAACCAAAGCCGGGATTTGGCAATGGACGCCTTTTCTCAAGTTCAACATTACTTCAGCCACGCTTCGGCTGATACCCCCCTCCACCTCGCGCACATGCTGGTCACGCCTTTAGAATTCATCGAGCGCCAAAGCGGATACAAGAACTACTGCCCTTGCTGCTTGTACTTCGACAATTGTTTAATCGACGGTGGCTCCCCCCCGGACCGTACACGACTCTTGCAATTTCGCGAATACTTCTACTTCATCTGCAGCTCCCACACGGAGCACTTCCTCGGCGATCCCCTCAGATTTATCTCGCCCTACAATCCACGCCAGTTACCCGACCAAGTCCCAGTTCGCCCCGCCCACATTCCCCAAGGAAACCCCTACTCTGAGGGCAACTGCATCGTGTGTTACACGCAGAATTTACCCCGCCACGTGATCCACCCCGGCAGTCGCCTGCTGACGGTGGTTTACCGCGAAAAAATCTACCGTTTCGACACCGAACCATGCCTCCAGACCTTCATGCGGGAACCCCACCTCTTCTTCTCCAAGGTGATCAACTACGACGACCCGCTCCCGGCGCTCCGTCCCCAAGACCTGCCCATACCCGGCTACCTTCAGCAGGACGACGCGCATCAGCTCGTGCGCGCCATCAACAACACTCGCATACTGCGACCGGTGATACCCGGCCTGAGCGTAGAGCAATCGGCGGCCCTTAACGTGGGCTTTCACCTGAAAGTGAACAACCCCAAGACGACGGAGAGATTTCTGCCCCTTTACGCGGAGGCGAGGGAGACGTTCAATAGGAGACGATTAAGTCTGCTGAGGCGGCTGGACGAAATGAAGCGGATGATTAATCCGTATTTATACTACGAGGAACCGATGCCGAAGTTTGTCGATCCGTTGGCCGACAGTTCCCGAGCAAGTAGCGTTCCTACGAGTAAGGTATTCGACGAGCATGATATTAATTAGGAAATTAATGTTGTTCAATTCTAATAAAAGTACAAGTTGAGAGGTTCCACCCTGTATATACAACTTACGACGATACATACATTTTTGAGAGTTGGCAACCATGCAATTTCTGGCGCCACCTAGAAAGCACGAAGGGGGGTTACGCTTGGCATTTTGTGTTAAATGGCGGTCGTGAACGCGTCGCTCCATAAATGTTTGTTGTTATTTTGTGTTATTTAATGCATTTCTTTCTATCGTATTTGTGTTTTGTATGCCACATTTTATATTTTGTGTGTGTTTGAATCTTTGTTTTTGAAATTTACTTGGTTTAACCGCAATGCAGAATCACAGATTTGATACCGTTATGCTATTGTTTGTAATTGTTTACGGTTTTGGTGTAATGCTTGCTTAATTTAACAATTTTTTTAATAAAACACACTTTTTCAGCCTGAACAGCAATTTAATCTACCTGAAACCCTTTGGTGACTACACTTCCGGCGGTTAGTGACTAAAATCGCACGGATTGCGGAACGTACATACTACTGGAACGGAACTTGAGGTACAGCTCGTCGAATTTTGAAGCGGGCGACTGCACGTAGCTCAACTGCACCTTGGCAACCTCGCCCTTCTTCTTCTTGGAGTCGGCCGCCGCCAGTTGATCGTAAGACCTCGTCAGCCCGTAGATGGTGTCGTCCCCCTCGTGGTTAATCATCACATTTTGAAAGTAGCTGTTTTCCACGTAAAACGCTGTCTTGTCGATGGGGCGATCGAACGGAAATCCCAGGTCGAAGTCGTCGTGACGCTCGACGCCCAGTCCAACTATCGGCACGACCGCGTCCTTCTCCAAGACCAACGGCTTGTAAGGGCTTACGATGACGTACATGTAGAAAGTCTGTCCGCTCGCTCGTCCCTTAGGCAGCAGAAACCGTTTGGGGAACGCGTGCGGTTTCTCCGCCACCTGCACCTTCTCGTACATCTTCCGGAAGCTGACGCGATCGTCATTGAACAGCAGATCCTCCGAGTTTCTCACGACGACGTTGGCGCCGCTCGCCAGCTTGTAACGGAAGCGGTCAATCTCGACGAAGTTCAACCGATTCTCCTCCAGCTCGATGAAACGCCCGTACTCGTCCCACTTCGGCCCGATGAACACCCGCAGCACGCCCTCGACGTTCTCCGCGCTGCTGACGTTAATCCTGTAGCTGAACGGTTTGTGATTCAGCCGAAACTGTCGGACGTGAATGTCGAAATCGTTCCCCTGAAACTCGTCGTCGTTAACGTAGACCGCGTTCGAGATGTCCACGTCGAAATTATCGAAGAACGTCACGAGTGGATCGACGGAGATGCCCTCGACCTTCACGCCGGCAAACTGCAAGTAGCCGCGCGCGTACGGCTCGAGATTCCTCTTGTACTTCTGGAAGTGAATGATCAGACGCTTGTAGAGTTGCCAGAAGCCGGGATCGCGCATCGAGGTCTCGAAGTTCTCGAGCGCCGACGGTACCGTCTTGTACGGGCCGAGAGCTTGGAACGTGTAGCCGATCAGGTGGCGCGCGTAGACGAGCAGGTGACCGTAATACTGGGAGTTGATCGCCTGCGGATTCGCCTCGAGAATGTCGGCGAGCGTGTTGAAACCGTCCGGCGTGTAGATTCCCACTTGTTTTCCGTCCTCCTGAAAGTGAAATTCTACGTTAGCGAACCTCTTACATTTCTGCGCCCCTGATCTGAGACCAGGAGAATATAAATGTAAGTTATCAAACTCCTGTACGCCTGATAAATCCATGAAACCGAATGGATCATAGTTCGTAAATAGCGAAAAACGCGGCGTCGGGATGTGACGACCCCATCGCCCATCGCCTAATTGCAGGTGATGCAATCAGTCACGATGTAACAGCTGAAGTTTTTGTGCTCCTGCTCAAAAGAACCGACAAAAAACTGACGACCTACATAATTACTTTTCTGTGCTCCTAATACTCCTTATCAAAAAACTACGGAAGATTTATTGTTTTTGATCTTGAAGCTTTCTTTAATCGGTTGTTCTTCGCAGAAGAACAAATTCGATCAAATACTCCTTTAGCTTTCTGTGCGCCTGATAGTTTTTAGATTTAAATCTTTGGTCAAAGGAGAGTATTCAAACACTTTTCTTTTTTGAGCCCAATTTTAAATATGTTCTTTTGCGCAAAAAATCGAAAAATGGTCAGGAGCGCATAATCGTCTGTTTAATGCTCACTAAATCTGTTGTTTAGCAGCTGGATTTCATGCAATGTTGAAGAGTATTGGAAGAACGGAGTTTGTAGAATCTCCAACGATACTTACTACTGTGCTCCTGATACTCCTGCCGTCAAAATGGAAACATTTGCGCTGTGTACCAACTGCTGGTATGTAGAAATGCTTACATTATATGATTCGGAAACCAAAACAGGCACATCTTTGAGGTATAATTAAAACTGCTTGGGTACAACTTACCAAGACAGAGTATCGGGAGAACATAACTGCCAGATGCTTTATAAACTACCTAATTAATTGTCTGTGCTCCTAATACTCCTATTTATCTCGTATGAGCCCGTAAGCCTTGAGTTTCTGTTTGCCCTTCAAGAGTTTTCAATGATCTTCACAGTATTTTAATAGCTTTTAGACTTTCTGACAGACATTTAAGAACCCTTGAGAACGTTAAGGGTCTATCTGTACGTTTAAGGGTGTTTAAAACTCTTGAAGGGTTGCCAACATCTTCCTAAAGCCTCTAAGAATCTCTAAAAGTTTACTTAAATATTTAAGAAATTCCATGGGTCTTCAAAGGCTTCCAAGAGACTCAAGAGCCTTACATTTTCAAAACCTTTAAAAATCCGTAATATGCTTAAGGTCTGGTAGAGTCTTTAAGGGCCTTCTAAAAACGTTTGGGCTTAACATTGTCCCCAACTTGTAATAGCTGAGCCTTAAGAGCGTTTGTCAGACAACTGTTAAAGAATCTTAAAAGGTCTCTAGAACCTTTCAAGAATTTGACTTTTAAGCATCAAGCTTTTAAAGGATTTATTAATCTTTCATTGTCTTTAAAAAATTCCAAAGGTCTCCCAGAGATCTTTTAAAGTCAGCAATCTTTAAGTACTTTAAAGGGGCATTTAACAGTCCAATCTCGCTTCCAATTGTCTGGTAATAAACCCTTTAACAGTCTGCAGATTTTCATAGTCTTCCACCATGTTAGTCTCTAAGATATCGGCCTTTAACAATTTTTCTGGACCTTCAATTCTCCCATAAAGTTCTTTAAATTCGCCCAGATGTTTCTCGACTTCTTCGAATCTCATACTTCAAATTTCGTAACTGACCAGCGCAAAGGAGGTAATATAACTTCCGTCGCGTGGTAGATTCTCTCCTCTTATTTTTTACTCGTAGGTTCATACATTCGCTATATTCAAATTAAATCAAATAAATTAACTTTTATGTAGCTTGGCAACACGGCATTGTGTACAAGTTCAAATCGTTGCAGGTGTAAACACATCTTTACCAATACCGCGGTCCATTAGCCACCACTGCAATTTTACATCAAAATGGCGTCAATGCATTTCTAACCTTCAAATGGGAATAAAATTTTGATTTTGTGGTGAAGGAAAAGTCTTAATTTTCGCATTTCCCCATAATTTACAGGTACGAAAGTCTATCGCTTACCGTAATAACGAATCCCAAGTCGATAGCGTCACGAATTCGCCTCTCGTAGTCCATGACGCGATTATAGGCGTAGGGGTACGGTCCCTTCGTCGAGAAGCTCTGCCCGTGATTGTAGTAGTTCATGAAGAATTTGGCCCAGTTCGGCCGTTGCGGGAACTGCACCCCGTTCGGATAGGTCATCGACGGAAAGTAGCCGGTCTCGAAGGCGTCCTCGTAGTCGTAGCTTCCAATCTCGCCGAGATGATTCGACAGCCGCTCGAGGTAGTATCGCGCGATGAGCTGCTGGTAGAAGTAGTAGTACTGCTCGCCCCGTTTGTACGTGTTGACGCCGAGCTCCTCGATGTTCATCCAGCAAGGTCGGTACAGGTTGTAGAAGTAGTAGTAGGCGGCGATGCCAACGTCTTCGGTGAAGTAGCTCATCGCCTGCTCTGGGTGCACGTTCATGTACCAACCGGAGTAGTTCGCTTGGAAGTGGAACTCTACGAGGGGAAAGGTTAGAGTTTGTCGCGACACGAATTGCGGCTTACCCGGGAGGGGCCGGCCCACCTGCTTGTAGCGTTGCGCTTTCTGTATGACCTCGGTGTTGAAGAAGTAGTAGGGGTTGACCTCGTAAATCGGCGGGAGGACCATGTCGAAGGTGTCCGCGCGGTTTTGTAGCGCGATCGACAGCGCGTAGAGAAAGACGCCCTGGTTTACGTTGAAGCGGGCCCAGCACGCCGATTTGTAGAACGTGTCGAAATCCTTGGCGAAGTAGAAGACCTTGAAGAGGGCGGCGGCCTCTTCGAGGTGCTCCTCGTAGAATAGTCCGTAGATTTCGTCCATTGGCAGTAGGCCGTACTCGTACAGCTTTAAGAACTCGTCGACCAGCTCCGGGTGCTACATTAATAGTCATTACCCGAAACCGCCTTTTCGGGTTACTCACCGTGTACTTGTCGATGTTCGCCTTAATGCTGAAGGTGTTTGCGATGTCGACGTGTTTTTTCAAGCTCGTCCTCTGGTGCATGTACTTGAAGAGGTCGAGGACATCCCGTTGCTGGGACAGTTTGATATCGTCGCCCAGGACGGCGTAAATGCACAAGGTGCACACAAAGAGAACCCTCATAGTGGCAAATGGGCCTACGTTTCCCGTCGTATTTATAACCTCACTTAAGAGGCTGTAAAAATCTAATCGGGACCTTTTGATAAACCCCACAGGTTGTAAAAGTCGTGACCTTTTGCCACCAATAAATTATTACAGTCGTACGAAACGATGCGTTTATTTAAATGAGCGTGTACAAAAACAATAAATTACTTCGAGCCCGTCGACAAAAGTGCGAGTAGTCCGGCCGTCGTACCGACGGAAAAGATGTAGTTGACCGATGGCGCGAAGCTTCGAAGCAGGTAGAAGCTCGCGAATATGACGATCGCCAGGAACAGGGCGTTGTTGTAGAAGATCGAGAAGGTGGTCGCCTCGAAGTCGGCGACCTCGTTCTTCTTCCACAAGATCCGCTCATCCTTCTCCTTCTTGCTCATCTTCTTGTCCTCGGACAGCTTCTTGTTTAGGTCCCAAGCGACCGCGTCCTCGCGTTTCACAGCGATTTTGTGCTTCAACGTGAACTTGGTGTTTTTGTAGGCGATCGCGATTAGGTAGGTCGACGCCACCGTCACGAAGAGGAAGGGCAGAAGCGACGCGTAGACGTCGATCATGTGGATCCTCCAGAAGAGCCAGATGGGTATTGCGGACACGATGAACGCGTTACCGTAGAATAACGCTGACGATTTCGTGGTGACATTCCGGCTGAAGTCCTGCAGGAGCAACTCCTCTTCCTTGGTGAAGGGCTTGGAGGAACTTTTGGGTGGCATCTTCTAGCACAACTCTAAACGAACAATATGCAAAGCGTACTGAACGAACCAAACGGATATTTTCTCTTTACACGTGAAAGGGAACGTTGACACGTTGACGTTCACGTCCACAGCACATTCCACCAGCGCTTCTCAAAATGTACGTATATTGACATTGACGTGCCCACTGTTTTACTACCACAGCGGAGACTGACAAAACTTTGTTGAATGCGTGACACACTTGATGTGACGCATTTGATAGTTGCAGTTCAGCTGTTTGAAACCTTCCTGCTCCGGTTCCTGTTTACTCCTGGATTCTTAGGTGTTACACTGAGTTGCATACACGTTTTCCAGTTCTCTTAGACGCCATAGTCCTTTCAGTCACATCTTCTTAGGCGACACCTCTTGGGCTTTATTTTGGATAAACATCGTGCTTGGCATTTGGCGTACTAAGAAAGAAATTTGGAACATCCTGTATACAACTGATATCGATCTTCTCCTAAGAAGTTCTACGGAGGACGTAGCGCCGGGGGGTCTGGGGGGTTCGGAAAACTCTCCAGCATACGAGAGTTCTATGTCATTTCTAGAATTATAGTACTTGGGGTTATAGGAAAACGAATAGATTATTGAGATTTCCTTTGTTGTAAGTATTGCCGGAGGGTATTCCGTACCCCCCCAGACCCCCCGGGGCACGTTTTCCACTAGAAAGGGTCTCGACCTTCAGGCCTCTAATAATAATTAATGGAAATATCAACAAATCATTTTACAGAGAACGTAGCACCGAGGGGTCTGGGGGGTAGAGTTCCAATGTCATTTCCAGAAAACTCCCAGTACTAGTTGTAGGAAAATGAGTTCTCCTTTTTTTAAATACTGCTGTACTCAACCCAATAATAATATAACTGTAAACGTCAATTTTAAACATCGACTTAAATTAATGGCGGTAACGTCTCGTGCGCCATCTATGTTTTCGCAATCAATTCTTAGGTTACAGTTGAATGCGACCCACGTTCCATTAGTAAACAAAAGAAATCTAACCTCACTTTTAATACCGGTAGTTTACCTTTAACAAAGAGCATGGAAATCGAATCCAAGCACTCAATCGCCGATTCAGTTTGCAAATATTGCGACGAATTAATCTCGACGAACGATCCGGACGTCCTTCAGTGCCAGCAGTGCTGGGAGAACGTCCACACGAAGTGCCTGAAGAGAGGCGCCGTGCCCGGCGGACTTGTCGGCGACGTTTTCTTCCAGTACACCTGCCTCACGTGCTCGCCGTCGCAGTCCGAGCAGTTCGTCCGCGAGAAGATGCCCTGGCTGCAGGCGATCCTTCTCGTTCTATACCACATGCAGACGCGCAGCCCCGGCCTGGCCCGCAAGGGCTACTTCCACTGGAAGATTCACATAGCGTCGTTCATCGATCACAGCTGGGACATTTTATTTCGCAAAGACTTGTAGGTAATTTCCCGATTTAACTCGCACTGACTCTCGTTGCAGCAAACGCAAAAAGAAATGGATGGGAACGATTTCGGGAACGTTGTCGCACTACAGCCCGCACTTTTTCAAATCGGGCACGACGCTCTTTAACGAGCAAGGCTGGTGGACGCTGACGTATCCGAGGCTCACGCCCGCCCAGATTGTCCAACTGAGTAAGTGCGCACCTCGTACAAGACCGCCTCTCATTTAGCTCGTAGACGTCGAGCTGATGGCCGAGAAGCAGAAGTTGCGCGACTCGAAACTGGCGATCGACGACGGACAACTGTTACGAGGGATATTGCTGACGAAACCGTACGTGACCGAGGAAATGCTTCAAATTACCAGCCGAGAGGAGACCGTCGAATCGGACGAGACACCTCAATTGTCGAAGGTGCAGAAGAAGAAACGGCTACTGTTGCCGACCGTCGCGAGCTTAGGTCTGCCCAAGGTGAAAAAGTCGAGGACTGTCGACGCGGCTACGAAACCCGAGGTCACCGCGAAACCTCCGATGTATCTGGATCCGTTGTGTCATTACAATACATCGCTTGATGGTGCGTACACGTTTTTTAGTGAAACGTTAACACCAGATCTCGTAGAGCACAGTCGAGTTGCTGCACTTAGCATGACCGCACGACTGATGGGAGGTGTACGAAAGGAGCTGATATTATCGCCGTACACCTCCATTTATTTACCCCCGTACATTCGGCGCGACGTACGCATCAGACCGATCTGGTTGCACTTAATGGACGAGCTGAAGGCGAAGGTCACTCCTGACGTGAGCTTACCGAAGCGTGCCCCCTTGGACTTTATGTACGTGCAACCGGAGCACATTCCCGCCGTCAACAGCTTGTGCAATCAATTCTTCTGGACCGGCATCGACCGTAAGTCTCCTTTGCCCCCGAATATTTACCCGCTAACTCACTTTCAGTGTCCGACACACTGAGGTACCCCGATTTTAGTTGCGTCGTGCTGTACAGGAAGCTGATAGTCGCGTTTGCGTTCGTCGTGCCCGACGTTAACGTGAACGAGTGCTACGTCTCGTTCGTCTTCACGAGACCGGGCTGGCGAAAGTGCGGAATCGCCCGCTTCATGCTCTACCATTTGATACAGGTGCGTAAAACGCTAAATTTCGATTTGACCACCGGTAGATTACAGACCTGTCTCGGCCGCGATATGACGCTGCACGTGTCGATCAGCAACTCCGCCCTGTTTCTCTACCAGAAGTTCGGGTTTAAGGTCGAGTACGTCGTGCTCGACTTTTACAACAGATACATGCGGGACGATACGTGCGAGTCGAAACATGCGTTTTTTTGTCGTTTGGAACGATGAGAATGTTCGAAATAAAGATACTCAAACCTTAAAATGCTGAGAATCTTTGAAACTGGCAAGTCCACTTGAAATTTCAGATTAAAGGGAGTAGGGATTTCACCCAAAATAATAAATGTTGAAAATGTATGATACGCCACTGGAATTATGGAAATCAGTCATACCAATTTCAGTAAGTTTGTTTTACGGGAATGGCACCCTGTTTTTTGAATGTAAAATAACTACTAATTTGAAAAATCAATATCGGTAGTTCTAATGTCCAAAGTGCTTACGCACAATAAGACCGTTTATAATGAAACCGCTGATGAAATAATTATGATTATCGATCGACTAGGTAGAAATAATCAACAAAAACTAATTGCGGTAGGTGAACGGCGTTTAGCTCGGATTTTAATCGTTCATTTTCAGAAATAAGGAGTAGTTCACTTGTACCCGGTTTTGAAGATGGACGAATCTTTAAAAATGGATTGCAAGGTTCCCGTCGACTTTATCGATGTATGCCGCACTTGTCTGCGTAAAATAAGCGACGCGACGCAATTATTTTACATCGTCACAAACGAGGCGACCACCGTTCAGTCTGTACGATACAAGCTCGAGGATTGCATTCCGAGCTTGGTAGGTTACCGAAATGGGTGGCTCGCAGTCATGTTTTTCTTGTAGGATCTTAGTCTCACGTCGAATCCTGTCGTGTGCAAAGATTGCTTCGATGCGATTAATCTCATGCACAGTTTCAAGGAGAACTGCTTGCAGTACGAGTTTTACATTAAGAATTACGCGGAGACAGCGTGCCTGCCCGATAATTGCGTTGAGCTTGCGGAAATGGTGCGCGAAAACGAAAAGATGTGGCTGTCGTGGATTTCCCCCGATCTGAAACCGAACTGCACGTTGGTTGAAGACAACGGAAACTTAGAGTGTTACACTGACTCGAACGTTAAACAAGAGCCGGTCGAGTACGACCAAACGGACTATGAGCCGATCGACAAGGAAGAGGAGCTAAAGGAGGCAGTTGTGAAAAGCGAGGTGAAGAGTCAGGAGTACTACTGCAACGACTGCACTTATAACACGAATTCGAAATCGAAGCTCTTAATCCACTTACAGTCACATGTCGTTGAAACAACGCTGTTAGAGATCATTCGGCAAGAAGCGGAGCAGGACGACGAGAGTGTAGACGATGACGACGACGACTACATTCCCTACTCGCAAAAGCGGCACATCTGCAAAATCTGTAAGTACACGACGGATCGCCGCAGTAAACTAAAGGTTCACATGAAGACGCACAGAAAGCTGAAATCGTTCAAGAAGCTAGACCTGCGCAACATGCGCAACGTTCTGTACAAGTGCTCGAAGTGCTCGTTCACGACGGCGGAAAAACAAGAACTGAGCAGTCACGTCAAAGTGCACAGCTTTCAGAAGCGCTTCGTCTGCTTCCTCTGCGGCTACAGCAGTAACCAGCGCGGCAACCTCAACATGCACGCGCGCATTCACACCGACGAGAAGCTCTTCAAGTGCGAGTACTGCAACTACAGCAGCCACCAGAAGAACAATCTCAAAATACACACGATGCTGCACACCGGCGAGACGCCGTACTCGTGCGCCGTCTGCAGCTTTCGGACGGTCTACAAGCACGCGCTCGACGTGCACACGCGAATTCACACCGGCGAGAAGCCGTACAAGTGCAACGTCTGCTCGTACAGCAGCATCTACAAGCAGAGCCTGAACGTGCACGAGCGCATACATCTGAAGGAGAAGCCGTTCAAGTGCACGCAGTGCAGCTACTCATCCTGTCAGCGATCGAACTTAAACGTCCACCTGAAAAAGTTTCATCCCGAACTGGGCGAACAGTCGATGTCATGTTAGTAAGTGTAATAATAATAATAAATCTTTGGAAGGAAGGTGCTCGATTTAAAACGGGGAAGTGCTTGTGCTAGGGGTGGTTTTGCATGAGCGGCGCAATCGGAGGTATGCATGTGGGGGTATTGAATACACCCCCCCCTCTCAATCGGTACCCTCCGCAAAGGGGGACTCAATTCTTCATTTACTTTACCCCCAGTTCTCTCTTAGTGACTTTTGGGAAAAGGTATTCAAATCTTTGTGTGCGTGCTGCCCGTTGCACTCAACCATCAAAAAGGGCACCCCCCGATTTTACATTTGTTAATTTTATGGAATCCCCCCCCCCCGGCAACCACCCTAGTACACAAAAATGTTATATAGAAACATTGAATTTTTGTTTTTTTCTCCCTCTCCCGGTAGTCATATAAGCTTTTCGCGTACTGGGGTGATATGGCTGGGGGGTATTCTATACCCCCCAGACCCCTCGGTGCTATGGTTGTTCTCCCGCAAAACGTTCACGCCCTTAAAGGTTCACGTTAAATGGTCTTTTCCTAAAAATTTTGGTGTAAGTGCAATTTATTTTGGGGGGAGAATGTAGTACCGGGGGGATTGGAATACCCCCCAGCCACCCTCTTATGATCTTAGAATAGAATCATTGAATTTTTGTTTCTCTCTCGCTCCCCAATTGGGGTGATAAGATTTACATGTAAGTACTGGGTGTACCATACCAGAAGGTACTGGGGTGGTGTGGTTGTAGGGTGTTCCATGACCCCCCCCCCCCGGTTCTACATTCCTCCCCCAAAACATTTGCTTGCGCTTTCAGCACTTACACTTCCCCACTTCTCCCACAAATAGATCACCCCTGAGGCCCTGCCCCACATTCCATAGTCTCTTTCAATAAATCCTAAAACTAATTCAAGGGAGAGACGTTGGAATACTGATTTGAACAGAGTAATAAGCCAGAGGTTGATATGCACAGTTGTCAAATTAAAGCAGTAGGGACACCAGCCCAATTCTACCCTTTCTCCATTGTGAACCATTCCCGTATGCATCTTCCTTCCCCTCTTCAAGTGTTATATTATGTCTGACAATGGGGATTTACGATAAATCAACCGCTTTAACCGGATTGGTCGAAATCACCATAGAAACAATTGTGGCACTAATTGTAACCATAGCAACATCTACCAACCCGATTTAACCCGTTGAATTACCGTAAATCACTATTGACACAGGGCATGCAGTACCAACTGTTTTTTTTTTTTAAAATAAATAACACTCAACTACTAAATCTTTACATCGTTTATTAGATCGGTAACAACATAATGTAATAAAAATAAATCGTGTAACAGTCACGCAAGGAACTCTCTCATCATTTATGGACTCGCAGGTGCTTCTCGAGCGTCTCTAATGTAAGTGCACTGTACGTGCAGAGGTGGCACTTAAACTTACCATTGCACGAATGCTTTGCAATGTGCAGCGTCAAAGAGCGCTTGTCTGCAAAGGGACACTCGGGGCATTGTAACAGTCTCGTTTTCGGTTTCATCGTATGAATCTGCTTGTGCTGTTCGAAGTAATTCTTACTGCCTGTCGTGTACTTGCACTTGCCGCACTTGTACTCGTCCACTGCGTGCGTCTTCTGGTGCTTTTTGAGCTTCTTCGCGTTCACGGTCGTGTAATCGCACTTCGAGCACTTGTACGAGCTGTTCATCCCGTTCGGAATTTTGATTGTTATCTTGAGATTCTGGGGCGCCTCCTTGTGCTCCCTGAGATGGTTGCGGAGGGTCGCGGGCGACGACGTCGCGAAGCCGCAAACCTTGCAGATGTTCTTGTGCGACATTTTATGCGCACGAAGTCGCGTCTTCTTCTTTGTCTTGTACGGGCACGAATCACAGGTGTATACTTTAATACTGTTGTTGGCTATCGCGGGTGTCGACTTGGTGGCGTGCGTCACCGAATGCTGCTTCAGCAGGAAGCTACGTGTCGTCTTAAAATCGCACTTCGGGCAACTGTAAGTCTGTTCCACCTTTTTCGACGTGTACTTGACGTGAGAGTACAACTTTTGCTGTTCTAATTTAAAACGCGATAAGGTAACTTTGGGTAGGTCGTTCGGGGGCGGCTCGTCGTTGTTGTTTGTAGTTGTCGGCTCGTTTTCATAGTTGTCCGGAGTTGAGGGTAATTCGGTCGAGTCGTCGTCAATGAAGGGCTCTACGGGCTCTTCGTCTTCAGGTATGTAGATCACTTCCAATCCGTTTTGTAAGCTTTCCACGTCGTAGAAGTCGCGGACGGGATGAAAGTCGCTTTTGATAACGTCAAGGTCGGGTAGTATCCTGTCCTTCATGTGCTCCCGAATGATTTCCTCGGAGTTCAAGCATCTCTGCTTGAATTCGTAGGAGGCCTGGAGCACACGGGCGCAGTATACGCACAAATGGGCATTTGGTATCAGATCCAGATCCTAATGGAAAATTTTACGCTCAAGCCACTTTGTCATCGTTCATACGTACCAATTCGGGAATGCACTGGGTCAGTTGCATTTTAATCTCGTTATAGTCATCTTCTAAATTTACGCAGTTACTGTCGTCGATTTCTTCCAAACAAGTTCGGCAAATATGCGACATTTTCGGCGTCCATTGATTTTTGAGGTTGTGGTTGGAAAATAATCGCGGCTGTTTTATTGCATCTACTTTTGGAACACTTGAACTACTACACAATGGAAATCTCCATCTACTATTGTTGTAGTTTGATATTCGTAATCCCGTGTATCAAATCGCCTCCGTGCTCTCAGCCATTCCCTCTAGTGCACAAAAAATCTTATTATAGTTGTAGGGAAAGAAATCTTTCATTTTCTGATGACTTAGTTTTGTACTGTTTCATTACTCATAAACTTTCCCCCGTAACTGTATAATTCCCGTTGTGTATAAAAAAAGTTGCTGTGTATAACAATTGACGCATTTGCGTTTTTAAAAAATTAACCCAACTTTGAGATTTTCCGTTTTTCAGCCGAAAAATGAGTATAACGTGCAAGTTATGTAAGGAAACTGTCGAAACTCCGCACTACTTCCACCTGTCCGGCCCCAGCTTCATTTCCAAGGGTTTGAAGTTAAGGGATTTGTTGGAATGTTGCATTCCCGATGTAAGCTCTCGGTTCGATGTACTACACCTGTAACTGGTAGGTTTCAGCTCAATTTGCCGCACGACAATTGCGATCAGGTGTGTCACAATTGCACTTCGGCCCTGCACATCGCGTACAACTTTCGAATGACCGTCCGTAGCAATTTTCCCTCAGCCGCCAACGAGGACGCAACTGAGACACCTGTCGAGCTCCCGGAGGTAAGACAGTATTGTCGTAAGTGTACTGGAATAAGTTTGCAGTTGCCGAACTCGCGTGCGCGTATCTGTCACGTTTGCGGGAAACGCCTATCCGGCCCGTCGACTCTGAGCATCCACATGAAGATTCACACGGGAGTTAAGGCGTACCTGTGCGAGCGGTGCGGAAAGCCGTTTCGAGCGATCGGCATGCTGCAACTTCACCAGCGAGTACACGCGAACGAGAAGCGTTTCAAGTGCGCGCTGTGCGATTATGGTGCGACGAGGAAAGCCCACCTTCAAAGCCATATGAAGGTGCATATGGACGCGAACGATTTAAATGAGTGTTTGACTTGCGGTAAGCGCTACGCTAGCAAAATCTTGTTGTACAAACATCGAAAGATGCATGACATCGCCACGGTACAAAGTGAATTTGTTTAGTTTGGTTTTGGTGTTTTAGGCGATCACCATTGCTCTAATTTATAAATCGTGCATTTTATTCGTACTTTTTGGACAACAGCATTTGTCTTTTGTTATGGGGAAACTGTAACAATTTTTGTCTTCACCCTGTATTGGGTAGGTAACGCATTTTCTATACTGAGATGGCGTTTTTCATACCTGGTACTTATTTGGTAAAGTTTTTTTAAAGTAATTTTCTTTAAATTAAACCTTTATCAAAGGTCGTTGTTTTACTAATTCATTTATATTGCCTCTGTAATTGTTTAAACAATGATAATGGGAAAAGAGGTAATGGTTGTATGGTAAAAATCACGTGTATGACAATTGACTCTCCCCCTTTTAATTTGATTTAAATTTCTAACCTTACTTTTTGCATTTCTAATTTTCGTACCAAAAAAGACTAAAACTAGCGAATTCGTTGAAAAGTTGGGTAAAAGTCGATTGTTTCTCAATTATCGACCAGTAAGAAACGAAAGATACGAAACTAAATTTATTTTAAGCGATTAATAAACAGGCGTTTTGAACATTATTATATTTTTCAAATACGAAGGCAAATTCAACGATTTAACAACATCATGAAATTGGTAAGGATGGCGTATGTTGAAGGAACGTTGTATGAAGACCCGCGATTGATTTCGGCTGAGTTCCAACAGCGACGGCAACTCGGGTACGGTCCACACTTTGCTCGCGATCAAATCGTGCTCCTCCAAGTACAAGCCGCAGTAATCCAACAGTTGCTGCTTCTCGGCGAAGGAAAGTGAGAAGAAGCTCAGCGCGTTCACCACGTTATTTTGTATCGCGATCAACTCGAACGGATAGTACGTACTTTCGATTTGTTTCTTGAACAGCTCGATGATGAGGTCGCGTTTCACGTCGTTCACACTAAAGATGAAAGCCGGCTGAGGAAATAAGTTGAAGGCGCCATCCAAATCGAGCGAATGCGCGAGATAACCCCCCGCGTACAAGAAAATATGCAACTCCTCGTTGAAACCGTACAGCACCGACGCGAAATTAATGTCGGACGTATTCACAACGTAACCGAGCCCTAGGCACATCAGTATTATCGAAACGCGATCGTCCACCTCGACGTCGAACCAATAAAACGTCTTGAGCAACTTGGAGAAGAGGCCGTACTCGAACGCCTCGTAAGCGAAGTAACTCTTACAGTGCTCCATTAGATCGAACGCGATCGGCGAGCTCAAAATCGTGTACATGCACTCGAGCCATTCGCTCGCCGAAAACGAGAGCGTCTCGATGAAGTTCAACAGGAAGGACTCCCTACGGGCGAGCAGCGTTTTCTGGTCGAGTTTTGACCAGATCAGCTTAAACAGGTCGGCTGAGTCGTAGTACAGCGACAGAGCTAACGCGGTGCTCCCGTCGAAGGTGATCGAATTGACGTCGATACCTGCGTGAACGAGATCGAAAGCCAGCGAGCTCTTGTGCCAGGCGGCCAAGTGTAATGCGTTGTAGCCGTCCAGGTCTGCGTCCAAGAATTCGTCGTAGTAGTTGAATAGGACCTCGGCGATGTCCGTACGGTTGCGGTACAAGGCTAGGGTGAACGCGGTCATGTTGTCCTTACAGAGCATGCTGACGTCGGCGCCGTACGTCAGTAACATACAGACGGCTTCCAGGTTATCGTTATCCACGGCGTAATGCAAGGGGGTACGACACTCCTCGTCCTGCATATTGACATCGGCACCGTGCTCGATTAAGTCGTGTATGACATCGATCGACGAGCAGAGCAACGCGACGTGCAGCGAAGTTTGACCGTACTTATTGGTGGCATTAATCTCGCAGCCCGCCGCAACTAGTTTCTTGACGAACGACTCGGAGCGGAACATACGCAGGCTCAAGATGAGCGGATTCTCGCCCTTCTGGTTGCGGTAGTTGACGTCGATGTGACTCTCGTTCAGCAGCTCCTCGAGTAACGCCACGCTGGAAAGAGCCGCATTAATTAAGGCCACACTACGGTTCGTGTGCGTATCGTTACTCGTCACGTATGACCGCAGTGTGCAGCGGAACGTTTCCGTATTGGTCCGGTACGTTGATGTGAAACTAAAACGAAAAGGTTTAGTTCTGCACAGGAACGTCGTGTTGTCGGTACCATCGCAGGTCGGTCGGTGCACTTTTCTTCAGCCATTGGGTGGAATCACCGGGGAAGTTTTTAAATGGCGCATAAGTTACACTTACAAACCTGGATAAGATGACAGTTACATCACATACTGTAAGTGCATAATTTACATTAAAAAAATTGAGGTTATGGTTATTGTCTTACATTGGTTTCTAGATCCTGAAGTGACTCCGTCAAAAGCTATATTGTGTTATCACCTGCGATTTATGTGAAATATAAAATTGTTTAACGTAAATTGGCTTATTTTGAATGTAAAAACGTGATTAATCTTAATCACTTTAATTTAAAGTCAATTAGAAAATTTTATAATTACGTGCAATTATTTTCTCATCTGATTAATGTATGTGTATGTAAATTCTTAATGTCTTAGTCACCCTGTACATCAAGCCGTGATTTGAGCCGTTGGCAACCTTGCAACGTTTAACAAAAACCTAACCTTTCTTTATTTTTAAATTATGATGTGCGGAAAGACGCCTCTGCAAAATTGGGTAATTCTCGACTGTTAAAAGCTCATTAGCGAATAATTGCTCTTAATTGCAGAATGAAATTAGAAAGAATCACTTGATCTCCGGCGGAGCTAAGAGCATGAGCCCATTAATTCTGCTAATCGTTTGGTTTGGGGTCGTCGCGTGTCGGACGCCCGTGCTGTTCTGGCATGGATTTGGTGAGTAATTTGTTCCGATGTGGCTCGTTTTAATGTTGTTTTAGCCAATGCGTACACGGTATCGTCAATAACGCTAATCAAGGAGAACCTGGAGACGCTCTACCCGGATTTGTACATCAAGGTGCTGCAAATTGGGGATACGGTCGTCGAGGACTTTGTGAACAGTATTTCCATGCATCCGGATCGGCAGATCGAGATCGCGTGTAATGCCACGCAGAGTGACGAGCGTTTGCGAGACGGTTACGTCGGTATCGGATTTTCACAAGGGGGCCTCTTATTGTAAGTGGTTTTTCGTCAACGTTAAGTGCTCAATTGATTTTCCGTAGGCGAGGGTTAGCGCAACGGTGCTCCCACCCGCCGATGAAGAAGATGATCACCATGGGAACGATGCACCAGGGCGTCTACGGACTGCCGAATTGCAACATCTACTTCGTCTGTGACATTATCCGTCGACTTTACAGCCGACTGGCCTATACCGAGTAAGTTTACAACGTCTCGCGCCTCGTAAGCTAACCGCTCGTGAAGTTTCTGGCAGAATTACTTCGTGCAGGCGACCTACTGGCACAATCCGCTCGATATCGACAACTACAAGCGGCGGAACACCTTCCTCGCCGACATCAACAACGAGAACCGTATCAATGGGACGTACATCGACAACCTCAATCGCCTCGAGAAGTTCGTCATGGTAAAATATACGAAGGAGACCTTCGTCGTGCCGAGCGAGTCCGAGTGGTTCGGCTATTACGAGACCGCCCTAGACAACCAGACGCAAACCCTCGAAAACTCGCAGCTGTACATCGACGTAAGTCGTTCCCTCCCCCCAAACAAACGCTAACGAGTTATCTTTTAGGATCGTCTGGGCCTACGGCGAATGCACGACGAAGGCAAGCTCGACTTTCTGACCGTGCCGTGGGAGCACGTCGAGTTCCACTGGGACTGGTTTAAGGACAACATCGTCGATCGTTATTTGTAATCGATAAAAGTACAAAAAATTAATGTAAGGCACTGGCGTGACGAGTCAGCTGCGCCTTGAACCTCGTCTTGTACTCGCAGACGGCGCACCGAAACTCCCTCGCGTGCGTCTTCCGGTGCCGCACCAGCTTGGACTTCTCCGTCGTTTTGTACTCGCAATCGGCGCAAGTGTATGGTTTCTCGCCGGTGTGGATCATGACGTGTCGCCTGAGGCCCTTCCGGTCGTAGCTGCAGTACTCACAGATGTCGCAACGGAACGGTTTGAGATCGGATCGCGGCGCTTTTCCGACGACGTGCGTGCTAAGGTGCCGCTTGAGGTAGCTCTCGAACTTGCAGCTGAAATCGCAGTCGGCGCACTTGTACGGCTTGTCCTCCGCGTGCGTTTGCATGTGTCGCGCTAGCGTGTAGCGTTGGGCGAACGACAGAGCGCAGTGCTCGCACTTGTACGGTTTATCCGCGTCGACGTGCTTGTTAGAAACGTGATTGTGTAGCGCATCTTTTCGATTACTTCTGAACTCGCACTGGTCACAAGTGAACGGCTTCGATTGATTGTGCGTGAGCGAGTGACGTTTCAAGTTACGTAACCATCTAAAACTACGATCACAGTGAGTACAGTCGTACAATTTTTTACTTTTGGCACTTGTGGTGTTTGACATGTCGACGTCTTCGTCTTTAATTAACATAACCTCAGTCGTGACGGGTGGTGATTCGATAAAATTGATTAAGTCCTTAAAGATGAGCGTTTTTGTTTTGGCACGGCTGCAATACACACGAATGTGTTTATCGACGGTGTAGCATTGGGACTGAAACGTGTACGCCGCGTTGATGACTTGCAGACAAGCACTGCAAATGACGGCGTCAATTACAACATTCACATCCTGCAAGAGGCAATTCAAGGCGCTTTTTGGAGACAGTCCGATTACCTACCAAGCTAGGGGCGACAGACTGAAGTTTCGTGCCGATGCTTACAACTTCATCCGGCTCTGTGTGTTCCAAGTCGTAGTACTCTGAGGAAACCTTTTGTAGGCAAGTTCTGCACCATTTGTCCTCCATTTCTTCGAGTTTGTGATAAACCATCTCCAAATTAAAAGAAATTAAGTTAATAAAACGTGTAACAAATTAAGTAGTTCAAATGACCACGACATTTTACCTATTAGTTTGTAACGTAAGAACTACTGTGATAATGTATATAAACTGTCATAGATGGCGCCACACTAACTTGCAGAATACAGGGTGTTTTTTAGATTAATAATGCTTTGACTTTCATTTTTTTGTTATTGTTGGTGGAATGTGAACACCCTTCTATATAAAATGAGCGGGGCGGCGGAGGCTAAATGCTATCCAATCCAGAACAAAACTGCTAGTCCCATGATTTCGTACCTACCTTGTATTTCATGTGGCTCTTCTACCGTTAGGTGTCAAGACTCAAGGGCCACAGAAAATATGTCATTTTTTATTTAACAAACAACAAACAAACAAACAATTCAGCAATAATAAGTAACTTAAACAACACGAAAACCTACGGAAAAACATGAAATGGACGACAACAATCAACTTATCTTTTGTAGAACATGCATGCAACAATTATCGAGACTCGAGTCGATAAATTTAGATTCCACGCACTCGCCTAGCGATGTTTCGCTTCGTCTGAAGTTGACGTCGTGCATTCCCGAACTGGTAACATTTAAGTCTCACACAATTTAGAAAGCCGTACATGCAAAGTTTGTAGGATCTCGATAACGACAGCTTGGGCGCGTTCATATGCAACGTGTGCGTGCTCTCCTTAAATTTCGCCTACAACTTCAAGCAGCAATGTTTGAAGACCGAGAGGGATCTGCTGGAGAGGAGTGCGATTCGCGTCAGGCTGGATCCCGGTGACGTGGAGCTTGCGACGGAGGTCGACGGCCAAACGAAATCGGAACTGTTGCGTTCGTTGCTGAACGGCTCGTGTCGCACGCAAAAGTGCTCCCTGTGCAATTTCGTTTTTTATCACAAAAATGCTAAATCGCCTCAGTGCCCTAATTGCAATCCAAGCAAGTCTGAGGGGTTCACTACAAGGAAACGGTGCAAACGTAAGAGTTATGAGAACTACACATGTGACATTTGTGCCGATGTTTTCTCAAGCAGCAAAGATTTAGTTACCCACAAAGAAGTCCACGAGCAGAGAGTAGAAGATGATGTAATTTGCCTCGATTAAACTTGTATTGTCTTTTTAATAAAATTAATATTGGGAGCAGCATCTAACATAACCTTACAAATGAAGCAGACGTGATCCATGCTTTACATGCTGCTCGAGTTGTTCTTCGATGCTTTTTGTCACCCAAGTCCTCCTGTTTTGACTACAGGCATGTCCATTTTTTGATTAAAAAATACAATTTTTTCTGCATTAGAGGTTAATTCTTACAAAATCTATGGCTAAATTAGCGCTCTGACATCTAACGTTAGTTTAATTAATTTTTTCACAACAGTGTGGCGCTATCTTGCAGAAGTAGCTGTAACTAAAACAATGGTAATAATTAAGTATCCTGTAATTATTATTAAAATGTTACTCTTCATTAATAAAGAGAGATGTCAGCACCATGCTTTTTCTTTTTATTATTTAATGATTTCCACAAAAACTCATGCAAAGCTATAAACATTTTGGGTTTTGTGCCTTCCCCTGACAAAGGAGCTAAGCCACGAAACTCGAAAACTAAACACTTCGTTCCTGTATTACAGCTGGATGAACGGACGGGCCATGTTCAAATTTTATGACGATTTTTAATAAAGTATCTGTTCGCAATACACGAGTTAAATCGCCATAGTACGCGGCAATAAATACAAATTTTAAATGAAGGGTAAGTTTGATGCGAGTTAGGTTAGAACTCGTGAGTGAAAATTAAGTTCCATGATGGTGAGGTTAGGGAATCCTTGTAGGTGAGGTTAGACGCTAAAATTTTCCTGTAAGCGGATCTAATCTTGAATCACCTCCTCGCACATTATATTCTCCTGATACAAGATTTCCGAGCTAACCTAACTACTACTCTAACCTAACCTCACTAATATTTTATCCTAACCTACAATCTCCTCGCATATTATGTTCTCCTGATACCAGATTTCCGAGCTAACCTAACTATCACCCTAACCTAACCTCACTAATATTTTATCCTAACCTACAATCTCCTCGCATATTATGTTCTCCTGATACCAGATTTCCGAGCTAACCTAACTATCACCCTAACCTAACCTCACTAATATTTTATCCTAACCTACAATCTCCTCGCATATTATGTTCTCCTGATACCAGATTTCCGAGCTAACCTAACTATCACCCTAACCTAACCTCACTAATATTTTATCCTAACCTACAATCTCCTCGCATATTATGTTCTCCTGATACCAGATTTCCGAGCTAACCTAACTATCACCCTAACCTAACCTCACTAATATTTTATCCTAACCTACAATCTCCTCGCATATTATGTTCTCCTGATACCAGATTTCCGAGCTAACCTAACTATCACCCTAACCTAACCTCACTAATATTTTATCCTAACCTACAATCTCCTCGCATATTATGTTCTCCTGATACCAGATTTCCGAGCTAACCTAACTATCACCCTAACCTAACCTCACTAATATTTTATCCTAAACTTCAATCTCCTCGAACATTATACCTACTCTCCTGATACTACAAGATTGGCGAAAGTTTAAGACGCATTAGGGCGTTGAAATTAAAATGTTTCTGTGAGAGCT